CAGCCAGAATGAACTCATTATATAACAGACCTTGAGAGTGATAAAATTTTGGTCCATTGTAAAAGGAGTATGCAGAATGCAGATCCCTCTATCTATGTACAAACTTTGAGGTGGATTATGATTGGGGTCTGTTCTAACCAGCGAGATTGACGATATGAGAATGGATATCCGAAAAGAACTGGTTTATTGAAACTTCCGAAAATTAAAAAGCAGCGACTTTTCATCGAGCTGTATTGATGATCATCATCACTGTGTACTTTGGGTCATACAAGGCTCGCCAAGGCACCGAGTGTGATGACAGCAATTAGCAAAATGGATGCCACCGCTAACGAACCAAAGGCACATAATGTCCGAAATAATGACTGCTGTCGAAGGGTTTGCTATGATGGAATAGCGAACTACTTGCGAACTCCCTGAAATAGTCTATTATATCTGAACGCATGTTATAACAAAATCTGTAATAAGCAAAGTTGGCTCAATGGCATAAGTAGGAAGACCAACCAAACTTGACAAATCAGTATGTTATAACCGAATGTCCGCTGTAGTTACTCTGTTGCAACAAGGTTTAACTGTACAAGGTTGTCAAGATAAATCCGGACTTTTCCCAGATTTCGTCTCTCAACAATACAGTGAAGCTAACCGGCCATATTGCACTTCTGTGGCCACGTGATTCAACAGCGGACCTTTGTACGATAAACAATTTGCGACTTGCTCAAAAGTTAACAGAAAATATGACCGAAGGGCAGAAATACTTGAATCGCATCGTGCCAGAAAGTCACCGAAGCAAATCATTGCATGGTATGGCTACAAGAAGACTGAAGTTTACAGCATTGCCAAGACGTTCAGATAATGTGCCAGCCAGGATGACGTTACGGCAAACTGAGCAAAACGCAGAAAATAATCAATATCAATTTTACCATTAATATGTGTCACAGTTTTCCTGAATATGGTGAATTTTCCGTATTTATCTCGACGACCATGTACATGATGTCCCTCTTAAACGCTCCAGGCTGAGCAAGGGAAGACGCGGTTGAGATGGAAACACAAGCCAAACTGACAGCTGCTGTGCTCCATTGTACCATCAACAAATTCATTTTGAGCCAAAGTTTGTCAAACTCTTTTTATGGCAAAAACATTTGGCATGCACTCAAATAAAAGAGAAACGCTTTTGCAAATTCTCCGAGCAATTTTCAAGCTCGAAAGAGCCTTCTTACTGTATTAGAACCGCCAGAGTAAATATTTTGATAAAGGATTTCCCAAGATAAACCCGGGTAAACTTCGACACTGTCTCTAAAATTATTTCTCCCCCGTGTCAGACATATTCCTTTCCCACCAAAACCAGTGCTTCAACGGAAAAGGAATGCGGAGTTGGTGTCCTTCGCAGTGATATGACTGGCCTAAGCCGCTTTGGAGCACCTTTTGGAGCAGCCAAAACAGTGTTTTGGAGCGAAAAAGTGGCCTTTGGAGCAACCAAAACAGTGTTTTGGAGCAGCAAAAGTAGATTTTGGAGCAGCCAAAACAGTGTTTCAGAGCAGCAAAAAGTGGTTTTGGGAGCAGATATTCTTAGAAAAATAAAAATATTTATTTTAAGTGCTGGACAAAGGAAGGGCACTTTGCTCGCCACAATAAACAAATTATGTTCAAGTTAGGTGACCTGGAAGTCTTTCAACATGTTAACTGAAATGCCAATGACACGACATATTCCGCAATGCTTCAGTTAAATTATACATATATATGTACTCGCTATAGATAAATAAGAACCAAACTGCACATATTAAATTTATTTGAAAATGACCAGCTTAGCAGTAAATATGAAAGCATAGAGTTCACTAGTTATATAATATAATAAATTGAAGCAGTATCCGACTGATGAAACACGTAACTACTGCAGAGCAATACGAAACTGTACATATGAAAAAGGTGCAGTACGACTCGCGGGTGCTTTTCCTTTTGCTTGTTGAAACTTTCTGCAAGGCTGCTGCAAGTCTCGCTTAGCTTTCGGCAAGTAATGAATGTCCACTTTCAATGTCTCCAAAGAGACGTTGAGACATCCCACAAGCGTACAGTGCTGTAGGCGTTGCCGAGCAATTCCAAAACGTCTCCCACCGTTTTACTGGTTCCAGACATGCCAGATTTTCGTCAAAAGCAAGCAAATGTCAAGCAATGGATTGCAAGCGTCCCGGCTGGTGCCTCTGTCGTGCAATCATGTTCGCATGCACATGAGGGCAACTTTGGCAGCTTGCAGTTGCATGCGCTTCGTTGTGCGAGCGGAGACGGCTGTTCGATCGAAACTGAAACTCTGCCACTCCGCTTCGTCGCCACCTGGTCCCCAAAATTGTATGCAAAATGTAACGGTCCAGCATACAACAACAAAAAAAAAAAACAGTCCAGCGGCGCGTGCTTGCCGGGCCAGTAGGCAAGGCACAAGCCAATTTAAAAGGTTAAAAAGCGCAAACAGAACAAGGACAATAAAGCTAATCACACACACAAAAATAAGAAGAACCTGAGCGCATCAATGGACGACATCGCGAGTCAGGGTCAAAAAGTTCTTGGAGCGCTTTGTGCAACAACTGAACTCGAGATAAACAAGCGCGCTGTGCGGGTTCGGCGTGCAGACATTGCCTTTTTTGCTTTAGCTAACTTGTCTTAAACTTTTTTTTGCGACAGACTTTTCACGTCCCTCTCTCAAAAGAAAGCCCACCGAGAGAAACCTAGGTAATCAATACTTCGACACAGCAGTCTTTGAGTTAAAGAGGCATTTTTGTAGTAGTGTTTAATTTAAACAAGGACAGGATTGCTGATTACGTTGCAGCGGTCCTTACGTTTCAGTGTGTAAAGTGCCTTATCTGCAGCAATGTGTGGACGGGAACACCCGACGTCGTGCAACCACGGTGACTGGTAGGCAGGGACCAAAAATAGTTTTGCCACAGCCATTTCTTTCTGAAGCGAGTGCTTCAGATCACAAAGTAACTCCCACCGCGCAAAAACGTGGTTTCGTTTTACAGCATGACGGCATGGCTGGTACCAGGCATGCTAGCGTCGGGGCGTCCGCACACGCTTGCATCTATCGTTAAAACTTTTTTTAAAAGGATGCGAGACGAGACCTACGAGAGCGCGAAATGAAAAACGGCGGGAAAAACCATGCAAGACCGGATGGACGATTGATGCAGCATACTTTCTGTCGGGCGGCCGCTTGCGCCACCTAGCTCACGCACGCTCAATTACGGTACTCAGTTTAGTTTCGGTTTTCAAAGACGACCGAAATCGGTCCCTTGGCGCAGGCTTGGCACAGATTACCCATATTTCGGCGAAATGTAGCACGATGCAGCAGGGTTAGCCCCTTGGCGCAGTTTGGCGCAATTGGCGCAGCAATCACTTCACTGCCCTCGGGGTTGCGCACTGTTGCTTTGACCCCGCTATTTCGCTACTCTCCATTTTCTCCGGACATGCCCTTGCCATCTTCCCCTTGCCTCCTGCACACCCTCCTGCCATACGAGCGAGCATGCTCATGCACATAATCTGCGTCAGCGTACAGCTGTAACTTTTGTTCAGTTAGCGAGGACACCAGTTCCAGCCAAACACTGATGCAGCACTTTTGAAATGCTCTTTAGTTACAGGAGTGTGTTACCTGAAACTGCTAGGGGCCAGCCGTGCGACACAGTATTGGCTAAATAAAGAGCAGATGGCAGATGCAGCGACTCTAATTCAATCACCCTACATTACGTCGAGATTATTTAGAAAGGGCAGACTGCTCGTATTGCGGGCCGAGTTGATGCAGACACGTCTGAAAGGGGCCGGAGCTGTGGCAAAACAAAACCGACTTGTATGTCTGCCTTGTCCGTATTCATACTTTCATGGTGGAGCTCAAGACAGTTCTAACCATCCAACAAAATACCAGAGCCAAAATGAGTGTCCCATCTGCACCATCTTAGCCGTTTCGAGAAGAACCCTAGTGCCCAGTCCTCTGCGTCAAGCGGTGGCTCACATCGAGTGACAGCTCACGTCGTGGGACAACTAGGGGTGGGCCACCCGCTACGATTTATTCCCTAAAGATGTTCCCCCAAATAGGACATCATTTTAACCATGAAGAGAAAAAAGGGCTCGAAGGTTGAGTGCTTTCATTTACTGTGGATTGGCGCCCCACGGACTGAGAGCTAGCATTACAAACTCAAATGCTACACTCATGTTGTTTATGATATGTATTCTTTCATAATAGCCACAGTTTAATTTTGAAAGTTTTTCTGCAGTTTAGATGCCAGCATTCACAAAGTTTATGTTTCTTTTTAAATACACTAGGCGCATGCGTGCATCATTCCGCTTTGAAAGTGTGCTTTTGTGCCAACATTCAGCATTGTACCGACATAGGCCCTGCATTCTGCAGACATGGTGCTGGCATTCTGACAACATTGCACCGATATATTGCCCGTATTCTGCAGGCATTGTCTGCACTGTACCGATATAGTGCCCGCATTCCGCCGACATCATGCCATCATTATGTTAGCATTGTAACAATATAATGCCTGAATTCTGTCAGCACTGAACCAATAAAGTAGTGCCTGCCTTTTGCAGACATTCTGCCAGAATTGAACCGATAAAGTGCCTGCATTCTGTCAGCATTGTACCGATAAAGTACCTGGACTCTCCAGACACTGTACTGGCGTTCTCCCAGCTATGTACCAATACAGCTGGTCTTTTGACCCTGATGGTAAGTGAATGAATAAATAAATAAATAAATAGATAAAGTGCCCGCATTCTGCAGACATTGTACCAATATAGTGCCCGCATTCTGCCGCCATTCTGACAGCACTGTACTGATACAGCATCAGCATTGTGCTGGGGTTCTGCCAGCGTTGTACCAGCAGTGCAATGGAGTGCATTTGTGCACCCCAGGTTGGCAGAAACCGCTTCGAGACAGACCGAACTTACGCTTTACAAGCACTCGTTCGACTCAACCTCAGAGACGCAGAAAGGCGGCGCGCAAAAGGCTCTCAAGAGCTCACCTTAACGAGGGCGTGGAGGATTCCAGCTTGCACCACCACGGGGCGTTGCGCCGTCTGGACGTAAAGGGAGACGGCCATCTCCATAGCACGCTCGCCGAAAGGCACGAAGCTCAGCGTCACCCAGTCCAGGTGCTTGGGACCACCGCTGCCCGAGCGCGCCTGCAGCTTGCCGTACGCCGGCGCCTGGCACGCGTAGCAAGCGAAGCTCAGCAGCTGGCCGAAGATGGCCGGCACCATCGCCTGGAGGTTCTCCGTGCCTGCCAACGCCTCCTGCAGAAAGCGCAAGGTCGTGAGGGCCGGTTCAAGGTTGTGAACCAATTGTGACATACCCGAGATCGTGAGCCCCGTGGCAATGAAAAGAAGAAACAGTTGTTTCCCATTTGTTCGAGCACCCTTTCCATTCTGAGTCTGTGAAGAGGTCGAAGTCACAAGTGACCCGTTATGTACCCCAGTTTGTTAACCCTCCCCATTGTAGGAGTAAAAATTGCAATTTCTTGTTTGTTTAAATACACTTTGTATCCCGACGAGCACGCAGAAAGCCCTGGGTCAGTCCAGGGTCATGAGCGAGCCCTAGTGTACCACATTTCATTTACCTTTTGCCAAACACAGAACACATGGTCGTCTCCCTATTTTTTCTAGTACCCTATGCGTCCCAACAAATGCATGAAGTTGCAACATACTTAACACCACAAATCCGAGTGTTCTAAAAATTTAGGCGAGGAGCACGCCTGTCTTATTGGGATAGCAAGGACAAAGAGTGCTGCTTCGACCATCCAAGGATGTAAGAATAAGTCTATGCAACTAGACATTTTCACCGGCGCTCCACATTCCAGTAATTTCTATTCGAAAGCCACCTTCGCCCGAGAGGCTCGATACTTGAGACTTTAGACCGAAATTGACAAACTCGTAGGGAGCACCTCACCAGCCTACAAATTACACTAAAATGTACCGCAGCAAAGGCTAGAAGCATGCACTCACAGGTCCAAAGAGTTCATGCAGCCCAGCTGAGTTTCAAAGCGAGGAACTCGCATTTGCAGCCTTCACCCTGGCACACATTAGTGCGAGACGAGGTAAGCCTTTTCCGCGACTGCGAGGCCAATCCTCCGGGGTGCCTACCCTGTGCAGGGTGTCCATGGCTGCGAGGACGGACTCTTGCAGGGCCGTGAGCACCACCTCTGCCAAGGTGGGCAGGATGAAGGGCGACACCTCGCCGTGCACGGGAGCCGCCACCGCGTTCTGCACCACCGTCGAGAACTTCTGCAAGTCCGACACCACAAACCTGCACGCCGCCAGGTGGGAAAAGAATTGGTTGAAATACAAAGCAAGGTGGTGAACCAGTGTCACCAATGTGCAAGTTATTGCGAAGGTAGCAACCTTGGCTGCCTATTACGACCATAATTCTCCATACTAACCTTTTCTCTTCTTTTTGTCAGGGAAGTTTCTTTACTACCTCATGCAAAGATGCCTTCGAGACGTCTACAAGTTTTAAAGTGGACTAGGCCAATAACAAGATGAAAGCAGCAGGGAGAAGCTTCGGGCGTCCCGCCTCTATCGCGAGCTTCTGACCTTCGACTACGCCTCGGCATCTCGCGCGCCTCGAGTGCGCGTGGAGCCGAAGCACAGTGGAAGGCATGGAGAGCATGCTGGAAGCCGGGCGCTCGAAAGACATGCCCCGCCATTCCCACCTTGTTAGGGACTACGGAGGATTCCCCAAAACATGAAATCCTACTCGTTGCCAAGCGTTAATACTCGTCCATGCTTAGACAGACACTTCACGTGGCAGGAAGGTGGAGCACTTAATGGGGGGGTATAACGATTGGCAGGGAGATTGCGTCGGTAGCTTGCGCCGTCTGCGTCGGGTACGGAACGTGGGGAGCCGCCCACCTGGCTTTGATGTGCTGGAACAGGTGGGGGAAGATCTGGACGAGGGCCGTGAGGAACGCCTGGGACGGGATGTAGAGCAGCGACAGGCTGTTGGACGACCGAGCGTCTTCCACTGCCACGTCCGGCGGAGGGCGCGTGCTCTCTATGCCGATGTTGTACCACACCTGCGCCAAAGGGAGAAGCAAAACGTCTAGTGTCAAGCGAAGAACTCTCGAGCAGTAGTCTTTAATAATATGCTATTCAATATTCGCTTCGAGACGTACAGCGATATTAAAATATTTCAAGGTGTTGATCGTGGCAGGTTAGCCCTTTTGAGTGCGCTTCTTACCAAGCACCAGTGCACTGTGGAGGAACAACACCCACAAATTTCGCTTCAGCGGGTGTAGCTTTTCCGCAGTGCACTGCAGTGCACCCCTGAAAAGAAAAAAAAAAAAAAAGTTTTTTAATGCGAAAGCATTAACTGTCCCATGTAGTGAGCAGACGTCATCAGCTTTGAAGCCGTGCAAACGGCATCTTAAATCCTTTCTCCAAGTGAAGCCAGCTCTCAGCTATGAAACGACGCAAAAAGCCTAGCCAAACGGCACCTAGTTTCCCTGATCCCAAAGGAACGGAGTAAAGCTGGTGGATTTCGGCTTCGGTCCCACCGGCTGGCGTCCGTCAACGAGGTTCCGATTGGCCGCTGCACTTCAGTTTCAACGACCGCCACCCCATGGCGCTGCCTGTCCACACCGCGAGCGCGCCGGTAACACGAAACGTCCAAGGTCAGAGCGGCAAGGAGAGCTGGGAGAGCGCGCGATCGGCCGACGCAAATACGGCCGACATGGAAAGACGACAAGCATGCTTTCGCATTCACAACTCATAAGAAGTGCTTTGGTGTAACAGTCTGGTTGGGACACGCGTGCCATAAAATTAATTTTACACATTCTCACCCATCCAGACTTTGGCCTGCTTCGGCAGGCCTAAGTCTGGATAGGTGGGGATGCCTTCCGGAGTTGGAAGTCAGGCTTGCAACGTACGGCGCAAAAGTGCGCAATCGGTCCCTACCCGTGACGTGCAATGCGATCGTCGAGCAAGCGCGGAAGATGCGGTTGATGCTGTCATTTACGAAGTGAGATTTCGTTGGACGACGCCGACGACGTGCTTAGAGAATGTAGCAGTGATGACGATGGGACTGACATCACCGGTGCGGACGAGTCATAGTCTAGTCGCGGACGGAGTGAGAACGACAGGGAGCTGCTTCAGTTGTCCCGCCTCCAGCGTGAACTTTCTAGTTTCGATAATGCCTGGGCGTCTCGTTCTCATGCACCTTGTGCATGCATGCGCAGCCAAAGCACGCCAGAAGGCATCAATCGCGTGCTGAAGGCTGGGCTTTCGGAAAAAGACACTTTGCCGTAATCACATGTTCGCAATAAAATGTGCATCTAAAGATTTTCTTTGCTGATGTGTAATGTGGGGGGATCGACTTACAATCGTGTAAATACGGTACTACGCCGATGTCCACATGAAAAAGCCACGCACCCCTGGTACGCCGTCGTTTATAACTAAGACTCCGTGTTTTCGGAGTTTATTTTTCGTCAGATTCGGAGGGTGTTTTTCGGAGTTTATTTTTTTCCGAAAATTCTGAGTTTATTTTTGTTTGATTCCAAAATCTTCGAAATTCGGAGCTTAATATTGCAATGTTTCTTATAAAAAAAAAAATATATATATATCCGGGTGTATACGTATGCTAGATAAGAAAAAATAAAACGCGCTTATATGAAATAATATTTCTTCAGCTGGGTTTGGAGTTGGTGCCATTGCCATTGGCAAAACTAATTTGTCCCACAGCAAAAGCGGCACACATCTGTGGCTTGGATAAACGCCGACACCTTAAAAACAAACTCGTGGAGGTAGTCGCTCGGAAGCATGTATTCATTCCATCCTATTCCATGCTACCCCGCGGCCGTGCGGGGTGGAGTGGTAAAGGATGTAATAGGGAAGTTTCAACTGCCCCTCTTTTAATTTTATGCAATCTCTAGGATCCATATATAGCTTTAGCTGTTACAAAAACACAACCTCTCTTCCTCTTAAAACATAAAAAGTATGGCCCAACCTGGAAACCAATACAGGGGCTTTTGTCGTGACCCGAATGCACAATGACATTTCGTTCTGAACCTTGACGAGATGATCGGCAAGACCCCCTTCTGAACCTTGACGAGATGATCGGCAAGACCCCCTTTTGTCAATGAACCGAGATTTAAAAGATAACTGTGGTGGCATTTTCCCGAGACCATTGACCGTTTGCGCTAATCAAACTTACTTATAAAATACCGTCTTTATTTAGTTTATTGGAAGGGGGGGGGGGGGGGGGGGGGGCACTGCAACATCAAAATTCTGAGTTCATCGGATAAATCCGAATTGATCAGAATTTTACCTGCGGGTGTTTTTCGGAGTTTTTCAGATTTATCCGAAAACATGGAGCCCTATTTATAACCAATCGGTGAAGAGGTTTCTCCTACCCACGGCCAGCAGGCACAGAAGCGCCCTCTATTGGTCAGAAGGGCAAACAGAGGCACGAAGCCATTGGAGACTTGCGCTTAATTTCACGGGGCGCCACAACATTGCACCAGGAAGCTCGGGCGATATCGTCCTGCTTCGTCGCGAAGTGCCCAAACGTTTTTGAAGGACGGAAAACCATTTCCTGCCATTTCAGCTAAAGTTTCCCATAACTGGCAACAGCGATTTCGAGCACCGAGGCGGCCAAGGTGCCGCTACTCCTAAGCGCGGCTTAGTTGGCAGCTCTAGCGCGATTACGGAGGCACGGACAAGAGGGGGGGGGGGGGAGCGCGCACCTTCCAGGCCGTGGTCCAGAGTGCCGCCTCTCCCAGGGGGTCGGCCGAGCGCCCCAGCAGGGCCCCACCGTTGTTGCCGGACCCCTCGCTGGGCCTACTCAGGTGCAGGATCTCCTGGAAGCTCTTCAGGGCCGACAGGGACACCTGGTGGCGGATGTGAGGATGTCCGTCAGAGACGGCCGTCTGACCTTACCGCCATTACTAAGGTGACGACACAAATGCTGCAGATGCAGCTACAGTGGAACGCGGGATATTACGGTACCGTAATATCCCGAGTAAGAGCCCACCTAAATTTGAGAGCAAATCAAGTGAAAATAAATGCTACCTTTCGGCTTGCAATCGACAAAAGTTAAGTGCTACTGCAGAATCCTTTAGGTTCGCGAGCCCTTAATTTTTTGCAAACTTCGCGAATTGAAAAATTTGCGGAATATAAGGGCATGCGAAAATTTTGAGTCTCAAGATTTTCAATGCACGCGTCTAGAATACACAAAATTGAGTGGCCGCAAATATGACCTCCGTGTCCAATTCGCGAAAAACAGGGGCCATGAAAATAAAGGGTTTTACAGTATTTCTAGAAGATGTGACCTGCTAAACTTGTTATCTCAGCAAGGGGCGACGAAGCTTAGACAACTTTCTCAAGTGTCTCAGCAATGTTCGCCTATCTCCCGCCCTGGCTAACTAACCCCATTTCGGCAGACGTCACCATTAGCCAGGGCCTTGCATTCACTAGAAATAAGCAGGGTTCGGAGTTTTCGGTTTAAACCGATAAAAACCGATAAAAGTACGCCGAATCTATTTTCGGAAATTCGGTTTTAACCGAAAAAGGTCAGTTTGTAGGTTTGGCGTTTTCGGTTTAAACCGGCAAAAACCGATAAAAGTATGTCTAATCCGTTTTCTACAATTTGGTTTGAACCGAAAAAGGTCAGCTTTTTAGGGCCGCGTCGAGGTGGGTGGGGGATGGGGAAGAAATAGAGAGGGCTTTGCAAGGTTCGACATTGTGCGACGTCTTTGTGATTGCCCTCTTCCAAGGTTCAACATGCAACAAAAGAGGTCTTGGATTGGCCATCGCGGGACACCTGTGTCCCTTCTGTGATCGGGCTTAGTACGTCAAGTTCTCGGTCCTAAAAAAAAAGTTTGGATGTGGGCTAGTGAAAGGTTTTTCCATTCAAGCACTTCAGAGGACATCGAGAAAAGTCGTTAATACCTTTCTTAACACCCTCTCTCAAACTTCCCTGAGATTGAAAACATTATAGATTGTTTTTTTCCATTCCGCTGGTTCCTGTACGGTCATCACCTCAGATGGTCACGTCGTCAAAATGGGAAGGAAAAAGAAGCGCGCTGAAAAATATGCCCGCGAATTTCGCGATTTTGAGGTGTGTCCTGATAGAAGTTATTCTTTGACTGATCACATATATCACAGCTGCAAGGATCATCTGATCCAGTGTCCGATGGTGTTTTTTTTTTGTGTTTTTTTTCATATTCACCAAAAAAAAACGGTAACCATTTCTGGAAATAAATATACACCGAAAAAAAATTAAAATTGATTTTTAAAATAAACATTGAAAAAAGTACACCGAATTTCGAAAAAATAAAAACCGAAAATGCGGAACCCTAGAAATAAGCTATCTTTCGGTGTTTTTTGAAAAAAAAATTTAAATCACGCCAAAAAGAGGGGTGGGTAATCTTTAGAGGGTTGGGCATTTCTCGGAATATTATTGTAAACAAAAGTATAATGGAACACCTTTGTGGTAAGGTAAGGCCTCAAAGAGAAACTCTTCACCATGTCAGTATCTTCACTATACAAGGTGTTATTTTTTTTTTTATGTATATAACTAAGTCTTTCTCCACGCTTGAAAGGGGGTGCGCAAAGTTGGGGAGTCGATGTCACGAAAACTTGGTCACAGAAGTGACGTCGCACAGATCGCCGCCTGCTTGCTGCCGGGAACTACGCAGTGCTCACGCGCGTCCTTTCTTATCTGCTGACTTGCTCGTTTGCTCGCTTAAAAGAGATGCACCCCTGTCCGATAGCCACAGCGATAGACGCCACTCCGGCAGCCGGGATTCCACAATCTTCGCTCATCGTTCTGAACAGCGGCCGAGCTCGCGTGCTCAGCGGCACGGACAGTTCATACAACTTTCTCGCGCAACTCGGCGAAGCATCAAAAGTAATCGCTCGCAATTCCGCAAATGCGTCTCGAAGACAGTGGCACGGGGGGCTGCGGATTTGTCTCTGCTGGGCTCCGAGCCACGGGCATTCACTTCTTGCGCACCCGATATCGCCATGCGGCACGAGCCCATGGACGTTTCTTCAGCTGCAGCCGCAGTTCTACAGAAATGTGTGCAGCATAGTAGATGTATGTATCAACCAATTTTTTTCGTCTGTCCTACATAAAAAAAAAAAAAAGAAATTAGTTGTTTTACTACACTTTTAATTTTGTTATTAGCTTACCCGACATTGCGGTCACTTGGAACAAGGTTGCTTCTGCTGTTAGCCTACTCATTAATGGAGATATCTTCATTTACTTTTAGGGGCGAAGCTCCTTAGGGTCTAGCCTCGTCCAGCGTCCGTGCTGACATCGATTGCCATCCTATCTGTCTTAAAAAAAAGAAAAAATGTTTGCACAGTCGAAAGGATTTGAACCTGTGCGGGGAGACCCCAATGGATTTCTAGTCCATCGCCTTAACCACTCGACCACGACTGCGGGACGAGTAGGGGGCTCTGAGATGTGGTAGTAATTTAAGAGCTGCGGATGTCATGGATGAAACGTTGCATGTAGCCGCTCAATGTCTATACAGAAGAGGGCGCTGCGGTTAAATGCGTATATAATCGCGTTAAACTTTGCATGCATTGGCTCAACGTTTATAGACGAGAAGGCGCTACGGTCAAATGCTCAGCTGCATATATCCACGATCCATAGCACACATTCTCTTTCTGACATGGACCGTTGACTTAAGCGGTGGAGATGCGTTCTCGCGGCGTCCAGCGGATTTAAGCTGATCCGCTAGAAGAACCACTGGCTCTGCATTTCACCGACCATAAAGCAGTAATAATGAAGTCGAAACGCAACCCGGAACTCAGCACTACCCATGAGCAATAAAAAAGAATCAGCACCATCAGCACTACCTATGAACAATAAAACCAGTATCATTAGCACACCAGAGCTTCGCCCCAATCAACATCATTCACCACGTGGAGATGCGCAAGTTCTCAACGCAAGTTGCCGCCTCAACACAAGTTCTCGAAGCGACCTCGGCCCAAAAGCGAGGTAAACAACTCCCGCGTCGGATGCGCTCCCACCTCGTTGTTCTTGCTGAGCGCGGAGTTCTCTATGAACTCGAGGAGAAGCGCCCAGGCCCGGGGGAAGTCCCCCAGGGTGTGCAGCACCTGCCGCTTGACATGGAACACCCGGGCCACTCCGGACAGCGTCAGCACCTGGGAACGACCATACCCTTACTTGGTCGGCTGGTCGGTCGAGCCGGTTTCCTCGACGGTCCATTTCGAAGCGATGGAGTGACGAATTAAGTCTACCGGGCGAATCGTCCATCTAAATGCAATGTCGCGGGACGGCCCGCAACATTTTTTCTCAACCGCTTCAGTTATGATTCCGCTTAAATTTTGTGCAAAAATTCCGTATAATGATGCAGAACTTAAGGGTAATTCCATAAGCTTCGGTGTCCACAATCACTCAAAGTCGGAAGATCTAGAAAGTTTACCTATTTCCCATTTTGACAATTTTTCGACTTCGATTAAACTTGGTACAGCATTTGAAGCCTCGCGAACACAAACCTGTGTCGGGCCACTGGAAACAAAAAAATTAATTGACACGGGGATTGCCAATTGTCAAACTCTTCCTGTTTTTCGATTCATATTGAAATGTAAAATAGTGCGTGTCGTATGTAGGGGCCTCACAACGAGCGCTCATTTCAGAAGTCCTCGTCTCAAGAGACGTGCGTGTAACGCACATGTTTGAGACCGACTCAAAGATCAAATTCCGGCGATTCGCACTGCCGCAATTTCTAACGCACCACCGCAAGTTTGCCGCGCGAGTTTACAACGTGGAATTGCCTTGGGATTTGCAAGATTAAGTGGTCCACAAATGCTCAAAAGAACAAGAGAGAGAGAGAGAGATAATAGATGCTGCATTTGGAGATTGGCAGTGGTAGAAAAAACACTGGCTGCTTCAGAAAGAGCACAGAATTTGAGGAGGCATGGGTAGAGGGGAGGCATTCCCACCTGCGTCTCGGCCCACTGCTTCTGGGCGGTGTTGCGGGAGTGGTGGATGAGAATGTTGCCACCCATGTCGTTCACCTTCTCCGTCGACGCAGAGCCGGACAGCGTCCGGACGCGGTCCAGCAGTGGGAACAGGACCTGGGGGCAGATTGGGAAGGACCATCGAATGACGTCGTCGTGCGCAACATTTCTTAACAGTTTCCTTCGAACGTTGAGAGGTTAGATGTTTGGAAGAGGGTGACTGCCTGGAAATGGGGGTCGGTTGAGGCAAGGATATCGCGTGCGATTGTCAAGTGTTGCAAGGTTACTAAACGTCGTCGGGGGAAAAAAAGAAACGCAAGAGTCTGAACAGAATGAATAGGTGTCAGCATGGAGGATCGGGCGAGGAACAAGAAACGATGCAACCAACGACGCGAAAAAACGACGTGAATAAAATTTAAGAAGACAGTTGAGAAAAGACAGCACGATACCAACGAAACAGTTCTAGAGTGCGATATCTAAAAAAGGAACAAGCCGCAAGGCACTCGCGCAACAGGGGTGGCCGCGCTCGAGAAAAAACTTGCAGCTCTATTTCTCACGATCAAACAATTATGTGCAGAATTGTATTTTATGAGAAACATGGCCAATGCTCAAGTTTAATGTCCGTTTTTCCGACACGCACTGCCTCGCCTTTTCGAAGCGTCGCCTCGTCGCCCTCTTCTTCTATGCAACCCCTTCTTTGAAATGAGACAGGGGATGTGCAGATTGAGGCAAGGGAGCAACGAGTTGACATGCTTCATCGCGCATGCCAACAGGCTAAGGAGGTTTGCGGGTGGCCAATGGAGCAGAGAGAGCGACAGGTGCGAATGTGGAAAGGGCAATTCTACCGTATCCACTTTTGCTACCCTTTCCACTTAAAGGGATGCTGAACCGAAATCTAGATTCTACAAAACACGAGGCAAAAGCGTGTAACGGGATGCTACAAACACCAAAGCATCACTCATACAGCAATATATCGAACGAATTAGCATATTTTTTTAAGAAAGGAGGCGCATTTGATAAAAATGTTTTTCCGAGAAGGAGAGGGAACGGCCTCGTGTCTTCTCCGCTTCGCGGCCTTGAGGGAACGAAGCAAAGAGAGGAGGAAACTAGGTACCTTCACGTCACGCGCCTCGTTGGCCTGGTTAAATCTCGACCTCTTTTTCCAAAAATACAGCCGTCCATTCACGATATCGCCCTACGAGTGGTGTTATAAAGACTGTAGCGTCCCGCCTACATATCCTGCATTGTTTTTTCTGAAATCCAAATTTCGGTTCACCATCCCTTTAAGTCCAGAAAACGAAAGCAGATGTTAGCTTAGGCGCGTTTGTTTTGCCGCGACGAGTCAAAGTTGTTCGAGTGCTCGTCAAAATTATTTACGCCTATACAATGCACGACACCGGTGCTTCCCTGAAAAGTAAGCTAGAAAAGAACCGACAGAGAAATTTTGGCCAACGTTTTACTGATTCTTAGCATACATTAGGGCGTTGACAGCGATTTGGGCCCGTCAGGACCGGACACCAAGACCACAGATGTCCGCGTCCGTGCCCCGCCGTTCCAGAGCAGCCGAAAAACACGAGGCTCTTTATTTAGATTGTTACGTCTACTCTACGCGTGTACCACACGTGCGCCCAAAATCAGAGTCTGCTTCCGTCAGAACGAACTCCGCACTAAAAAAGCCGACGTGACCGAGAGTACACGAGATGACTAAGTGCAGTTGAATGGATGGGGGTGCTCACCTGCCAGAGGACGGCCTGCCAGGTCTCCTGCCTGAGCACGCCCCCGTGGGCGTTGATGGTGGAGAAGAGAGTCTGGCCGGCGCTCTTGCGGACCGCCGACCGGGGGTCCACGCACAGCTCTCCCAGCCGCTGGAACAGGCACATCCACAGGGCGTCCCAGTCTCCCTGCTCCTCCTTCAGCTTCTCGGCATTCTGGTACAGGTAGTCTGCCATGTGCCACTGCAGGAAGCGAGGAACACAGAGGGTCTCAATGAGACACGCATATTTTATACGTCATTTTCTATGTGCTTTGTGCGTCATTTTCTATGAGAAATTTGTCCCGAACGAGCGTCGTAACAAGCATCACAAACGAGGGTCGTAAACGAACGTCACGATTGAGCGCCATGAACGAGAGTTGTGAATGAGTGACGTTACACAACGTTAAGGTTACATACATGAACTTCGAGCCCCAGCGGGGCTTGAACATGGGTCGGCGCACCAGCAACGGATACTATAGCAGTTGAGCTACTAGCACAGCTGCTATTGGAGGTTAAATGATGCTATCTGAATGCAAACTTCATACCTGCAAAGTTCGGAGAAACCAAATGCGGGAGAATTTCTAAGCAGGGGGGCTAGCGGTTTTTTCAAAGGAAATATTGAAAACAAATTTACACAAAGACAACTTCATTACATTTATGTTGCACTGCTCATGCTAGCGAGAGACAACTGGGCCTCGCTCATTGCAGCTGTCTGTTGTGACGGCAAAAACTTCTTGTGTAAGAGGGGGTAATTTGCATTTCCCGGGAGCTTTTTCTGTCAATCTTTCAACCTTACAAACTAATACGGGAGACTTGGCAGGTATGAAACGTGCCAGCGAGAGTAGAACAATCTTGAATTGAAGTAATAAAATGAAACATTACATAAATATAAATAAATAAATAAATAACAGATGAACAAAAATAATATAAAATAAACTTGGATGAAAATAAAGAATAGAAAATAACAAATTCAAAACCTTGCACAAACGACACATAGAGTGCGGTTTGTGCGGGACACATTCTGTGCTTCACCGGTCTTTGTCAGCATGATCCAGCCCGCATCATTTTCTTAACGCAGATTGCGTCACAGCACGGGATCCCAAGCTGGGTTCCTACACTATGTTTCAACTTACGTCCAGACTCGGCTGACGCTGCGAGCTAGGGCCCACCCCAAATGGGGCAATTTCTTCCATCAACTTGACGTCGCAACACCAGCAACGCGGGCCACCTGCTTTTGCATGCAGCAACCGAAGCTCTACGATTTGCCATTGTCATCATTAAATTTTAATTTTCTTGCACTATTTAGACATGCAGTTATGCGCTATAATTGTGTTTTTATATCTTTAACTGACTTGGAGAATACTTACTCATCTTTCTGAAACAATTTACTCCCAGAAACGGTGCATTTCAAACGAGAACAGTCTTTAGTTGTCATCAGTGTCTTGCGAAAACATTGTGTCCCTGATTGGCTGCCACCGCTTCAAACGTTTCCGAGTTGTCTGAATTGCTCGTCCGTTTCGAGCCGGGCGCGATCAGAGCAATTCGTGTTGCGGCGCCAAGACCTCGAGAAAGCTAGGGAACAACTCGCCAGCAACGTCGAAACTACTGGGAAAGTTGCCCCGCCTGACATGGGCCCAATCAGGCCAATCAAGAGAATTCAAAAGCGCAAGTCACTGAGCCCTTTCTGTTTACAACTGGTTCAGCAAAGATAGACCACGTACAGGAACACGACGAGCACCGTGAAGGTGCGCTTTTGACACAGTCCGATTGGTCTGGTCGGCTCATAGCATCATTGCATCTAGACTCAAGTTGAGGCAAAGTATGGGGGCACCAGAGTACCCCGACAAGCTCCCCAAGTTCATAAACTTCCTTGACCATACCCGCCCCCGAGTGAAGTGTTCTTCCAGTTGAAGCGCTGCTTCCACAGACCTCGGCCGCTCGCCAATACGTAACTGCGGACCTAAGCACTCCCCAATACACTCATTATTGTTCACAAGGTCTAGGCTCTTCCACCCCTTTGCGAGTCCTCGCGTTACGGGATAGAGTTTCGCAAGAAAAACGACACAAGGGACGGCCCCTCTGCACGCTCGCGTTCACTTACGACCAACTTCTCGTGATCTCTCGCAACGAAAGAAGACACCTGCATGTTGGGCGCCGTATACCGGGTGGCCCAGGAACCGCGTTTCAATAGAACAAAAAAGTTTTGCAATATTTGCGAGGTCAGACGTACAGGCCATCTAGGAGAGATGGTCGTTTGCGACGTCAGAAGTTTTTGGAGCCGAGAAAGACAGAATGGTGCGCAAAAAAAAATAAAGAATACATATATGGAAACCCCGAGCGCTCCCCGGCTACACAACAGTTAGCACCAGTGTGCCAGCAGTTGCGACAGATCACAACACATTCGGCGCAGTCAAACACAAATGTGCGAACGAGCCTTAAAAGGGCACTAAACCACTCTCTGCAACAGTGTATGTATGGTCATGACCCAATCTACGGGCTCTAAGCAACCTAAAAATCCAATCGTAAAATTCGTACGTGATTTCTCGTGATTTCGTAATTAAAATCAGTATCAAAGATTATTTGCCTCGGAACTATCGCCGACACCAGAGGGCGCCACCAGACAAGGAGAAAGGCTTCTCCTCGTCCGATGGCGCCCTCCAGTGTCCGCGATAGTTCCGAGCTAATCGATTTTTGATACCCTATTTATAGAGAAATCGGACACGCACGAATCTAATGTTTGGTTTCTGCACGCCCCAGCCAGATGACCTTTACCGCCGCAACTGTAGCGCACCGTTTTACAGCGCCGGCAATCGTCTGCGGCGTGGCGGTCATTGCACCTCCGAAATGGCACACAAGGACTTGCTGCATGGTTGCCCCGCCCTGGCTTCCCCCACGGCTGTAGACGAAACAGATGCCACCTACGCTGTCTTGCGAATCAGTCTTCTGCATTGTCCGGACGCTTCCGCCGACAGGCTAGGAAGAAATGGCAAATTCTTGTGCCTCTTCCAGCCCTAAAGCCTTGAGCGCGAGCAAGAACCGTCGTGCATCGTCGTCCCGGAGGCCGCAGCCGTTCGGTCTTATAGCATGCAATTAAGGGTCTCACCAAGATTGCAGTCCTTCTGCAAGGTGCAGCAGGTTGGCGATGAAGTCTTGAACATCCTCCCCCCCTTCTTGCTTGCGCGAAAAAAAGGAGTAACTTGCCGCAACCTCATTTGCTCGATGACTGTAGTATTCTTCCAGGTAACCCGCGATGGCTTCGTAAGTTAGGCTGTTGACGGCCGCAGACTGACAGCGCCCTTGAAGAATTCGAACGACATTGGCGCTCAGCAAAAACACCAGAAGTGTCCGTTTCACCTGGTCCGTGATGCCGTGTCTCTTGAATAAGCCTCCAAGCGGACGCAGTACGTGCTCCAAGTGCTGGTCGTTTCATCGCACGCTCGTGACCACGTAGCCATACTTTCTTCATTTCCCTTCAGCGCGTTCCTAACAGGCCGCCAAAGGACCCCGTCTTCGTGACCGCCGCTGTAGCCGAGCTTGAGCGAATCCAGACTTGATTAAGCAGACAACGGAAAGAGCTTTATTCAGCTGCTACAAAGTCCTTTTCTCGCACATGCCCTACACGAGGACTGGTGTGTGCGTATGCGTCTGTCTGGACGCGAGACTCTTGCCGATAGAGGACACCACACACGTGGTGGGGTTGCAAAGACACGGCAGTTACAATCGTAAATAGACTATAGCAGAAAATGGTTTAGTGGCCCTTTAAAAGCGTTCCGTCCACTAGGTCAGACCCTTGCACACGAACAAATCCTTTCCCGGGAGACCCAAGGAGGAGGAGGGGGGGGACTCACGAGCAGCCCCACGGCTGTGAGAGACACGTTGAGCTCCTGGTTCTGGGAGCCGAACTTGGCGGCCGTCTCGGTGCACAGCTGCAGGCAAGCCCTGGGCATGATGGGCAGAAAGTCCGCCACCACCAGCTGGAGGCACTGGAACGCCGACCGGATCAGGGCCTCCCCGTGACCCTCGGAGATGCCGCCCACAATCGTTAGCACCTGTGCACCGTGAGAGAGAGGGACCGTCGGAGGTGTCCTCGGCGTGGCCACGAGATAAGAGCCCTCATGGTTTTTCTCTCATGGCGAAGACCCGTTTCCCAAGCTTCAAGAGTCACGGACAACATTACTGGCGCAGTCTCGACTCCCGTGTCACTGCTTTGCCCTAGGGAGAGTGGTTGAGGTTTGGAGTTTACATGGATATCCACAGGCTAAGCCTAGCAGGAAGGCAAAGACAAAGGCATAATTTCTGCCTGACTGAGGCCGCTACCACCTACAGTTTACAGCAAGAACACAATTGTAAAAAAATGCATACACCATATTTGTATGACCACTGCACCCAGTCATTTAAGTCAATTTGGGATAAAAAAAAAACTTTTTTCATAGACAGCGTGCACCCGGTGCATGGTCCGCACTTGGCGCTTAATTGCATGTGACTATTTCTCATACACAGCACGCCTCAAATAATGCCTGCTCTATTAGCTAACAAAAAAAGCTTGTATTGTAAATAAGTCATAATTAGGGATGCCGCGAACTTTTTTCGAATCGAAGTTTCGATGATCGAATCAAGCGGTTCGAAAGGTTCGAAAGATTTCGATTTTTCGAATTGTCTATATTGTAAAATTTGACGGAGGTCGAATTTTTGAACTTGTTAAGCTAAGAAGTTCGACGCTTTTCGAACCGTCGAACTTATTACGCTAAAAAATTCGATATTTTTCGAACTTTCGAATTTATTGCGCTGCAAGGTTCGATGCTTGTCGAACTTTCGAACTTGACTGACCAAAAAATTCGATGAATTTCAAACTTTCGAACTTATTTATCAAAAGAAATCGAAAAGTTTCGAACTTTCGAATTCTGAAAAGTCAGAAGTTCGACGAACTTCGAACTTTTAGGGTAAAAGTTCGACGTTCGTCGAACTTCGAAAGACCGGCGAACGGTTTCATTTGATTTTAAGTAGTGGGGTACATTCGTAATTTTTTTTTTCTCAAACTTTTACACGCGGTGCTGCGTTCCTTACGAAAGACAATGTCATTTATTTCAATGTTCTGGCATGCTTAGGTTTAAAGAAATAAATCCCCGAAGGGGCGAGGAAGGACGACGGGTTTTTGACGATTATCGTTTGCGCCAGATTTGAAGCACGCTGCAGCCGGAGCTATTCATGGTAGAGAAGTTATACTTTTTTAAGAATGATCTATGTATAGCCTAGGCAAGTGCCGTCTTAAGATGTGATTATTGTTATTCAATGTGAGTTTCGAAGACATGTCCAAACATGTATCTGCATGCAATTATGACCTAAACTTGATATTTACTTTCGTCTAAGTTGTTTGAGGTATCGCACTTAAATTAACACCACAGACAGTACATATCATTGCCATCTGCAGAATACAAAATAATATATTTATTGTTTTTTCACGTTAAGGAATAAATTAACTCATGGGAGAAGATTTCTAGTAGTGTTCAAGTTCAGCACGTCATTAAAAGAAAACTTTTTTTTTCGCTTCACGTTCCTGGGACGTGTTTCTTTTAGCCTGTACACATTTTGGTAAAAGAAACTTGTTTCGAAGTTCTGAACCTCTGAATATGCAAGAATAGAACACTTCCGACGAATTCTTGATAGTTTTTTTTTCTCCTGCTTTTTATTCCCGCATTTATTCTTTTTTTTTTTTTCTTTTGTTACTATCGGCACAGGTGTTTAGGTCGAAAAGACAGCTTTGAACTTCCGAACCACTAAGCATGTGACGAACAGTGCCTTCTGACAACGAGTTTCTAACAATGACCATCTACGCAACCTTTTATGCAGTGAAGAGCGACATTAGCTATACATATGCATAAATAATTTCAGATTAAAATAAGCTCGACCACGCCCTCTTTCCCCGTATTGTTTTCTTTAACAGTCCGAAATACCTGCAAGGGGAGGAAAGAGGCTGAAGCCCCCCCCCCCCCCCCCCCCCGCTACCCTCTTTCCCCCCGTTTTTCCTCTTCCGACGCCACTTGTATGGTAGAACGCTCCTCGACCTCGAGTTGTGTCGGCTTTTGTGCTTTTTGCGAGGCGATTCCTCCGTCCCAGAAAATAAACCTCCAGGACAATTATAAACTTCACCGGATCGGATTACTACCAGCGTGCAAGGGGTGGCGAGCTAGTTTGCCAGGTCGCTTCAAGGTTTTTCTGAGCCTCAACCTCCTGCTCGGCCCTGGCCGTTTCGAACTGGAAGAGTTTCGTAAAACAGTGTGTTCGTGTAATCACAACTGCGTGATGCAGGTTAAAGACCCCCCCCCCCTCCCCCCCGGGGCTGGCGGTCACAATTCTGCACTGGCAAATATTCCAGCACATCCGGGACACTCGTCGTCTCATTTAATCGCCTGACCAACTTCGCAGAATCTAGATATCACACCCTAACTTTTCTAAACTTGATTTTGTGAAAACCAGTGAGTCGTGAAAACGTTATTTGAAACTGAAACTGTGGAAAAACTTGAAAATCGGACTTCGAACTTTGAAAACTTGGATTAGAAAAAAATTCAAAATCTTCGAAGTTTTTTTTTTTTTTATTTTTTTTTATTTAGCGCTAAAAGAGAATCAAAACCTTCGAACTTTTCTAACTTTATGCAAAAAGAAATTCGAAATCTTCGAATTGTTCGAACTTCATGTCTATAAAAATTCGAAGCGTTCGAAGTTTTCGAATTTTTTTTTACAAAGAATTTCGAAATCTTCGAATTTATCGAACCTGAAGTAAAAAAATATTCGAAATATTCGAATTCGAAATTTTAGAAACCGTGAAAGCTTCGAACTTTTCGAATTCGAAACTCCGCTGTGGACAAAAGTTGCGAATTTTTCGAAATCGAACCTCGGTCGGTACGAAAATATCGAAATTTTTCGAAATCGAACCTCAGTTCGCTTCGCAAATATCGAAACCTTTCGAAATCGAACCTAGGGTGGTTCGCGACATCCCTAGTCATAATTAAGACACGCTGTCATTCACAAAATCTGTCACATTGTGTCATAATGAACGATCAAGAAAAAAAAAAAAAAAATCCTTGCATAGTAGATAGTCTGCATGGCACAAAAATTTCAACTTTTAAGCATCTGTAGTTTACAGACTATTGTCCAAGAAATATGGTACACACAGGAAAAAAGAAAAGACCTTTGAACCATTTTCGGAACAACCGAAGATCTCGGTTGTGCAACGTCTTCTCTGCCACCAGCCTCCCTCAGCTGAGACAGCAGCGATCGAAGCGGCCAGGCTGGTTTTCGGAAATAGCCAGGCAGGAAGGAAGGCCTTACCTGCGGCCATCCGTGGGTGAGGGTCTCCCCGTTGCTGTGCAGGAGGGAGAGGGTGCAGTCTAGCTGCTTCTGCCGAATGTCCGGGTGGGCCGACGACATCTCCACCAGGGGCGCCAGCAGCAGTACCTAAAGGTAGAGCGCCTAGGTTTAAAGGGCAACTCCGTTCAATTCTGAAAATTTTGAGATTATCTGTGATTCCACATTAAAGAGCACTAACATAAGGGACTACATCACTTGCTACGCGAAAAATTTTATATATTTTGTGAAATCTTCCTTTAAACATGAACCGAAACCGAAACTTTAGCTCCGTCGGGCAACATTGGCCTCGGGCCGCCGGAAACATGGCCGCCATGTGGTACGAGCAGTCGCACGATTCTCCACACGACAACGGGTGGGATTGGGGAGGACATGTGCGAGGCGGAAGAGTCACCTGCACCGCAGTCTTCATCACCTTTTCGTGCCGATTTGGTGAACGAAACTCCAAAAGATAATAATCTCAAACGGTGAGACGACGACGGCAGTTGTGACGGAGGAGACGGCAGTAACAGCAATACGGCCGTACAGGCCAATCATATGGACACCGCTCAGTACCGAGAGGCGACGCTGCTGACGTCGCCTGTTACGCTTGCCCCGGGAAGTAAAAACAAACAAAAAGCAGCGATGTCGATGACGTTTAGCGTAATGTTGGCTAAGCCAACACCGTAGACTTGACTGCGCTGTTGACTGCGCCTCAATTTGCCCTCTAGAGTCGGCCAATATCGGCAACTTGGCGAGTTCCAAAGTTTGCCGGACCATTTAAAGGGACACTGACACCCCCAAAAATTTTTAAAATTTTTTCCAGGCAGTTTATTAAGGTGTCAGAAGATTACCCAATCAATATTTTGCTACAGCATCAAGTATATTTTTAATAAAGTCGAAAAACGCAACTGCTCAAAATCAAAACTGGATTGTAGAGGAAGAAGAAATACAGAGAAGGAGAGAGTTGCCAAAAGTCATGTAACTGTGCAACCTTTTTTTTTTTTCTTCTTTTTTTTTTTCAATCAATGCTTTTGAAGTTTTTTAGAAGCCACACAAAATGGGCACCATATTCTTTTTCTATTTCTAATGTTGAGTGCGTCTTCGATGCCCCACAACTTTGATTATATTTGGTAGTTGTGTCTATACAGTAAAGAACAGCACCTGATCACAGAGAAGAGAGTGAGTGCGACACAAACCAGCCAGTTCTTGACTGGAGGTTTTCGGGCGGAAAGAAAACGAATTTCGAGCCGCAAATTGTGCTCTGGGTAGTAGGCTCTCACATGTCACATACAAATAAAAGCCTTGGTGAGCATGAATACCCTGTCAGTGTCCCTAAGAAAGATTTAGACAGAACTAGGCCATAATATTTGACGCGTGGTCGTACAAAGTGATACTGAAGAGGACTGCATTGTTTTTCAAAAACAAAATTCAAGCGGAGTGGCCCTTTAAAAAGGGGGACCAATTCAAACCATGGAGAGAGCTTTTGCAGCTTAATGGCGAACGTCTCTTGCACCGACCGGTCGCAGGTGCGCACGCGTCGCGTAGTCCCATGACAAGGAGAAGGGTGCGGAGAGGCGGACACACTTGCGGACGATTGACACTTTCGTCGCCTCTTTGCAGTTTGTAGGGCAAACGCGACCCATAAACCCCGTGACCTCGATCGAGCAGTCGGAAGTGCTTTCGAGTATGGGCACACTACCTGCAGGCTCCTCCCCGGGGGTGCCGGCGCCGTCGTATCCGCCGTCTTTGTCGCGTCCTGCGGCGGGTGGTTCAGGGCCGCCTTGACCAAGTAGGTGAGGGCCTCTGCGCCCCATTCACGCATGCGGGTGTGCGGGTGGGCGCACACCTCCAGCAGGTGCTGCGTCACTGGCCGCCAGAGGGCCTCCACGCGGCCCAGGTTTACCAGGCCGGTCTCCAGCAGCTTGGCCACCGCAAACAGGGACGGCTCCTGAGAACCCAAAACGGGCCGGCCAAAAGGTCGTCAACGAGCAGGTACACAATTTCACAAATTTTTAAAGCAATAGCTTTGTGGGCAACACTTTGCAGAAATTCCGTCCTCGTCGGTTGAGGTCGTCGTCACCACGCGCAAAAAAAGGAGAAACCTTTTTTTTTTTCTACCCTATGGGCCCGAGCAGAGGCAAGTCAGGACTTCCCGTCGGAAGAGAGCGAAGAGGGCAGCCCTGGCGTCCCGCCAAGAATGGCGTGACAAAAGCAGAATCGCCGTGTCATCTGCTTGAAAGACTTGCTTTCCAACATTATTTGCCTTATGCAAAATCTCACTTTGGCAGTATCCAGTTGCTACGCGTAATGATGGATCGGTTTAGAAACTTCCACCGCGCTTACTCACTTACTTCACAAATCATTGAACACTGGTGAAGGTTGTCAGTGGCATCCACGACAGCTAAAAGAATTAACCGTGTCGCACCTCCATGCTCAGGTATGTGACGGCACCGTTCCACCCGCATTGCAGGTGGAATGGTGCGAAAAATGAGACTTTTTGTGGGCGAAAAATGTGGGCGAAAAATAAGACTTTTTGCATCAAAACGTTTTATATTCACATAAAGTGGCACTCCAACAATTTTAATGTTGAAAGCATTTCCAGCTTTTATTTTTTATATCCTTTACCTTGGCACAAGTGAGACAAAATGTGCCACCTTCCCCAAAACACTGCAATTCTGTTGCGTAATCGCGAAGGAAAAAACACCCTTTTTCCCGGCTTGCGGCTGCACATGGCAGTCGTAACTCCAGTGTCGCACCCTTCGGAGCATCCAAGGTTTTGTGGCGCCATCTATCGGAAGTCAATAAAACCAGTTCCTCTCCACCAGCTGCCGTCCCTCCCCATCTTTCTTCTGGCGGACCGCCATTTCTCTCGATCGCTCACCACGACCTTCAACAATGCTAAGTGGTTGCGGTGCCCCATTGCAGCCGAATTGAATCTTGAAAAGTCGACGATCGAGGACCGAGGGCTGGGTGCCTCAAAGATAGGATAGAACACATGGTACTCCCGAGAGGCGTTGCTGCACACCTCAGCCGAAAGACGGCGCGGTTTGAGGGGTACCACAAACTTCGATTTGCTTCGTTTTACAGGAAAAGCGCATACAGGAAAAAATGCTCTTCTGTTCTTTATTCTTTAGACAACGGAACAATTTCCACAATTAATTGGCCAAAGTTCAAAAATCGTTGCAGTCGTCGTCTCCATAGGAAATCTATGGAGACGACGTGACAAAAAGTGAGACGAAAAAGTGAAACAGAAGCGTTATGTCATCACTTGCAAGCGCAAGTAGCAGTGGTACCACGGCATACGCACATCGGTGTGTGCTTACCCGTCCCCAGTGAAGCGAGTTGAGCGTCTCACATTTTTGTCACGTGTCCATAACACCGCCGTTTGTAAGTACCAATTGATTCACCATGTCAAACCGCATCTGGGGAATCAAACATTTTTGAAAACGTTCGAGCATTTTCAGTGTTTGCACCACCGGGTGACAATTGTATCTAGGTAATTAAGGTAAGAAATCTGAAACTTAAGCAACCGCACGCATTCCAAGCTAGTGGTATGGTAGGCAAATGGGAGCTATCCTCAAAAAACGAGGAGAATACAATGAAAACACATATAAAAAAGACGTCAGGAGTTTTGCATTTGAAATAACATGACCAAGTATGTAACCACATTCTACAACAAAAAAAATTTTTTTTTCTTTGCAAAGTGTCGCATTTTATTTTGAAATTTCACCAATGAAGACACTTTACGCTTGTACCACTGACGTTTGTCACAAAGTAGCAGGAGGTAACAGCAAACAACACTGAGTCTCAAAAGGTGTTTCGATTGTATGCACAAGCAGTCACGCAACATTGCCAAAAACTTTTAGACCTACACTTTTTGAAGTTAAGTTCATTCCTCCTTTTCACACAAGGGGGATTTATTTCATCAAATTCCCCCAGGCGAAAAACAAATCTCAAGCCTACACGTTTAAAGAGCGCCGTCGACTTCTCCAACTCATACTGCAGCCTTTGGAATATAATGCTAGCTGACACTGTCTGACCGAAGGTTGTAAGTGGGCTTCACCCCTTTTAGCCTTCGTATATAGGGTGTTATGAATCGAAGGGGTCGCTGTAAAATGCCTGCTGTGTTGTGCGAATATTCTCATTTTCAAATAGTAGTTTCGAATAACACGCTACTCGATATTCACTTTGTGATGAACTGCGATAATCTTACTTCTTGAAGTGTTGAATGCCGCAAGTTAGTCCCGTTGAGTGTGCTTCTCACCGAGCACCTACGCACTGCGGGGAAGCAATACACGCAGAGCTCTGCGAGCTCCGCGGGTGTTGCTTCCCCTCAGTGTACAAGTGCTCGGTGCTGAAAGCACTCCAGAGGGCTAGCCTGTCGCAGAAATGCAAGAGTATATGTTGGGCAGCAATGTCTTCAAAACCCGAGCTCATCATTCGTGCCTGTTTGTCTTTTTTGTTTCTTTTCTGTAAATTTTTAAATTTAGGAAAAATATATTTGCATATAACAAGCAAAGTACAGGGTGATTCAAGGAGAGGCCAGGCTCTTTAAATCGACCACAAAATTCGGTTTCTTAAACCTATCGCGCTATGACTTTGTGCAGCATTGCCCACAGTCGGTGCATTTTTTTTTTGTAAAATTTGAAAAGAGCAAACTTACCTGAGGAAAAGGTATAGAAAGAAAAAGGCTTAGCTCCTATGGAAACGCAGCGAAGCCACCGATCTTCAAACAACATGGCACCGTTTCGCACGGGAGACAAGAGATGGCGCAAGCAGTCGCGATGCCGTTGCCGCCAACGAACGAGCATACGACGCCGAGAGCCGGTGTCTTTAGCAGACAAGGAACTGCAGTTCCTTGTTGTTACCGCGCCTGTTTTTGTTTCTGCGACTGTCGCCGCCTGCGGAACGCGCGCCACTTTTGAGTCGAAAAGATTCTAAAGACGCTGGCTCTCGTTCGGTCGAGAGCCACCATATGCTCGTTCGTTGGCGGCGTTCGTTGCGCCATCTCTCGTCTCCCGTGTGAAACGGTGCCATGTTGTTTGAAGACCGGTGGTGTCGCTGCGTTTCAGTAGGAGCTAAGCCTTTTTCTTACTTTACTTTTTCCTCAGGCAAGTTTGCTTTTTGCAAATTTTACAAAAAAAATGAAGCATCTGTGGGCAACGCTGCACAATGTTGTAGCGCGATAGGTTAAGAAACCGAATTTTGGGGTTGATTTAAACAGCCTGGCCTCTCCTTGGGTTACCCTGTACATATTCCCTAGACTAGGATAGCTGCAACAATTTTGTCATTTACATGCCACAGTTCATGAATATAGCTACTACATTAAAATTTGCTGAGCTTAGAAGTGGACAGTGGAAGGTTGGGTTGGGCAACTCGGTTGTATGCGACGGCACTGCCGTTGGAAGTTCCATGGGTATTCTAGTTCTTTACAAGTTCAGCCAAATGTTTGTTTAATTACGGTGCACGGTAGTGACTAAGACAAACTATTTGATATTCGATTCGAAAATATTTAGCCAAAACCACTGTTCACTTAAAATTCAGAATCCACTATTTGCATGACTTAAAAATAAGCAAGAAAATGTAATGCCTACATATAACAAGGTCAAACTTTCAACAGGGGTTGTATTTCAGTGATGTATTTTATAACTTGTGAAATTTCAAGGCATAATGCCATTTCTGCGAAGAATAGAATACCCATAAAACTTCCAACGGCTGCGCCGTCGCAGACAGCAGAGTTGCCCGAGAGTCGTGCCTGTGGCGCCATCTGCTGATAGGCGCAGCAAGTGCTCTATCATATGCAGATGACGGCTACCAAGTGCATGCTGCGCCTATCGAGAGGTGGCACCACCAGCCCAATCCTCGGGCAACTCGGTTGTCGGCTTTGATGCACACCATTGAAAATTCAAAATATTGAGGGCCTTGCTTTAATTTATGGTGAGAACAGAGTTACACTTCGAAATTTAATAACTTAAAATACATATTCTTAAGGAAGTTTGAGCTCGTTACATGCAGGCGCCGATTTTCCGACTCATTTTGCAACGAGTTCCTCGATAGATAGATAGACCTCGATAGATAGATAGATCTCAATAGATTTATCCCCGCGCCTATCGACCACTCTGTCCCTCGATCGATCAATCAGTCAGTCAATTCATCCATTTATTAATCAATCCAAGCAATCGCGCTCACCCTGTTATTGTAGGCCAGCTCCATTGACTCCGTAGACAGCTTGCAGAGGGCGTCAATGAGATGGTGCAGGGCTACGTCATCCAAGTACCTAGGGACACGACAGGAGAACACTCAAGCATGCGATACAACGAAGAGGCAAGAACAAACTTTAAGGGGAACTGGAAAATGAAATAGGAACGAGCAACGGTGGTACAACAACTGCGCAAGAAGCATTCCTTCATCCAAAACTAAAAAGAAACAAAAATGTTTACATACAAGCAACTAGAGTCGTTTTCAGCACCACACACTTTAAACAACCTATACGATTTTGTGAATTCAAATTTCGTCAAAATGCAAGACGACGCTCGACCGGTGGCTAGTTGTAAAACGGCCTTTGAAGAACCCTTTCGAAAACCACTTGATCACAGTGACATCTCTACAAAAAAGTGTGGCACGCTAAGTTGTGTTGCAAAAGCAGCAAGTTCCCAAAGCCAAAAAAACATTGCAGGGGAGCAGTCTGCAACACCCTTGTTAGTAGCAGCGAGCAAAAGCAACCCACACTTTTGTTAGTGCACAACCTAGGCCGAGGAAAGCCGTGACCTGTCATTTGGTCCGCTTACCCCCTGTACGCAGAGCAACGAGCATCAAGAACCTCACCAGGTGTAAGTTTAGATCACTCGCAAGATTGTGCAGATTTCAGGAAAATCTACTACAGTCGAATCTCGATATAATTCAAACTCAAGGGGGGCCGAAAATTTGTTTGAATAAAGCAAAGTTTGAATTATCGGGAGTTTCCTCCCATAGAGACGCATAGGATGGGACCTGCATGTTAGTTTGAATTAACCACAAAATTGAATTAATGACAGTCGACTCTACCATATTATCCTGAGAGACAGCCTACCTAAAATCGAAAGCAAATAGTGTGAAAACAAGGAATAAGTCCACTTTCGATGTGCAACGAAAAAAAATGTTGACAAGTGCTAGTTTTAGATTCTGTGACCTGAGAAACTTGTGATCACAGAGAGGAGCAATGTACAAAATCCGACCGTTGTTCCCAGTCGGCAACACTTGCTTATCTCCCGCTGTGGCTAAGCGACACCATTTCTGTTGGGATCACCATCGACCATGGCTTTGCAATTACTAAAAGTAGGCTATCTTTCGTAATGTTGAAAAAATAGCAAATCGTGCCAAAAATGTGGGTGGGTTATCTTTCGGGGCTGGGGCATCTCTCGGGATATATTATGGTATGTAAACCAGTTCAAGAGTCGCAAACTCCTTGGAGCTTTGAATGTGGCAAGGTTCCCAGGAATTTGAGTTTCAATATCCTCAATTTTTCCAGGGTATGAAGGATGAGCAGTCTGACCTCGACTCTTTAGCACTGAGCTAGTGTTGTAGTGTGCGCGTGGACGGGCCTCGACTCGGCTAAAGCTGCCCACTTTCCCCGAGCAGCGAGGCAGAAACTTTACGACACAAATCGAGCTGCAAAGAGAGAGAAAACCGCACACCAAACGCAACACAAGCTTGAGAGAAAACGAGAGGGGGGAAAGAAAGGAGGAAAGAACACGACACGGAGATCGGACAAAAGCCGGCTGCTGCACTTACTGGGAGTTGTGAAAGACGCGGGACAGCGTACCAGCCAGCGGCACGTAGCTGCAGCAGCATGTTGTTGTTGTTTTTTTCGGGGGGGAGGGGGGAAAGGGGACGGGTTCGTTTACGGTTTTAGTTCAGAAGGGGGTGGTGGGGGGGGGGCCATCAGAGCAAGACAAAGAGAGAGAGAGAGAAAGAGAAGGGGGTGGGAAGAGAGAAACCACAGACGTCAGTCACTGCACGGACACACTAACAAGCAACGAGAACGGCACTTACAGGGGACAAGGAAAAGAACCGAGGGTTCTGACACCCCCCCCCCCCCCTTTCAACCAAGCGACAAGCACCATTCGTCTGCTAACGCCAGCTAGATTTTGCACGAGATTAAAGCTTCAAGCGTGTCTTGACACTATCTGATAAACTCGAAGACTCGCAGACTGTGTTGAGAATGAGCTCGGCACGTGCCGTGTAAATGCGTGATGCGATGCGACTCTGCAACGTGCCACGTGACATCATGTGATCTCATGATGTCACAGTCATGTGATATTATGTCATGTCACGTCACGTCGCGGTGTCACGGGGCGCCACATGTCATCCGAACTTGATGTCAAGTCACCTGATGTCACAAAGTCAGGTGACCTGTGCCGGTTCTATGAAATCCCACAGTCCGCGTCAAAACACTGAGCAAGGGGAGATATGCATCACCCTAGACTGTGGTCGTACGGTGATGGAAGACATGGCAGCCGCCATATTGGTGGCCTTGTTCGAGCGAGAATGATGCAGCAGAGAACCCCTATGCAATAGCCTAAAAAAAAAGTGTCGTTCCTATTGCATGCATTCCTACAGTCACATAGTACGATATAAAAATCCCCTGCTTTATTTTTGGCAACCAAACGCACTGACAATTCCCACCGTCTGTAAACAATCATCTAATTTCACACTGCTCAGAGGATCTCAAACAAACGAGTATACAGAATAGCTTAGAACACACGTCAAGATACCAGTGGCCACGCAGTGTATCATAATTCACAATTTGAGCAAATTGTATACAGAGTGTCCCCCCCTCCCCTTAAAAAAAAAAAAAAAAATTTACTGTTTTTTTTTTTCTTTTTATTGCAAAAATAAAAGATGCTTGTCGAACGCTCAGTCCATACTTCGCGTCACTAGTTATGTGGAGTACAGGGGAAGGCAATGCCAGGCAAGGGGAGAAAGGTCCAGCACTAGGACGGCTGAGGAGGAGAGTCCGCTCTCCCGTCCTGCCTTCCTAGAGCTCGCTCTTTCTCTCTTCGCCTGGCGTTACCTTCGCCTGCACTGCACACAACTAGGGACGCGGGAGTTTAGCGTTCGGTCCACAACTAGCGGTCCAAACCGGATGCCAATGTTTCAGAACCGTCATCTTTTTAAAAACTTAAGAGATTTTCTGAGAATTTCAATGGGAAAATAACCCATTCTTGGTAACTGGTGCCATTCAGCTCCATGCATTCGGGGCCTCTGTCGGCAACCATTTTCCCACTGAAAATTTGAGAAAGATCATAAAAACTTTTTATTAATACAACAGTTAGTTCCGAAACTCTGGCATCTGGTCCGCTACATCTGGGCGGAAAACAAGCATTCAGCAGTGCATAAATTATTTTTGCAGTGAAAAAAAAAAAAAAACTATTTTTTATATTTGTTTCATACGTTCACACTTCCGTAGATCTGTTTTCAATATTGATTTCATTTGATAACGTAAAGCCCCACCACCTAAGGCCTATGCAAACATGATAAAAACGAAACAGTACAAAGACAAGGACGAAGTAGACGAAACCACAGGACACAAAGCTGTGTTTCTTCTACTTCGTCTTTGTCGTTGTGCTGTTTGTTCTTATCACGTCTACTTACCAACTAGCCCACACTTCTACGTTAATCACCTATGCGGAGTGCAAGCTTGGCTACTTGTTGCACAGGGGTTGCGATGACGTCAGAACGCTGAGCTCTTATTGGTTGATCAAAAAAAAATAGTGGGTAGACCTCAAGGCATCTAGCATCGAAATATACCCACTATCCTTTCAATCAAAGCCAATCAGAACTCGACGTTGTTTGGACGTCACTGCAACCTCCGCGCAAGAAGCAGACGGCTTACTCTCCGCATAGCTGTTCGTTAGAGCCATGTAAAACAAAGTGTTATTATTATTCTTATATTTTTATTATGCAAAGACAGACTCACTGGGAGCTCTCGAATAGGCGGGACAGCATGGCGGAAAGGACCGGCAGGTCGGCCATGACGGCGGTGGTGATGACCGACGAGGAGGAAGACATGGCGGGTCCGCCCCCGCCCATGGGCTCGGCGCCGTTCTTGGGTGCGGCCTTGAGGCAGCCCCCCGTGGAGGGCTTCAGGCCCAAGATCCAGACCAGGTGCTGGAGTGTGGTGAGCACCAGGTGCCAGGCGCTGCCCAGCACCGCCCCGTGGGCCTGGGCCAGCCCCAGCAGGGCACGCATGCACTGCAGGTTCTTGGCCGTCAGCTGCCCGCGAAGAAGCAGACGGGGGAGACATCGGCGGGGGGAAGACAAAAACGTCGGTCGTCTCTACATCATTTTCAAAAGGCGTGACTGTAGAACGCCCTTTGCTCTTGTCTGCCGGAAACTGGTTCGTCGCGCTCGTTATGCGCCGATCGGCCGCTGTGCAACGACGACTAGTTTCTCGTCACAGCCGGGCCCAGCGCTCTCGCTTTGCAGTTGTATACATCGCCGCGCCTGCCGTTGCTTGCGGGCTCTTGTGGTGCACAAACCCCGCAAGCAAGAGCCTTCGTAGTGTGTGCGGTCCACCTTGCTGCCATCGAGCACACGTTGCAGAAAGTCCCCGCTCCCGTAGCACACGCCAACCACACGCCCCGTGCTGCACGTTCCGCGCCGCACGCTCCATCTAGGCCACACCTTCGGACGCAATAGCGCTACAGCTGGCCCCATAAATGCTACCCATTCAAAATAGCCGTCCCAGCGGCATTGAACATCGAAGAAAAAAAAAGCAGACGGGCCGGGCGTTGGCTCCCGATTGACCTTACGAGACGCAACACGAAGAGAAGCCACCACCCACCATGACCGGGCCTTGGTGCCCTCCGAGGGACTGCGTGAGCAGGGGCGTTCCCACGGCCACCACCTGTTGCCGGGGGGCGTCGTGGGGGTCGCAGCCAGGGCCCCCCAGGAAGGGCCCCAGGTTGGGGCCCTGGGGAGGCAGGGGAACCAGGGGGCCCCCGGCCACGCCGCCCCCCCCGCCCCCGCCCCCTCCGGGAACCCCGTCCCCACGGGGGTGTGGGGAGGACGCGGACTTGGGGAACGTCGCGCTCAGCACCTGTGAGGGAGAAGGATGGAGTTGTCTTGCCGTTCTCGGATCACCGTGCCTCGATTACGACACTTCGGGAATTCTTCGAGGGGCAGAACATTCTGTACATCTTTTTGTTTGCAAGGCATTCAAAATTAGGCAGATAAAAACATAGTGAACAAGTTGCACCAACATAGAAAGCCTACGACTTGAAGGGACGACACATGAAATCTTCCGGTCAATTAGGCCCAGCTAAGTCAACCGGCCGCCGCGTTCTTCGAGAGAGAATCGACACCGACCGTGAGCGTGTAGTGGGGCGGCAGGGAGCCCTTGCACATGGCCGTGATGAAGGCGTCCCTCGGAGTGGACAGCTGCAGGTGGCCGGAGAGGCTGGCAAACCGCTGCATCGTCTTCAGGATCTCCTCGGTGGCCGCCTCTTCCGTGCTGCGTGGGGCCAGGAGAACAGACAAAGGAGCGAAGATGAGAGGTATAGTAATCCGGCGATGTGGCTACTATTTTGCTGCTTATTACGGTATGACAGGCCGAAAAGACACGGACCACTTCCAGATTACCAGCTCGTAGAAGAATGAACGTCCTCGAGCTCGGTCCATCGGCCCGAGCAGTGTCAACGACGACAATGTTCGTCTTTTGAAATCGCCACAAGAGGGACCTCGAAGCAAATGAAAATCAGACGATTCTTTTCCACGTTGTGCAAACTAGTTCCTGCGACGTTCCAGTGATACAAGTACAACTTTGGAAATGCTTTGTGGCTGTAGAAATGTACTATCCTTTTCCTGTTTTGGTACTTCTGAGAATCGGAAGACCCAATCTAAGCGCCTGTTCAGTGGTGAGCACATCCGAACAGATGGCTTGTCGCGGAAAAATACTTCCCGTTTTCGTTCGTTTCGGATAGGAGGTTTTCTTAACGTGAACTCGGAGCGTCGCTTAGAGACGTCTGCACTTTCGCTAAGAAAAAACAGGAACTGAGAAAAAAAAAAGCAAGCCTCGGACCTCGTGAGTCAAATAGCTAGTCTTCAAGACGACCACCATCCAACGAAACCTACAATCTAAAATTGCTCAAATATTAAGTCTTAAGTGTTCATTCACTCCCCAGCCAATCAAACAAGTTTCTAATTTTACACGACTCAACACCCATTCACACGGCGGCATTTAGTCGTGCTTAAATACGTCGCAGGAACCGACACCGAGATATGGGGGCAAGTCACCGTGGAACCCGGACAAAGTGACGCTTGGTTGCCATGGCAGCTTGCAGTAGTATCTCCACACGGTCAAATGTGACCATGCGAATGGGCCTTTAGCCGGATCACGGGGCCAAGAAAACATAAAGCCGCAGCAACACCGCCTGTACGTCATAAGAGACTTTGTGATTGCTGTAGATACGATGACAAAATTATGTGCAGACACGCCTCAAACACTTTTGAAGCACGTCTGCTTCGTGCATACACATGCCTCAAACACGTCTGCAGTCTGCAGACGGTTTTTGCACGACCAATGGTGACCGTCAGACGAGGAAAAAACACGTCTAAGACAATGTCTCCGGTCCTTTTTTTTTTTGCACAATGCATCAACGGCGTGACCACGGCTTAAGGGTGACATTGTAGTGCCACGAAAGGCGCAAGAATTACTGTCGCAAGCTCGAGAGCCGCCGCTCAGGACGTCGTCGTCGTCGAGCTCACCTGGCGTCGAGGAGCAAGGAGAGAGCCGCCAGCAATCCGCACCAAGAGGAAGACACAAGCTGGCGGTGGAGGCGACCGTTGTGGGCGTCTGCCGCCCCCTCCGCCCCCCGCGCCGCAGCCTCCTTCTCGTCCTGCTCCACCACCGCCGTGATGCTGGCCACGATGTCCAGCAGGCAGAGGTAGCCCAAAGACACGCCGTAGCCGTCCGCAATTGTCGGCGGCTCCACCCGGTCGAGCATCTCCATGCTGCGAGCGTGGGGAGAACGACCTTGACGTGCCTAGAGGCGCGAGATTGCACGGCCGTCGACGGGACGGGAGGGTCGCGGGAGAACGTCCGGCTGCACTAACCCCGGCACACGCCTCTTCCTCCTTGCAGAGTCTCAGCTTGGCCTTGGCATTTAAAGCTATAGTCCGTTGCAACTCAAGAAGGTGGGGCGAGGGAAAGGAAAGCTGGGGAGGAGGGAGCAGACGAAACGCTGGAGAGAAGGGGGAAGCCTCCTCCTCCCCCACCTTTCTTTCCCTCGCCGAATCTTCTTGAGTTGCAACGGACTGTAGTAAGGAGCAAGAACGACACTAAACAACTGACGCGGGAGTGAAAACCTAAACGTCACTAAATCTTTTCCGCAATTGCCAGCGACACCAAAATGACGAGAAAACGTAGCGGCTCCCTGGAGTTCGAGCACGACCGATGGCTCCGTCCTTGCACCGAGATTATGGTCAAACCAGGATGTCTCAAATTCAAAAGGGATCGGAAATTAGTCCAATATATAAACTGATGTTAACCTACGCTCCAGTAGATATCTCAGTGCGTCTCATCTAATATCCATGATCGTGACAAATGGAAGCCGACCAAATGAAGTGTCCGAGAACCGCTAAGTACAGTAGAACCTTCTCGAAGCTTAGTTGGCGGAAACCGCAGGCGCTGCCACCCATGCACAGCCGCTTTTTTTCAACAGCACGGGCCACGAAACACGAAAATAGTAATAAATAAGAAAACTTAAAAAAAAGGGTAGCTGTAAAAAAAAAAAAAAAATCTCCCTTGGTTCATAGAAAGAAGTCAAGCAACACAAAAAAATCTGCAGTAAGATCAGACAACAAAAATAAGCGGCAAAAAAAAAATGGTATGCCGAAACGGCAAAGCAACCCAGTAAAGTAGAAATGGCAAAGCAAAAAACAATAAAAAAAAGGTAGACAAAAATAAACAAAACATTGGAACAGTGACCACACAACTGTTGTCCACACACTTAAGTAGCCAAAGACCTTTTTCATTCTTGCTTTTATTGGGGGGCTGAGTAGTCTAGGCAAAGTGTTGTTTTCCTCCTTTGCCTCTTTGCACCTTTCGCTGCTCGTGGCCAGGGTCGTTTATCCTCGGTGTGTGCCAACCGCGAGGCAACAGGAGTGTTCATAAAAAGCCTGCCTACCAGGGGTGCGCGGCTTGATGTATCAAATGGTCCCAGTGGTGAAGTTCGATACAAATGCGCAAGGTGCCTTTACATTTACGAACGATTTCTAAAGGGATGTTTTCGCCATTCAAAACGTACAATATTTCGAAATACCAGGATTCGACACGATCAAGCTCAACTGTGGAAGTTGGCAGGTAAACAAATCTCCGGTTGTTTAGAGCTAAAAGAGAGATTAGACCGAGACCAATCTGGCCAGTCGAGGCACGGCGCGAGCGAAGAGACTCACTACGTGGCCTTGGGCACCCCGGGCGACGCCACGTGGGGAAGCAGTGGCATCCAGACGCCCCTGTAGAGGAAGGCAGCCTGTGGCGGCTGTGCCAGAGACGCGGTGGCTCCGCCGCCGCTGCCACCACCCGTGGGTACTGCGGGCGCCGCCCCGGCCCCCGGCCCCATCCCCGGACCTCCACCCCCGACCGGGTGGTAGTAGTGATGGTGGTGGCAGGGTGCATTCACAAACAGCGCCTGGACGTACGCCCCCAGGGCATTCACCATGTCCTGGAAGATCTTGGTGCTGTGGTCCTTCATGTCGTAGCTCTCGCAGAAGCTCCTGCTCGTTCAACGAGGGAGGGAAGGGGCGGAGAGAGCAGAGGTCATAAAGCCTGCACTCGTCGCATCCGCTTTCTCTGCTCTATAGCGCACGTACGTGGGTAGTGATTAAATTACAGCAGCAGGCCATTTTCGAAAGTGAACGCCATCTATTAGCTGCTGCGCCAATCATCCGAGGCCACCGTTGTTTGGGCGCACGCTTCGAGCGTGTATTGGACACGAGAGCTGTGTCAGCGTTTGGCAAGAACTTGGAACCAATAGCACGTTTCATGTCCAAGAAGTGGCAACAGCCATTTCTTCGGCAGATTTTCGAAAAGGCTTTGTTAAATCGACATAACTTTTTTTCTTTTTAGGTATCTTGCACCGTAATTAATTACTTCTACGAGTAATTTGCAACTTTGATTCATTGGTTTCAACTAAAATTAAAAGTTGCTGTAATATAGTTACTTTTATGATTAATTTCTAACTGGGAGGGATTCATTGCTTTTGACTAAAAGTAAGTGGATAGTTGTCATTTAATCACTTACAGCAACCTCAGTAATCTCAAAATATTAAATTAGAACTACCGTAGAATACCGCGCATCCGCCCACACCACAGTAAGCGCTCATTCCCCAGTTTGTAGGATCTGAGAAAATACGCACAGTACATTTATATGTAAAATTTATGACCAAAGAAGCGCCCATCCACCATTTTTTTGCGATTATCTCCAAAGCTTGAGTGGGCGCTTGCTCGGTATTTTACGGTACAACTACTATTTTTCATGATTTTGTCATCACGCTGGAGGTTCTCGTTCCGTAGTCGCCGAGAGGTGCTAGTAATTCCAGCTTAAACTAACCTGAGCAGCTCCGGCTGCGTGCACATCCTGTGCAGCACCTCGAGGGCCAGGGTGCGCTGCCAGTTGGGCTTTTCGTGATCCAGGAACTTCACCACCAGCGAGAGGAAGATCTCGCACTCAGTCACCTGGGCAGGAAGGCGCCACCCATGAGCGGACGACGCTCGCAAGCAGACGACGCCAGCGAGCAGAGCAGACGACACCCGTGAACCACACAGACGATCAACGGCGATGTGTCGGTTTGTTGCAAGGCTTATTATATATTAGGGTATTCCAGGTGGCATCCAAATGAAAAAGGTTTCGGGCCACGCGACACCTGATGCAATTTGTGGTGTCATGTGACATGACCAGGGTGTCTAGCAAATTATTATTTTGAAATTCCCTGACATTTCTATGTTTTCCCTGACAATTTCAGGTGAAATTACCCGACTACTGTAGAGGCGGTTAAATATATAAGACCATTACAACACAAGGCATTGAGAATTGAGCACTGTGAGGATCATTTTGCGTGGGCTTAATCCAACTTGAATTGTCCGAAATATTTGGGTTCGTCCAGTTCGGATTAAACGAGCACTTTCTTGCCACCGACACCGTCAGTGAAGAGGCTACTTCCGAAAACATGATGAAAACACGACGCTCATAAAAACACTATGAAAACACACGTCAATAACCGAACGGCAGAAATGGCCGCCAGAGGACTTTTGGCTTAAGGCTCGGATTGGTGTCTGCAACCTTTCCCATTTGTTACTGAATCTAGTAGCTCTAACTGGATCTAGCCTGTGTCACGCCCTCGATCCAATCCAAGGCTTGGACTGGATTTGTCGGCTGTTCCCTTTGCACCGGGTAGCACACTCTTCGCCGGGTAAGCAGAGCCCGCGCTCCGCTCCAAGCAGAATTTATTGCCTATTTTTCTGCCCCCAAGTCCTCAAGTCTTTGCTCAGGGCACACAATGGCGTTTCCGGCTCATTTTCCCTGATTGGGCTCGCTTTTTGACAATATCCCTGACAATTCCCCGATTTTTCCCGGTAATTAAAACTCCCCTGACAATTCCCGGTTTTCCCGGTCGCTAGACACCCTGCATCACAATGTCAGCATTATTAGATCTATGCGGAGCGCAAGTTCGTCTGCTTCTTTTGAGGGGGTTGTGGTGACGTCAGAACTTCAAACTCTGATTGGCTCTGACTAAGGGACAGTGGGTAGGCCTCAAGGCTGCTTGCTTTGAGGTCTACCCACTATCCTTCCATCAGAGCCAATCAGAGCTCGGTTTCGTTCTGACGTCACCACAACCCCTGCAAAAGAAGCAGACGAACTTGCGCTCCGCATACTCGTTTTCACCCCAAAAAGAAAGGAAGTCTTGAGCATTGTTCATACTCCGTGCAAAGCAGTGCTTAGAAGATTCGGTTGTCGGAGGAAGAGGCAACGCTCTTGCACCCGTATTCACCCGGCACGAGTAGCGCCTGTTTAACCACGGTCTAGCGACGTCATCGACTAAAATGATCACGTGGGTGGCAAGCATTAGTCGCTGCTAAGTGAGCGCTTGGTATTCACTGGTCGTGTTTAGGGCCTAGTCGCCCTGTGCGACTAAGAAGCCGAATAACAAATCTTAGTCATGGGGTAGGGTTAGTTTAGCCGGTGTTTAGCACGAGACTAGCGGCTCAGCGCCATGGCCAACTCGTATCACCGCTGACCGCCAAAGCTAACGAAGCACTTACTGTCTCGGAACGCTGGGGGACATATCTAGAAAGAATCCGAGGAGCAAATATTGTGTAAATAGCCATGTTGAACGGCCAGAGATATTGCTAAAGCGATCTCGGCAGGGCGGTGGACGACGCGAAAAAACGCATTTAAGGGGGGACATGGGTCCTTGGAGCCAAAAACGTCCTAAAACTGTATTCTTTTGAAAATGGCGATGGCTGTTGTTCTTCTGAATTTACCAGGCTTCTAATTTTGTGGGTGAATATTTGGGCTATAAATCAACTAATAATGTCTATGCGGGCTGAATGAGAGATGAAGTGGACTCTAAAACATTGTTTTCACAAGACACAATTTTTGGACTCGTGAAAAATTTGCGGGAGGGATATCTCAGCATCCAGAGCAGATAGAAATATAACCTTTCCTGAAATATGTAGCTAAATGTGTGAAGCATACAATGTTGAGAGCAGATTTTCTAATAAAAGTCTAGAAAATTTTCAATTTGATTTTTTGTTTTATTACTTGTTAGCCATGCATTGAGCACTGAACTTCAATGTGTGGTAAAATCACTAATAGGGGGTTTATCTTAAAAGTACTTCCAACATTGTATGCTTTACACTTTCTAGTATCTAGCCATATGTTAAAAAGAATATTTTGTTGAGCAACTTTTTTCCTATCGTTTGTCCAAAAGTAGGCAGGCAAGTTTTAATTACCTTGAGGACAATTCTGCTGACTGAGAAAACGACCAGATATATGAAATCAGCCCAAAAAGCTGAATAAGCTGATGCAGTTTCAATGGGTTTGGTCACAGAATAAGAAAAAAAGCTCCAAGACCAGTGTTCCCCCTTAAGGGCGCTTCCATATTTGTTTATGTCACGGGCAATGCGGCTTCCGTGTTTCTCCCTGGCGTTGTTTTTAAATTTTTCTTTGTAAAACTCTGTCTCGGACAATATGTCTCTCATTGTAACTTTTCTTTTTCCTGATAAACATTTAAAGTTTAGTTTTTATACGAAAAAATACCCATTTACGCAGTGGCGTTTAAGTATGCATATACGTGACCTATCTTTTTACGTCACTTCCGCTTGTTGGTTCTGACTAGATAGTCACCCGCTCGCTTCGCGCTCGTGAATAAGGCAGAACATAATCGCTCGTTAGTCGCGGATTTCTCGTTGAGCTCGTGACTACTTAATCGTGCTACTAACCTAAAAACGATGCTAGTTAGTCGCGCCTGGTGAATACGGTTGTTGGAGTTTGAAATGTGTATGTCTTGATAAGATAACATATATGTAATGTCAAATGCACCTACATATGTCTTAATTCTCCGCATAAAGCAGGAAATTAATAATGCTCCGCGAGGAGCCAGACTTTTTTACTATGGTTCTTGAGGTGAAAATGAGTATAGTAATATTGGGGTAACATTGCACTGAAAAATCAAATAAATTTTTTGCCCTTTATGTCGTAGACAATATCTTGACATCTTTTATAAGACCCGGCCATGCCACAAAGTAAAAGACCAATGCCATAGTCGCATTGCCCCTTAAATTCCAGTTAGGAAAAACAATTAGTGATCCTTTCCCTTTGTCCTGTTACCAAATGATAGTTTTCCTAAAGTGAAATTTATGCTAAAAAGTGGAACTGAGAAAAACCTTTCCTTTAACATCGGTGGACCGAAAATAATTTATACAAAAAAACTATGTAGTGTAAACAAATTAAACTTTGTGGTAAAAGTATTTTCTAGGTGTTGGTAGATGGCACTTTTCAAAATCCAAGTTTTTTTTTGCAGAATTTTCTTTTTTGCTGTGTAGTGTCCCCCTTAACTAATTTGCTCAAAAGAGCCGCGGGCTCCGAGAGCCTTCACGGACTCACCAGGGTGGCGTAAAAGCGGTGTATGAGCACGGACACGACGCGAACCAGCCGCATAGAGATGGGGAAGAAGGGCCGGTCGGGCGCCTGGCGGGCGTTGGGCGAGAACAGTTTGATGACCAGAGGGCAGACGCGCTCCTTGAGCAGGAACCGGAACTCCGGGTGCCGCAGGAAGGCCTCCGGGAACGAGGCCAGGATCGACTCGAGCAGCTCCAGCCCCAGAGTGCGGGTCATCTCCGTCAGGCCGATCAGCCACAGGGGCTGGTCGGCGTTCACCATCTGGACCAGGTCCTGGAGAGGAGGTGCGGAGACGTCCCTTGAACGCACTGTCGCGGACGATCGTAAAAAAAGCCCGGGAGAGAGCGTGGCTCCAAAGGCCTCTATTGCTGTCAAAAGGCAGAAAGCTGGGCTATCGTCAAGGCCATTGAGTGAACAAGCGGCATCTCAGGCTGTTCGATATCTGAAGTTGCTCCCCACTTGGTCGGCACAAGATAGCAGAGTTAACACCGATAGTAGTGGCTAATAAAAACCGCTTATCGTAATTTATTTTGCAAACTTATTACCGACCGCTCAAAAAGTGATTGCTCAATCTGCTGACCCAGTGGTTTCAGCCACGCTTGATTATGCCTTTTGTCACAGAATGCCTCTGCATCTGGCGAAATCAGCATTAACTCAGCTACAGCTAGTCGAGCGGGGGGGAGACGACAAAGGGGGGGGGGAGCTTTCTTACCATAGATGGCACTGCAAGCCTTCCCAGCCACGCACTTGCTTGGGCTCTTTCGCATTGTCTTACGACTGTACACCACACAACAAGGTGGGTGCGAAGAAGGGATAGCTGGTTTTTCTTGTTTTGCGCTTGGAATCGAAAGGCTAACTTCTTCATTAAAAAATGTGGTAAAAAAGTTCGAAGAGGGGCATGTCGTAGCCGTTGATCACATTTGAAAAAAGAGGCTACGTGCAATTTTTACATATATACTAGCAGAAATACGAGGATAAGTAGAAGAGGTATACAGGACAGGCGCTAACTTACAACTGGCTTTCTAATGCTATTGTAAAGGAAGACACAAAAAAAATGTGGAACAAACAAGTTAAAAAGAGGAAGAAAAAGAAAGGAAAATTGAAATATGACTACACTGAGGTGGGTTTTCGTGAGTTAGCAACTAAAAATAAAAATAAAATTAAAATAGATACATATAAAAATAAGTAATTACAAAACTCGGAAATTAACACTAAAGGATAAAAGAAGTTATCGAAAAAGAATAACAATACATTAGTGTAGTTGTACCACGAGCTTCAGGAATATAATTGCAGAGAGATACTGGAGTTTTTTTTCATACAAGGCCACAGACGATAATTATTTCCTATAAGGCTATGGACCATAATTGTAGAGATGATGAAGTTCTTTTATCTCCTCTCTTCAATCTTGAATTCGTTCCACGGTTTCTTTTTGTCTTCTTTTACAGTAGCATTGAAAAGCCCATCGTGAGATGGCACCGCTACAGTATCCCTCTTTCACTTGTCCTCGTCTTTCCGCCATATATGTACAATGTTCGACCAACTAGCCCACCAGACGATTCTGTCGCAGTCTTAATTTTGGGTTTTCTTAGAACGCTTTGCATTCAGAGATTCAGTCGATTGTGCAATGTAGAGCATGTGCCGGCGTTCGAGGCTCCCACCAGGCTACTCAACACCGACACGCTCGACGACTCGATCCCAACTGCAGGCGCCGTAAAAACAATGTCCAGAGCAAAACGTCAAACAGGGACAGAGCCACTCACCTGGAACAAGAGGAAAGCGTCTGCGGCGCAGGGCTGCAAGGACTTGGGCGGGTGGCGGCTCCCAGCCTTAAGTTCCTCCAGGTTGAGGTTGTCCGTCTTCACTGTGGGCACGAGTGCGAATCGAGCGCGTTGTTCACACTGTCAACGTTTTACAACCGTTTGATGCAAGCAGCCAGCCCAAGGCACCGACTTCCAATGCAAAAACTAAAGCATGGCTCGCCCATTTGTATTCGAGCGTACTCGAGTGCGCAGTAGCGTTTCCTCGTTACCGGTTACGATGAGAGAACTTAGCGACGCACTAGCATCAACTACAGTAGGCTCAAGATAATTCAAAACTCGCATACTTCATACTTCTAAATAAAACAAATTTCAATATTCAAAAACAAAATTTCGTTGTACGTGTTTTTTGTTTTGTTTATGTTTCAGTTCGCACTTTTAACATTCCAAAATTTCGGTTGTCTCACTGTCTTCGACGCATTTATAAACCGCTTAAATCGAACGGCGTTTTCGTGCAATTCATAATTTTTGTTCTCCAAGACCCGTTGAGCGTGCTTCTTACCGAGCACCGATGCACTGCGGAAAAGCAACACCAACGAGGCAAGCTTTGCGAGAGTTGGTTCCCCACAGCGCATCAGTGCTCGGTAAGGAGTGCGCTCAACGGGGCTGAAGCAGGGCACCCATGAGCGACGAAAACGGGCACCGCCCAGCAGCCATCTTGCGCGGACGCTGCGACGCGACAGCATGGCACAGGCCCACGTCACGGCGTCCGCACAAGTTGCCATAGCAACTGCCGTGCGGCGCCCGTTTTCATCGCTTGTACGTCTCCCGCTTAGTAATAGTCCACGATAGACAACTTTATTTTGCTGGATGAGCAAACTCAATTTTGTGTTGAGGCGTCACGTGCCGTCTAAACAGTCCACGATAAGCAACATTTTTGAAGGACCAATAAACATTGTCGTGCATTTCACCAACGAGTCATGTGTGGCACACCTGCTTACGATTAGGAGGCTCGTGTAGAAAAATCATGATATATTTGCTTCGTACGTGCAGCCATCCACACAGCAAATCATAATTTTATCTTGCATCCTACTTAGATTACTTTCTGAAAATTCAAACAAAATTCGCGGCTTCCTGGAATTTGAATTTGTGAGAGTCTACTGCATTAGGAAGCCCTGGAGCATTTTCGGCCTGCGTATCAAGATGGCTCGTTTCACAATATGCGGGGCCGAATGGCACAAACCACCTAGACGGAACCTCATTTTCCCACTGAAAGTTTTAGAAAACCGCCGGTAACTTTTGAATGAGACGACAGTTAGCTCTGAAACTTTGGCATCTGGCCTGGGACGCCAGCACTACATTTGGGTGGACATTAAGAGTTCGGCAATGCAAAGATTATTTTTAGAGTAAAAAAAAAAAAAAGTGTGTTACACTTTTTTTGGGGACACGCCGTAGTATCTTCTCGTTGCAAGAGGTTACTCGAGAGCACTCGAATGGTAATGTGCGAACCAGCCTTAACGAGCGTCGTCCTCAAAGTCTCGTTCGGTGGACCGGCGGTCTTTCCCAAAAGGGTCGCTCACCGTCGCCCAGGGCGGCGTCCTCCGCCTGCACCCGCTCGAAGACGGCTGCCACCAGCTGGCGCACCGTGGCAGACGCCGTGTTGTTGGTCGTGCTGTTCTTGGTGAAGTGCAGCCGGAAGCACAGCACCAGCGCCTGGAGGAACCGAGTGAGGACACAACTGTAGTTTCGCCCCCCCTTTTTTACTTCATCCGCATTTCAGCCATCAAATGCAAATTTAAAAGTTTATTCTTCCAAACGTACACAGGAGGGGGTCTCTTAGACAAGAAGCTGACAAATGCAGCTTGATGGGGCCTGAGAGTCCTCATCAGCAAAGTCCTTCTCGAGTACAGTTCACGTACACATCGCAGCACTAAACCAACATACCAACAGCAGGAACAGCACTGATGCAGCGCCGACTTGAATGCAACTTAACATCGATACAACACTGTACCACTAAGCATAGCACAAAGTCGGCGCTGCACCAGCAAGGCCGGCCCTATTTCCCGAGCCGACCAATGGCGCTAAGGTAGCCCTATGTATGTGTGAAAGGGCCTCAACAGTGTTATGGTCTCGGAAAATAACTGGTAATTTGTTGCAACAGTCATAACGTAATAACTGCACACACTGATGAGTCATACACTAGCTACACTTCATTTCAACAATGTCAGTAAGCCGACTGCTAGCCATTAGTTGTGGTACGTCGACCGCAACTCTGCTGGACATGCACCGGCATGGCAATATGTGTTCGGTCTCATTAAAGTCAAGTTTTAATGTTAAATTTTTAAGCGACATCTCGCCGAAAGCTCCAAAAGGGTGACGAGCGTTCTTAGTGCAGCAATGGTGCGACCCGCTTTACAGGCCTCGTACGACGCAGAGTCTACCGAAAGGAGTGACTACACTCAACTGATATCTGACCTGCTCTATTCACATGATATATGCGGAGCGAAAGTTTGTCTGCTTCTTTTGCAGGTGTTGTAATGATGTCAGAACGCCGAGCTCTCATTAGTTCTGAATGAAGGATAGTCGGTAGACCTCAAGACAGCTTGCTTTGAGGGCTACCCGCTATCCTTCAAGCAGAGCCAATCAGAATTTGGCGTCTTTCTCAAGCCCCTGCAACTCCTGTGCAAGAAGCAGACGACTTGCTCCCTGCATACCCCCGAGAACACGGGAACTAGAGACTCCAAACGGTCGGCGGGACCGTCGGTGCCAGCTCTTCTCAGCCCTCCTGCCTCCATGACGTCAGTGTGCACAGCAACCGAATTTTCTTTGCCGAAGCCAAACACCGGAGATACCCCGGCAAGGAGCGATCGGGCGACGGTGCGCTCACCTTGGCGAGCGTGTCACCCTGCACCACGGAGTTGGCGGTGAGGAGGAGGGTGACCGTCTGCAGCAGCTTCAACTCCTCGATGCCACTCTCCATCAGGTTCCACAGGCAGGTGATCACGTTCACCGCCGCAGTCTGCGTTCGGTCCAGTTCATATCTCTCAAAGCCAGGGTGAAAAGCAACGTTTTGCTCCAATGTGCTCGGAATAAAAACTGCACACTAATTAAAGCGTGAAAGTCGGAAGAGAAATTCATGCACTTAATGCGAAACGCAGATCTATGAGGCTCTCATTTCTTGTCCTCTGCAACCCCCCCATTCCAGGTTTCGAGGGACCGCTTTGGAGGACACAGCAAATCCAGCAGTTGGCCCGGGCCAAGGCACCATCCCCGAACAACATCTAAGCTAACTTTCCGGCTCCATTTAGACGAGGTCGAAGATCCTTCCAGCACGAGGACAACGTGTGGCACGAAGTCTTACCAGCGACACGGCCTCGAAGGTGACCAGCCTCTGGATAGCCGCGAGGCAGATCTGGACGATCTTGGGGCTCCTCGTGTCGCAGCCCAGGAAGAAGGGCTCCAGGATTTCGGGGCTTTCCGACAGCAGCGCTGGGCACAAACGCAGAGAGACGCGTCGGTGAAGGCGGCTTTCGTCTGCCGGAAGGACAGAGCGACGGCAGAAACTCACCCAGCCTGAGATCGTGATGCTTTCCGGCTGCATTGCGGACCTTGATGATGCCAGACTCTGCTGCCTGCAAAGTGGATGGAGGTTATCCGAGGCGACGCGACAAAAACCAGTCGCGTCGTATGGCGGAAAGTGGCGCGTTCTTTTTTCAGTGGAAGATGAAAAACATTTTGCATGTTGTTAATTCGTGGTACGATAGGTCAGGGATGGCAAAGCTGCAACTCGAGAGCCGCAAGTGGCTTTTTGCAAAAAACAAAGCGCTGCTCGTGGCTCCCTGGCTAGCTAACTAAACACCAACCCCCTCTCCCATCAGCAAAATCAAAATAAAAGCAATGTTTTAAAAAAAAGAAGAAAAAAAAGAGTTTACATTTTGGCGGCTGCGCTACCATAAGTATACCGGATAAATAGGACCATGGCCAGTGACATGTTGAACAACCGTTCGGTGAGGGAAGATCGATGTAGCCACCAACTGAACTGAAATAAAAAAAATTGCCACACCCCCTCTTTACTGCAGCGCTTTACTTAAATTGGGCTTTTTCATGGCTCTTTGCATGTGTTTGTCTGGCCACCCCTGCAATAGAAAATCATACATTCCCTACTTCCATAAACTTTCTCGTCCCCGCCAGTACAGATTCTAGAAACGTTGAATTATTTACCCAGACCTTAATCGTGAATCCGCCGATTTCGAAAATCCAGCAGTTTATTTTTTTTTTTTTTTTTAATACGCAGTTTACTGACAATGTTTTTTGTGCAAATTCGTGCTTTTAGAAATTGTACTTTATATTGTTGTTAACTGATTTTTGCGCGCTTTATCGCGTAGGCTTACGAGCTGCAGGTAAGCAGAAGAAGAATAACCATTGAACTGATTTCACACCCAACATTTCTTGAGAAGGCAAGTGTGTGTTTTGTCTTTATTTTTTTTTTTTATATACATAGGCCTCAAGTCCTAAGAACTTTGCAGTTGTAGCAAATGGCTTTCCGACTCCAGCAACAAACGCCGCAGTCCCGGCGAGCGAGAGTTCCAAACGCTAGTGACCATGGTGGAAGAAACACTTAGGTCGTGCACCAAGCGCTTCCCTCGCACAGAAATAGATGGTGCCCAAGTATCGGGTCCCTCCCAAACCGACCGCCCCGGTTGTTTCTCCCAGCGGAGGTCCCGCATTCCCTTGCTCACCGATTCTTGTTGTACCCACGGTAAAAGAAACACATTTAGGTAATGACTCTGGTTGACGCGGCAGCCACATTATGTTTGGCGCAACGAGCGCGCTTCACTCGCACGGGGATAGATGGCACCCAAGTATAGCGTCCCTTCCAAAACAACCACACCGGTTGTGTCTGTCAGCGGTGGTCCCGCATTCCCTCGCTCACCGCTTCTTGTTGTATCTCACTGCCGCCACGCTGCCACCAAGCCGCCAGAATCCGTAAATCTGTGTTCTCTTTCTTCTTCTTTGGGCTAAGACTCACCTTCGTGCACCATGGCGGCAACTGTGATCGGCACAGCACCGAAGCAAAACATGAGGCCAGCCCTGGCCGCACACCACCACCACACCACGAAAAAGGCGAGCACGCTACGCCGCTGACATCGTGGCCGCCGAGGAGGCAGCCCACACCGGAGCACCCTCAGCGGCGGCGCGGAAACTACTCCTCGTTCGAAACTTGCCCCGAACATGATCTGGTTGCTCGCTCCCCGCAGGAAGAGCGGCCAGAGTCGTCAGCTAAATGTGTTTCTTTCACCGAAGCTAGTGACTAACTCCACGACTATAGAAGATGACTTTCAAGCACTTGCAGGTGACTTCCAAATCCTAAACTCCGGGACTGAGAAGTTACCCCACAGGGTACAGATTCATCTGGCGTCGCACCACGCTCGAGGAGGAAGAGGAAAGGAAAAAAGGAGATGAGGATCGGAGAGGAGGAATGAAGGAAGGAAAGGAGGAACGGTGAGAAGGAAACTGGGAAGGGCCCCTGGAAAGTTTGTTGTGAAAAGAAGAGACTTGCGGTTTGGGAAGTCCCCCGCCGATTTGTTGTGGGTACTTTGTTGTGGGGAAGCAGACGATTTGGAATGCGATATCTTCTTTTCACGTGCTTAGGGAGCTCTAGCAGATTTAGAAACTCTGTTTCTGGATTTTTGAGTGAACGCTGGTCACTTATTGCTACGCATAATTAATGGGGTCAATATTTTTATTGCCCTCGGCTCAGCGCACCGTGGCGATTTGTAAGCGAAATAGGAACAGCCCTTTCAAAAAAAGTTTGGGAAACAAATTTTTAGCCAGGATTGATTCAAAAAACGTTGTGAAATAAAAGAACAAAACAACCCAAATTCCGAATGCTGAGAAAGCAGCTATATGAAATCAAAACCATTAATTTAACACATTCTTGAAAACTTGAGAAATAGGCTCAATGAGAAGAGCGCACGCTTATTGCTCCTGTGCTTCTGAGAGTAAAAATAAGTTCCGAGTTTGATCACTTTAGAAATCAACACAAAATGTTTTTGTTAGTTAAATCTTAAATGTTTATTGTTGCAGTCAAGAAACAAACGCCATCACATCCCCCAAGTGCTCTAAGGCATCATCGCATTCCAAATTGTCTTGTTTTTTTTTTTCTTTTTCGCAACAAACTTTTTTGGGGCTTTCCCCCAGTTTCCTTCTCACCCCTCCTCTCTCTCTCTAATCCTCCCCTCTTTCCTTCTTTCCTCCTCCTCCTCCTCGAGCGTGGTGCGACGCCAGATGAATCTGTACATCCTACAGTCCTAGCGAGCGATTTCCATGCAGGCAACAAACTCCCCAACATTAGCAAGCAACTCAAGCACCACCAAGAATACTCAGAGCCTTAGCACTAGAACTTTGACGCCATCGCAGTACAACAGAGGAAAGACTTCGTCGTCGCTCGGCTGGGCCCCGTCTCCAATGAACGTGTCAAAAGACACTTGGCAACGGGCTTGAGTCCAAGTGCCGAGTTGCCGACACTTGATTGCGATGACATTCCGTGGAGTAAGAGAAGAATGTTTGCAGGCCTCGAGTATTCTAGGTGGGGCAGGCAACCCCACATTCCCGGCGAATTAGCGGCCCTTCCCGGCGTTGTTTCTTTCTCTCGAATTCTGGGCCTCAACTGCCCCCGCCCCCCTAGGGTACCGACCTCCCTGAGCGGCGGGTGCTTCTTCTTGGCCTCGTTGGAGAGCTGGCGCAGGTCGCTCTGGAGGTTCTCCAGGAGACGCTTCTCTGCCAGGCTGCGCTCGCCGGCCGCCATTGCAGCCTTCCCGAGGCCCGCCTTGCCGGGGGACGGCTCTGCTGGAAAACAAAGGCAGAACTTTTCGTGTCGGAATCGCATTTGATTCCAAGCTCACAAAACAAGGCTGGGCTGATAGGCAGGACGCTGCAAAGCCAAAAAGCATCATTCATACAGCGATATCTCTAAAGGATCATTGTATTTTTGTAAAAGAAGTGCGCGAATGAACACGACCGATGAGACAAGGCACGTCACGGTTCGCCATTCCTCCTCCTCCTAGCTTCGTGAACCGAAGCGAGAAGGAGAGAAGCGAGGCCGCTTCTCCTCATTCTCAAATTTTCCAGGGAGACAATTACGTAAAAGACCTCGCTTGATTGCACCCTTCTTTTCCAAAAATACGGCCACTTGTTTGAGATATCAATGCATGAGTGGTGTCTTGGAGTTCAGAGAATCCCGTTCAATGCTTCTGCGGTCTTGTTTTGCAAAATTAAAATATTGGTTCAGTACCTCTTTAAGGCCTGAAGTCCCCGAAGAAGGTGCGACGTGACAAGACAAAAATACCGCCACGAAATACCATCACGAGTCCACAAAACTCGGCCGACTTACGTCCCGCCAGATTTGATGTCGTGGAAATGCTCCATGTAACGGGCGAGGTTTAGCCCGGCAAATTTAGCAGACGGTAGCCATGTAACCTCACCAGTGTGAGGGTAGCTATGCAACATCATCGGCGAGACAGTGATCATGTGACACCAACCGTATGACGTCACTGATGTAAAATTGTGACACCGTGATGTCGAGCAACACCAAGCAGATGACCACATCAGAAGGAGGTCTACTACGACAGCACCAGAGAAAGTGGCATGCTGTTCCAGGCATGGGTACAGATCTTCAGAACAAGACAGTGGGTAAGCCATTTGACCAAAGATGATGATGATGATGATGCTTGCGGCTGTCCCCTTTGTAACGGGTGGTGACAATTTTGACGTGTCCAAGTCTTCGGACGTATTGTCCACGTTTTACTTTTTTTCTTTCAATAATCTGTTAGCCTTTGCTTCGCAACATCGACTTGGCCGGTATATGGCTGGAAGCCCAGTCCCTGTAATAGCACTGGCACCTGCACGAGTGTCGGTGACACACACTGCCTTCCACTGTGTCCGCTCGGCCCTTGTTTGTTGTGCTCACGCTGTGCCTGCTCCCAATCTGGAGTCATGCCCGGCCAGCGCAGGACCAGGTGATCAATCGTCTACTCTTTCTGATCGCAGACACTGCACTGGACCGACGTTATTGTTTGGTCAAACCGTTGCTGGTACGGTCGTGTTTGCAGCACTGCTGCTCGAGCTTCAAGCGGCTGCCCAGACTGTTGTTAAATGAAAAGAGTAGAGACCTATTGCGACCAGGTGACTGGGGTGTCAGGGCCCAAAGGTGCGACTGGGTGCCCCAAGCAGACAGGTGGTGTAAACAAAAAGGAATGAACTCTCGCTGCTGTAAGGCATGGACTCTGTACACCCATTACAAAGGAAAGAGTCCATCAATTCAAAACCAATAGATCCACTCAAAGACATAGCTGCACCCAACAGCCTGCACCGTGGGCCTCTCTTAGAAAGAGGGATAGCAACAAAACGACTCTAGACAACCGTGGATTCAGCGAAGCTTTTGATCTGTTGACGCTATTTTCGATCACACCACTGCATCGGTAAACCGCGTTCAGCGGAAGCAGTGTCTGATTTTGAACTGAAATAAACGAAAAACGGGCAGCAAACGGCGAGACGAGGGAATGCCCGGTGCAAGCATGAAACGGACTGCGTTTCATTTCGCGCCGACGCAAAAATAAAAGGAGCAAACCAATATGTGATGGTTTGATATCATATTGCAGAACAATCACGCCTGTGCCAGTGATTTTAAATGGGAAAAGGAAACAAAGAAGAAAAAAATTACCGCGCAGGCGAGATTCAAATAGACCTATCTTCGGACCAGTTCGAATAATTATTTATTTCTGTTTTAGACGAACGCCCCCAAAGAAGCAATCTATCCCTCAAGCCCCACTAGGCCTCCGCTCGCAACCACACACCGCAAGGTGAGAAAAACATTGCAGAGATCCAAATATCCGCCTAGTTCAGACCGATAGCGAGTCGTTCCTTGCCCGAGGATTACAGACGCCTTATCGGCCCCCGTGACTTCGTGTAGTGTTATTCTTTTATCTAACGAGATTAGGAAGGAATCATTACCCAGTGTCCGAGACCTGTCGTCTTCGAGATGAAACTGTCCGGCGCTTACGTTGGGCGTTCCCAGGCCATGTTTCAGAAGCACGTCGCTGCTGATCTACGCCTTCCGATAATTTTTGGCGTCCCGCATTAGAGGTGCTGTCCGGCCGAAGTCTAGCACAACACGATCGCGCACGGGAACACAGTAAATTAATTACACTTCTAATAAGCGGGCCCTGTAGCAATGCACCGCTGCGAGCATTATTTACAGAATCCAGTTGGCAGGTCGGACAGGAAGACGGAAGACGGCTACAGCAGCGCAAGCGACTGGGGCGGCGCGGCGCGGCTGGCGCAACGCCCTAGTGGCCCTAGCGACAGCGTGAAACTTTGGTGCGTGAACGTGTCCCCGACTGACGTCCACTCAATTAAACTGGTGACGTCACAAAAAAAAAAATGACGTTGCAGGCGTTGCAGATTGTCGCGACTCTGGCGGTGGCTCGATACCAACAAAAAGTGGCAGGGGCCTGCTCTAAGTCTGCTCACTCCAGCTCTAGCGCCAGAACCGACAATTTGACGGAATTTTAAAAGCTACGGGTTGACACGTCACTGCACGAGCGACGCCTAACGTTCATTTGACTTTTTCTATGGGCGTTCTCAATGTCAACCACCAGGTTCGCGAGAAACTGCAGCGATCCCTCGGTGTACTGATGACGCCTTTTGTTGCCGTTTTGATGAATGAAGAGTGGTACATGACAATTAACCAACCAATTAACACACGAGCTGGAGCAGCAAACCCGTTCAAGGCACTGCAGTAAATCAGAACTGGCTCGGAAGTAGGTCAGTAGGTCACGACCAAAAATGTGGATGCCGCTATTGTTGACCGAGAACAAAATGCTCTCTCGGCCACCTTGACAACTTACGGAAGAGCCTGACCTGACCGACCGCGCTGACGGACGCTTTTTCCGTGAATTTACTGACAGGACGCCTTTTCTGTGACGGAAGACCTGTGCGGCTGACGTGGTCACGCTGTGTTATTGATTGTTGGGCGGGCTGAACTTGTCGCACCATATGTTTTGATCGGTGCCACAGTTATCAGTTATCGCGACCGAACAAGACATCTACCACATTTTGCGTGAACCACGAATATGAACTGTGTGAGAGCATGTTCGAGATCGTCACGAATTTTCCGCCAGACATCTCCGTCGGTTACCGGGATTGCCCTGACCTGGTCATTGGCGACAAGGACTTGCCGTCTCTGGAAGCGTAGCAACGCCAGCAACGCCTTGACACTTTGTTCTGCCTTCTCGTCGACGCCCTGTCCTACCAGTATTGCAATGTCAGACACTACGGATTCGCCCCGCAAACCATCGGTGACTGCGATTGCGTTGTCAAAGAAGAACTTGCCAGGCTTTTCTCATGGAAGGTGCGAAACAGACAGTCACGGCGAATCCAAACCGCCTCCAGACGATAGTGCCGAAACTTATCTACGGTCGGTGCTTGGCATTGGACTTCAGGTTTCGGACACCCATACAGACGGGACAGACCAGGCCGAAACGTTGCCCAGAGGCTACAACGCTTCCGCCGAAGACCCAGCCATTGTTGAGTGGGGTCTGCGCACCGAAGTCCCGGTCTCCGCGACCAAAGCAGTACATATGATTGTTTTCCTGGCGAACTGCGATAGCGGAGAGTTAATAAGGATGTCGACTTCCTTTTGCTTCAGGAAGACAGTCCACGCAGAGATAAAGATGCCGAGGACTCAACCGTGGTGGACGTGTCTACCAGGAAGTCCAGAAGGAAAGGCCGCAAGAAAAGGAGGGCTCAGGCTGTTGCGCAAGAGGATAACGAAGCCAATGACAGTCCAGCAATACTTCCAGAGGAGAGTGTTGTCGAGGATGTGGAAAGTAGCTTGATTGCAGAGCTTCCCGCTGGTGCAGTATCGTGTTCCAGCTCCGAAGATGAGAATGACGTTGTGTACAGTCTCAAGCCACTGTTCACAGGTTGGTCTGTAGGTGTATTTCGTAGCAATCCGAGTGGCACCTTTGCTAGGGACGTAGTAATATTGTTAAAGATGGAACATTCTTGTCGAGACGGAGAGTTTGTTGCTGGATGGCATGTCCTGGTACCGAGTTTGTTGCTGGATGGCATGTCCTGGTACCGTCTACACATGCCACTAGATCAGAAGATCCTGCAGTGATGTGCAAAGACAGCTCATATTTGTTATTCACTAGTTTTAAGGAACTCGGAAGGCAATGTGAAGAAGAAGAAAATCTGTATAGATTTTAACAATGCGGCTGGGCAGGAACACACATTAAAATTTCATCATGTAGCATTAGAAGCCCAAGGCATAGCATTGTTTTCATGCAAGTCTTTCCATCTAAGGTGCATTCAACAATGCTGGCAAGAATAAGAAGTCCAAAAAGGAACGTCCAGATCCCGTCAGACAGAGGCCAAACTACTTTGTTGCACTGCAAATTAAGGACGTAGGGGTAGGTTCCCAACCCCTGCACTCCTCGCGGCTTAACAAGTCAATACCGAACCGCAATGTTTTGCGTCTGCTTTTGTGGCATACAGGTGCACAGAGCAGCAAGGAGGGTCCAGGAACACCTGTGCTCCGTCAAGCCTGAAATCGTGCCTTTTCTGATCCCCATAGCAACGTTGCACATCACAGTGTTGGTACTCCGTGTTGTGGATGACCAAAGTCTCCAAAGGTAGATACTCGCCAAGTAGAGTATGCCGGGCAATATATTTCCGTTTATATGGGGCACCATTCAACAGTTTGCATGTTTATAGAACCTCTAGACGTGTTGCAACGACTCCCCCAATGCGTTGCTTCCTCTTTCCAAAGGGCCAAGGATGCCTTGCACAGAAGTCATGCACGCCTTAAAGACGACTTCGAGCAAGCACCGCTCACGCTGGAGTTCAAAGGATTGGCCAACTTCGGTGGAAAGGTCAGGTTCTCCCTAGACTAGCCTGAAGAGAGGTCCTGTGTCTCCATTCTGTCCTGTCCTCCCCCTCCCTCACTCCTTCCCCTCCCCCCCACAACCTTTGTTGGAAATTCCTTTATCAGGTGCTGTATGTCAAGACTGCCGACGAGGGAGCTCACAGGAGGCTGCAGACACTTTCAGACGTCTGCCTGGAGGAGTTCGTCAAAGCCAATCTGGATTTGAGTGCCCACAAGGACTTCAAGCCACACCTGACTTTGGCCAAACTCTCCCGGGTGACCAAGCGGGAAAAAGTAAGTATAGTTAGTCTTCCCAAAACAACTGACAACAGGAATGGTCCTTGGTACCGGCGATTAGTTGACAAGCACCTCTGCTTCAGGTTGTGAAAAGGATCGAGGCAGAGTGGTACAGCGAGTTTGCGGAAGAATCTTTTGGAAGCCAGTTGGTGAATGGAGTCCAGCTGCTGAGCATGAACAAGCCCAAGGACGAACGTGGCTACTACTACAACAGCCTCCAGCTAGACTTCGGTGTGTGTCAATGCCGAAATCGATGGCAAAGCTATAGCTCCCTCTTTTATTGGCACGCTGGGGCCGTAGACAGACTAGAGCAAAAAGCTATCTAGGTTGCAGCTTCAAACAACTGAGAAGAGCTTATGGCAGTTGGGAATTTGGTTACACATTCATTATCTACGAGTTGCATGAACTCCGAAAATATTTGCCATGCAACTGAAGAAAGGCTGAGCTTAGTTTCTATTTGGGATATCTGCTGTTTGAGAGGGCAGTTGTCCATAACCATTACTAAAGCTAGGACCTTGCACCTCCGGTCTCCGTTGTAGTCCATGTTAACGTGAAGTGCCAACTGTTTCAGAGCCCACTGAGAAAACCGGCCCGCACGATGCTGACCACACCGAGTGCTGCCGTCCATTCGTCGTGGCATCACAGACAGTGTCGTCTTCGCTGCAGAAGCACAAGCTCCTCCAAGAACTTGAGTTTGCTAAGCAAGAGGTCAAGAGGAAGGTGTCGTCAGTTACCGAGGATGCCCTGAAAAGGATGGCAGGTTCGGCATCCGTGGAAACGACGAGCAAAGACGGGCAAGAGTAAGCTCTAAAATAAAGCGTTAACTTTGTACATGTCGCCTTGACAAATGTCTCCACTGAAAGTACTCCAACCGTGGGTAAGATTAGCCAAACAAACATTGATGGGGTGCTTCGGTTAAATTCGTCCAATCAAGCTGAAATTAATTGGTTGCTGCCTTGAAGTAAGTACAGCTAATGTTTCCGATTTACTGGAAACTAGCAACTTCCAATTTTAGCAGTAACCCAACTTTCACCAAGCCATAAAAAGAGAAGAAACATTGGCTGTACGAATTCAAAGCCAGTGTGAGATAGACATTGGCACACACTCATCTTTGAATGTTTAGAGGAGTCGTGAAACGACAAGCTCAACGACGCGCTTTTTATTTCAATGTCATCTGGAAGCTTAGCTCCTTGAGCTTGTGCTCACTTCATCACCTTTCTCTTTTCTTGTGGCCAGACCGCTACAGATAAAATGATTAAACACCATGCTAGCAAATACGACATGGCAGGCAGCAATGCCACTGGTCACTTCCGGAACCAGTATTCCTGTAGACACAGACTCGACGATGGTTGTGGAAAAAGGTTTTCTTTTGTTTTAAGTTTTATTTCGAAGAGCATTCACACACTGAAATGTAAAAAGGAAAAAAAAAAGCTACACTCAACAGTCGAAACACTCAACCACTGCACTAACCCACTCACAAGAAAAAAAAAAAAAAAAAAAAGAAGCTCGGAAGCGACCTAAAAAAATTAAGCTGTCTGCAATTCTCCACAGACCACCCGCATCTAAAAAAAAGAGTCCAGCAGAAGCTCCGAAAACTTCTTTGTGCCCGTCTAGGGACGGTCCAAGAGCGCGTCGTGACAAAAGACCCTCTTCTCCCGGTTTCTCGCACCCGAAAAAGACGGGGGCAGACATCCCGACGCGGAAACTCCGACCCGTGCCCGCTTATTGCTACGTCCTCGGTGGCTGCTGCAGAAGTGGGAGGGCCGGAAAGGCAGTAGTAAGACGACGACCCCGTTCGCCGACGTCCGCTCGCAATTTGTTTCCTATGCTCGGCCCTCGTCCCCTGCTGCCAGCCTTCCCACGGAAGACCCAAACGTCGCGTCCGTTACGCGTTCCGTCGCGGCGCCTGGAATGCGCCCTGTTCCACCCGTGCGTCAAAAAAGTGGCCCGAAGTGGCAACAAACGACTCCGCGAAAGCCCGGTGGTTTTTGTGACGCCGTCGGCTGGAAGTAGAGGCACCACTTTCTATGATGCGGTAAACACCGGGTGGAGACGCATTCCAGGCAGCACAGTTCCAAAGCGTTGAGACGACGCGCCCGCCGCTCCGGCCCGCGACGAACCTCGCGGGCGACGCGAGTGAGACTAGGAGCACGGCGAACTGACGGCTCGAGGCGACTGGAAGAATCGACGGACTAGATGGGCAACGTCCGACATCGCGCCGCCGCCGTCGAGTCTCTCTGGTACGACGGATCGGACGCCGCGGTCGATGTGGCTGTTGCAGCGGCCTCAGTCCCAACTCTCGTCCGAGTCGGGGTAATCCATGAGCTCTTCGTCGTCCAGTTCTTCGTCCTCGTCTTCGAACGAGTCGTACTCCTGCAGCTCCGCCCGGTGCCGGAGGTAGTTGTTCCGCCGGTTCAGAGCGGCCGCGGCCGCGTTGCTGTTGTTGATGCTGTTGCGCTGCTGGCGGGCCTGCATGCGCGCTATCTCCTCCGGGCCACGCTCCTTGCGGAACTCGTACACCAGCGGGAAGATGTGCTCGATGGCCTGCTGGACGTTGCCCACGCTGGGCGCTGCGCCAGAGACGACGGGAACGAGAAGGCGTTGGTGCGTGCAATTTGTGACTATGGTCCGTTGCCAGTTAGGAAAAGCGGGACATGCCCCCATCGCGAGGCGCTCGACTCGTTCCACTTTAGCAGAGCAAATGCTGGAGAGGGGGAACTGCCCATTGTGGCAAGCAGAGCACTTCGCTGGGAAGGCTCGTCCCGCTTTTCCCTGCAACATACTATAGACGTCAGACACACAAACAAAGTAACCTTCTGCCTTGACCGGTCACCAGTGCAATCTCGGCAGCAGCAGCGCGGGAACTTTGGCATCAGCTTGCAATACACGCGACGTCCCCGCATTTCTGGCATCATCGTTCGCCACGAGCTACCGGCCAATGGGCTGCCACAATTGAAAGGCTATGCAATAAGTTAACTTGCAACGTTTCTCGTAATTCTGTTCCCAGAAGAGCACACTGTTATCACACCAATTTCCTTTTGCTGACGTAATTTTTCAGATATTCACTCCCTTCGAGCTACTGATTAGAAATAATCTCGACCAGCGCAGGAAAAGAAATAGCGACCCCCTACGAAAGATGCACTATTGAACTGCAGCGATGTGATTGGCCTAAGCCCTTTTGGAGCAGCCAAAAGTGTTTTGGAGCAGCATAAGTGGCTTTTGGAGCAGCCAGAACAGTGGTTTGGAGCAGCATAAGTGGTCTTTGGAGCAACCAAAAGAGTGTTTTAAAGCAGCATAAGTGGCTTTTGGAGCAGCCAAAACAGTGCTTTAGAGCAACAAAAGCGTTTTTTTAAAACAGATATTCTTCGAAAAAAAGAAAAAAAAGTTGTTTTAAGTGCTGGACAAAGGAAGGGCACTTTGTTTGCCGCAATAAACAAATTATGGTCGAGTTAGACCACCTGGGAGTCTTTCCACATGTAACTGAAACGCCAATGACGACATATTTTGCAATGCTTCAGTTTAATGATGCATAGATATGTACCCGCTAGAGATAAATAAAAACCAAACTGCACATATAAAATTTATTTGAAAATGACCAGCTCAGTAGTAAATATCGCACCATTAAGATTACTAGGTATATGACATAATAAATAGAAGCAGCCCCCAAATCATTAAACACGTAACTACTGTAGTGCAATGCGAAATCGAAAACACAAGACAAAGGTGCATTATGACTAGCGGGTACTCTTCTTTTTGCTTTTCTAAACTTTCTGCAAGGCTGCTGCAAGCTTCGCTTTGCCTTCGACTAGTAATGAATGTCCACTTTCAATGTCCCCAAAGAGACATTGAGATGTCCTACAAGTGTACAGTGAGGTAGGCGTTGCTGAGCAATTCCGAAAAATTGCTTGCCACCATTTTACTGGTTCCAGACGTGCCAGATTTTCGTCAAAAGTAAGCAAATGCAAACGTAAAAAAATGGATTGCCAGCGATCGGCTGGTGCCCCTGTCGTGCAATCATGTTCAGATGCACGTGAGGGAAACTTTGGCAGGCTTGCAGTTGCACGTGCTTCGTTGCACGAGCGGAGACAACGGCTAATCAATCGAAACCGAAACCACACCACTCCGCTCCGTTTCCAACTGGTTCCCAAAAGTGTATGCAAAATGTAACGGTCCAGCATACGACAAAAACAGTCCAGCGGTACTTGCTTGCCAGGCCGGCAAGAGAGGTACAAGCTAAACACACAGAAAAAAGAACCTGAGCATAACGATGCAAGACACCGCGAGCCAGGTTTGAAACGTTCTTAGAGCGCTTTGTGCAATGACTGAACGCGAGACAAACAAGCGCGCTGTGCGGGTTCAGCGTGCAGGCATTGCCTTCTTTGCTTTACCTCACTTCTCTTCAACATTCTTTTGCGGCAGATTTTTCACGTACCAGGGTCTCTATTGAAAGAAAGCCCATTGAGAGAAACCTAGGTAGTGAATACTTCGACACAGAAGTCTTTGAGTTAAAGAGAGATTTTTGTAGTAGCGTATGATTTAAACAAGAAGAAGAATGTTGATGAACATGCGGCGGTCCTTACGTTTCAGTTTAGAAAGCACTATATTGGCAGCGATGTGGGGACGGCAACACCCAACGTCGCGCAACCACGGTGACTGGTAGGCAGGGACCAAATCTGGTTTTCCCACGGCCGTTGCTTTAAGGGGGGACACTACCCAGAAAAAACAATTTCTGCAAAAAAAAGTTGATTTTGAAAAATGTCATATTTACATCCACCAACATCTAGAGAATAATCCCAGAAAGTTTCATTAGTTTGCACTGCATAGTTAATTTTCTATAAATTATTTTCGGTCCTCCGACGCTAAAGAAAAGGTAGAGGTTGGAGCACTTTGAACGCATTTTTCTCCATTCCACTTTTTGGCATAAATTTCACTTTAGGAAAACTATCGTTTTGTTATTACGCAACCTGGATTCATTTTTATGAGTTTTTCTGGGGTGAAATTTTAAGGGGAAGATAACTATGAGCTTGTATTTCTTATTTTTGTCATTTTTCATGCTCAAGAACTAAAAGTTTGGACAAAGGATGGAAATCTAAAAAACTGTATTTGTGTTTATGTGGCTTTTTTGTCATGAAAGATGGTATAACATAGAAATATAGCTCCATAGTTATCTGCTCTGAACTGTCCTAATGCAATGTAACACATGAAAACAACAAATTTATAAGTAATTTCAAAACGATAGTTTTCCTAAGCAGACACGCCCACTTTTGTCTTTGAACGTTCGCAATTTTTTTCGTACTTCACCCAGGTTAACAAAAATTGGCAGAAATGTTCTCAACATCAACAGAAACAAGCAGTGTAAATATAATTTAAATCCGACAAGTGGTTCAAAAATTTACTGTTTTGGGTAGTGTCCCCCCTTAAGGAGCGAGTGCTTCAGCTCACAAAGTGACTCCTACCGCGCGAAAACGTGGCTTCGTTTCACAGCATAACGGTATGGCTGGTACTCGGCACGCTAGCGCCGGAGCGTCCGCACACGCCCGCGTCTATCGTTGAAACTTTTTTTAAAAAGACGCGAGACGAGACTCACGAGACAACGAGAGTGCGAAACGCAAGACGGCGGGAAAACTATGCAAGACCGGAAGGAACATTGATGCAGGCTACTTTGTGCAGGGCGGCCGCTTGCACCCCATAACACACGCATGCTCAATTACGGTACTCAGTTTAGTTTCGGTTTTAAGAGACGACCAAAATTGGTTGTCTTTTGGCACAGATTACCCATATTTTGGCAAAATGCAGCAGGATGTAGCACGGCTAGCCCCTTGGCGCAGTTTGGCACAACAACATTACTGGAACTGGTGCCGCTATTGCATCTGGCCCCTTAATTGGCCTGTTGCATTTTCTGGACAAAATGAAATAGGTCCTCACCTGTGACTGTGATGCTGCCTGTTGAGAATATCTTCAGGGTAGCTTTCAGATCTTTGATCTTGTATGTGACTCCGGGGTGGAGCTCGGGCTCGTAACTGAGTCATCAAAAACACCGGGGATGGCTCAGTGAGGCGGGAACAGGACAAAAAAAAAAAAAAAAAGCAGATTGAAGCAAATAAAAAGGACAAGGGACAGGTTCATTAAAAGCTGCAATTAACACCCAGTTTCTTCTCTTTTTTTTTTTATTATTTTGATTTATTCCAGAAACAACAAACAGTAACAAGCTGCAATAAATTTGTCTCGAAAAACATAAATCGGGGTCCCGGGCGTTCCAAGATCGTTCTAGAGCATATTCACAGTGTTTACTGGAGTTTAGTCTGGGCGACAATTTTAAGAGATTTTAGCTGTCACTTGCACTATTTCCAAACTGTTCAAAATCTAATGGGAACACTAATAAAATGGAGAAGAAAACCAACATTCCAACTACGGCGTGCATTCGTAAAGACACCACGGCGATGCAGAGCGGTGCAACAAGGTAAGTGCCAAACCGCCACGGGCAACCAGCTCCACCTTATTGTAAAACCGAGGCACCGAAAGGCAGGTTTTAGGCAAAATTTGTACCGTAGAAAAGTTCGGTCATAAGCCTTCAATGCGAATAATATGGCTGTGGCGACAGACACACGCTGCGGCAATAGACGCCAATATGACGACCGTCGGTACTAAAGCTGGCAGCACTGGAAACCACCACTGAAACGTCGCTCAGCGATACAGGGTTTGAGTCCGCCGCCAGACACTCGTTCGCACGGGTGACGTTAGGTCTCGGGCAACAAGGACACGGTGCAACGTTTCCACCAAATACTTTACTAGGAAATAGATCTTGCTCCACGAAAATCCAACGGCACAGTTGGAACGGTTGGACGCGCGCAGCCTCGCGGCTTTCCCTTTAGAATCAAGAGGGATGGCCGCCGCTGTCTATCGTTCTGGGCGCCCGTCGACACAACGGAGACGGCCGTCTCCCTCAGCGATGCGCGTGCATCAGAGCGCTCGTACCGCTAGCCCTGGCGTTCCCACCTTGTTGGCGACTACAGTAAAGTGTCCGAGCCCAGATCCGACAGAGAGGGGGGGAGGGAGACATGCCCACCTGGCCAGGCCCCGGTTGTGCTGGGAGAAGGGAATGAGCTTGATGGCAAAGGGCATGGTGCAGGTGCCCAGCACGTTCACCACCCGGTAGTTCATGAACTTGACCCGAAAGCCCAGCTTCTGCAGGATGCGGGCGTACCGCCGGGCAGCCATCTTGGCCGTCTCCTCACTGCAGGAGAAGGAATGACATTGTGAGACGTCGAGAGCGTCCGATCGCTTTTGGATGTGCCCAAAGACGTTTAGGAGCACCCAACAGATTGGGCCGGCAGTGAAGCATCAGCCCGGTCTTTTCGTATCCAACCTCTCTTTTCCCTCCGCCAAATGAGATAAGGCAAGTTAAGGATTACAAACTGAAATCCCTAGCAGCAAAATCTTGAACTACACACTATATCACGTTTCACCTTATGAGAAGTGCAGCGGACACTACGTGCCATCCAAGCCCCATTCGTCGCTGTTCGCCTTTTAAAGGAATACTCAACGAAACTTGAAATATACCCGTCATGTTCAGAAATAGGCTGAATATGATCCACAATATCCGTATATGACAATTGCACATTTGTATTTTGAGCCTGATGGCTGTATTTTTCATCATAAATGGCCCACCCTGGCAAGCGCTCGGAGAGCAGCCAGCGAGAGAGCACGTGACATCCGGCGCAATCGTGACATAGATTGTCTCGGGACAAACAAGGCTGCGGTGAGGCTGACGTCAACAGGATGTCCTAGGTGTTCCAGCGGCCAAAGCACGCCAGCGATCGGGCTACTGCAACTAACCCCAAATCTGCTTTTGAGTGACGGGTTAATATTCTATGATCTTGTAGAGGGACAATAGCAACGTCTGGAACACACAAGAGAGTCCCAGTCAGAGGGGAGTTCCTCCCCCTCCTCTTCTCTCGTGGTGGGCGGAGGCGAGACAGGCATTGTCACCACCTGTCAAGGTTCCTACACGGGCATTACAAATGAGAGTTTAGCAACATCCTCCAGGTGCTCCTTGCCAATTGTTTAATTCGTTGTAAAATTTCTTTCCGCGTCTTTTTTATTGAGAGATCGGTGTTCCTCACGTAATACTGCTCCCTTGAACACGAATAGAATAAGAAATAAGCACCAAAATTCCGTTGTAGTATTCCTTTAACGGTTGCATGACACCCGCATAGCCATGGATTGGCCCCCATGGCTCGTAGCATCCGCTGCAGTCCGTCGCAAGGTCAAACAGTTTAAGAAAAAAAGCATACAGCTGGTTACTGCACGGCTACTCAAACGAAGTAAGTTGAAAATGTAGGTTCCCAATACGGTACCCAATGTGAGGGCATAGTGCCACATTATTTCCTGAATTAACCAAACGTATTCTTGAAAACAAAAACGGCAACGTGAAAAGTCTACCATCGGGGATCTCAATCTCATTTGAGCCTCAAGGCCAGATAACCTAAACCTTGACGAGTCGAGGGCCAACCCAGGTCGGAAAAGGGGGGGGTGAAAGATTTCGTAAAGAAGGAACCTCGTGCTCCCCGCTTTTTGTAAACTCATAGTTCTGGCAGTGGCATCTTTAACTTTGATTTGTTTATAAGTTTACTTTGGGCCCTTACTTGTTGTGACAGCAAAAGTTAGAATGGCGCCGCCTCGCCAACGTGCTGGTGCTTTTTTTAATAGAACAAGCGAGCAATCCCACTGCTGTTCCTGTTGCTCAATTCACTCAAAAATTAAACTTAGCATGTCTCGAAAAAAAAAAAAAAAATTATATTTTATGAGTTTTTGCTTTTCTGCCGATTTTAGTAGCACCAATCTTAGAAAGTACCTGTATTTTAATGGTGACACTTTCTGAAGGTGAGAATAGTAGAGCAATTGTATAGGTCAGTGGTTCTCAAATGGCAGTCTGCAGATCCTTTGGGGTCTGCGAAGGCATTCTAGGGGTCTGCAAAGCACTGCCTCGTCAGTCAAGCCCAGCAATAAAAGTTCTTTTTTTCAGATTGAGAAAGAACATTCTAGTTTTCGAGCGAGCTTTCTTATGTGTATGTCAGTGAGAGACGTCTACTTCACACCAGCCCTTAGTTACATCCACTTATTAAATCATTATGATTAACCTACATCTTTTCCTTCCCCTCACCACAAGCGGGCTCCTCTATCATCTCTGCCAATCGACAAGGGGTCCGCAAAACATCGATGGTTGAGAACCACTGGTATAGGTGATTAACATAGCAAAAAAAGCTGGAAAGCAAAAATTACACCGAACATGAAGCAAATTAAAACTACAAGAGCAGAGCTATGTTTCGAGCAGAAATGAATCCATGACACGAGATGATTATGGCGTATGTCATTTCTAGCTCCAGACATGGGAACAGGGGCTTGCAGCAGGTTGCCTGTGGGCCGCATCCCAGCGAGTGGCAGGCCGCATGTTTGAGACTCATCCACATCGTCACTCCCATGTTTGCATGGAAACAACTGCCTCAATGCCCACCTGGTGGCGCCAGTGCAGGTGACCTTGCCTGAAGACCACATGCTGGCTGTCGTGTATGGCGCCCTTATCTTCATTGTCAGCATCTGCGGAGAGCACCAATCGAGTCTTCAATGACAACACGCACCAATCCCTCCCCAAAGGAGGCCATCCCAGCAAATCAAGACACAGGCCCCCAACATCTCAGTTAGACTTGAATTTTGTAGTAAGGTGTAGAATTCGCCGACAGCACCTCATGCAGTACATATTGAAAGAGTGAAAATATGTTTTAATCGCATTGTTCGTAATGATTATTTTGATAGAGGATGCACCTTCGACTATGAATACATACTGAATGAACTCTCATTACAAAGCTTGTCAAAAAAGATTGCGTGTGACATTTGGTTATGGCACAAAGTTGGTCATGGCCACTTCACGATTCTGATTTTGTGTTGTCATTGCAGTTTCAAGCGCCGGCTCGTGCGTTCAAAGACTCGTGTATATTTTACCCACATATTTATCCTGAACCATCACCATTGGTAAGAATGCAGATTTGCTTCAACAACCCGACACCCTATCAGGGTGTCTAGCAAATTATTATTGTGAAATTCCCCAACTTTTGCAGGCTTTCCCTGACAATTTCAGGCGAAATTCCCCGACCACTGTAGAGGTGGTTAAATATATAAGACCATTACAACACAAGGCAGTGAGCATTGAGCACTGTGAGGATCATTTTGCACGGGCTTAATCGAACTTGCATATTCCGAAATATTCGGGTTCGTCCAGTCCGGATTAAGCTAGCACCTCCTTGCCGCTGACATCGTCAGTGAAGAGGCCACTTCCGGAAACAATGAAAACACACAGTCAACCACACGTTCAGAACCGAATGGCAGCATGGCTGCCAGATGCACACTTTCAGATACTTTTGGCTTAAGGCTTGGATTGGGGTCTGCGGCTTTCCTATTTGTTACTAAGTATGGTAGCTCTAACTGGATCTAGCCTAGTGTCGTGCCCTCAATCCAATCCAATCCAAGGCTTGGACTGGATTTGTCAGCTGTTTCCTTTGCATCGGGTAGTACACTCTACACCGGGTGTATGGAGCCCGCACTCCGCTCAAAGCAGAATTTATTGTCCATTTTTCTGCCTCCAAGTTTCAAGCCTTTGCTCAGGGCACTCAATGGCGTTTCCGGCTCATTTTTCCTGATAGGGCTCGCCTTTTGACAATATCCCTGAGAATTCCCCAATTTTTCCCGGTAATTAAAATTTCCCTGATAATTTCCAGTTTTCCTGGTCACTAGACACCCTGCCTATGTTGATGTATTTTCAGAGTATTGTATTTTCAAAAAGAACTTGTATATCTGCTCATTCTAGTGCTTGCGTATAACTGTCTGGGTGTAGTTTTCTTTGTATGTGCCACCATACTGTGCTGGGACAGAGACAAATAAAGATTATTATTATTATAAAGAACCAATACTTCGAAAAACAGAAGGAGGCAGTCCCACTTTTAGCCACAAAAGAAAATGAACCAAAATGATAAGCCACGCTTGACCCAAGATACGAACGAGCACTGACCCAGAGGTTGGAGATAACTGCAATAAAACTTGGGGACGGAGGGCAAAGGTGCATGCAATTCCTTGATCCATATTTATGCACGCTGTCTAGACCGAATGCATACATTTCATATCCCACACTGAATAAATCGAGCCCATAGTGGATGTTGGGGGTGCCCTGTGGGCCACAAAACACTAACCCCAAAGTTAACAATGTACTATCATGGACAATGTGAGCTGAGACAGCACTTTATACTCCTTTAATGTATCTGGCAATTTTTTTTTTTTTTTTTTTTTTTTTAGAGTTTAGAGGTTCTATGCTTCGGGCTATTTGACAAATCGAGAGATAGCGGGGTTTTTCTTTTGGCCAATATTGTATCCAAAACTAATCGAATAGACGATGTGGAGTTCCCTTTTTGTCGGCCTGGCACCTCGTAGCATGTTGCAACTTATTCCTATACATCACACGGCCGTCGAGACTTGTCCTGAGACAATAACTCGGAAACCTGTCGCCAGGACAACAGGTGACAACGCCAAAAGAAATGCAAGCACGCCTCGCGACAAACTCGAGCGCAGCAAAGTCGAATAATCAAGGGTAGTCGTCCGAGAATCGCTGTTTGCCTCTCACGAGCCGTGTCGTCGGCTAGACCGTGCCTTTTATGGCGAGACCACAGTCAGCAAAACAGGCGCCGCTCGACGAGACTAAACATCAAGTTACATTTCTACAAACAGGAACTTGTCTACGAAAATTCATACCGACGCAAGCCACGACTTGCGAACAAAATGGGAGATCCCCCCATAAACGGCGCTTCAAGAGGACGCTGTTTGAACGTCTAGGAAACACCACACTGCCGCAAAAGGTGATAAGTGCCACTTTGACTGGCACCCGAGCGAGGTGGCGGTGTGGTCGAAATGTTCTGACACGACCCTGCCGGTGCTGCAATTCGCTTCTTATGCCGAAGGACAGGAGAAACCTGATCACAAGACTCCCACTGTGTTGAACTTTGATCCAATGATTACCATTCTCATGCTCAAGATTACCCAAGATTACCATTCTCACCTTGGGCGATACAGGCAAGATTTGTACATAGCCCATAAGGAGCTCCAAGAAGTTCTTGCAAAATGTGCATGTTAGAAAAAAAAAGAGAAAAGGGATGCTTTTTGCATTTGAGCTGAGTAGGTTTTGATAAATCAGCAACAAAGAGGCAAAGCCGTGCATCACTGAGATGCTGATTGCATTGTTAAAATATTAGACATGTGGGTAACATAACTGCTTTGATTCAGGCGACCTCATTGATGCAAGAACATGTTTCTGCGCTGCTTTTTTTTCATTTATTTGTTCGTCCGGCGCTCATTAAAGGGCTATGGGCTAACGGCAGAACTGGAGGACAGAAAGGAATGTGTGTATCTTTTACTGACGTCAAGTTTCCAGCTACTACAGTCTGTTGCAACATAAGATCAGCAGTGGATGCTCCGCCCCCCAGCCCGGAAGGGTAAGGAGCAGATGCTGGAGGCTGAGCACCTACTGCTGATCTTACGTTGCAACCGAGTAAGCACTTTTTAGGTAATTGAATGGTGTGACATATGCATCATTACTTGGAGAAAGATTTGCTTGATTCAAATACTGGTAACAGACAATACCAATGCAGTGTTTCAGTGATTTCCCGTCCCCCTTAAACATGCAGTGGCAACAGGGAAACTGTAATCTACATATAGTACAGCTTGCAGACATGTCTATGCTATTTTAAAATAATACAAACAATGGCACGCATAACAAAGTTATTATACAAATAAGACCGTCATCCAGTCGGAACACATTAGCTGCGTTAGACTTCCTCCTGCACCGGTGCAGAAAAGTGTAGGGCGGTGCACTTCCGGTCTTATCTCAATACACATACCGGAAGTAGACTGCCCTACACTTTTCTGCACCGGTGCAGGAGGTGAAAGTAAATCGAATGCAGCCATTATGTTTCACCAATTGTTGTCCACAATTATAAGAAATAATGGTAGTACATACTATCACTGAAGCCACCCAAAAGTCTAGAAATGTTTTTTTTTTTTTTTATTTTACTCACGATTGGCAGCCTCTCAAACAGTCTCCATTGTGAATTAAAGGTGTAGAAGGATGTTATTCTCAGTCAGATTCACTGTAAATGTAGTGAGATTATTGGCATGCTCTTTAATCCCAGTGAATAGTATGAGTCCCTGACCATTAAGAGCTCTGGAGGCGTACCGTGTTATCCGATTACGACCCAAGCGGTGCACGAAACTGCCATCCGGAGTTTCCACAATTATGACTGGGACGTTTCTTTTCCTTGGATAACTGCCAGTGCCTCGTTAGCGCGAGACTAAAATGAGCCAAACTCACTACTATTTCGAGTGCTGACTGACATTATTGCGTGTCAGTACACGGACCTGCCTGGACAGTACTGGCGAGACGACCACCAAAAGTTTAACGAAAGTCAAGGGCTAAATCAAACTATATTAAAGCTATGATTATAATGCAATTGATGAAAAGGTGCATTAATTGCTGCATTTGGTCTTCTGTTTCTCCTTTGTCCCCTTCTTCAAGTTCTATTATTGTCATTGTTAACTTTCCTCTTCTCCAAGGTTTATTATTGTCATTGTTGTAGCGTTTGGTAGGAAGGGGGGATGGTTCGGTCACCTAGCCTGTGCCTTTCAATCCCGACAGCTAACTTCTACCAAATGCACAAACCTTCAACAACACCGATGCGACTAAATGTGAAATCATGTACCCGTGTGACGTAGCAAGAAACAAAAACAAAAAACTCTCACATCTGCAAGAGTAAAAAAAAGAAAATATGTATATGACAAGACACGAGCGAGATTTGCCCCGTTTCCACTGGAGTCAGTGGCTTTCAAAAACGAAAAACATTAACACCCCCCCTCCCCCCTAAAAATAAAACTGCGGCTGTTCCAGAGACTCCCACCACCACTATTACGCAACCTGAGGAGATACCCGATTCCTGTGCACCTCCCTGCTCTTTTTGTTTTATTCCTTGCCCCTGCTTCCCGAGTGGCTACGAGTTCGACACATTCCGAACTGCTAACACCTTCAAAACGCCGACAAAAAGATACACACTAAACGCTTCCGGAAATCACCACCGCGAAGCTACTTTTATTTTTTATTTTTTTCTTTCTTCAATAAAGGAGGCAAAATGATGGAGCTTTATTTCAAACGAAGATGACGACATTGCTCGCTCTATATTTAGAGACAAAGAGAGGCGGATTTCTCGAAACAAACGTAAAAGTAGCCAAATTCATTGAACGGTTCGGAAACATTGCGCCGTAACGTCGTCTTCATTTTTTTTTTTTTTTTTTCATTTTATTTTGAAGACGTAGTTCACCTTAACACAACACCTGATTCCTCCTCCCCCTCCCTTTTTAAAAGAATGCCTCATTTTTCTCTCTCACCCCCTCATTTTGTGTCGTCCCACTGAGCGCCGTTCTTCTTCGCGATCACGACGGCCGGGTGACAACATCGCTGGCTAACAAAGGGAGTTGTCGCTGGGTGTGGGGCGGCGGTAGGGAGGGAGGGCCAACCAATAAACGCACGATGAAAACTAAAGAAACAAATAAAGACGGGCTATTAAAACGAAATGAACATCCGTTCCACAGCGCCGTGATGGAACCTAATTCATTCTTCCGCAATTCCGCTTCAACGGGTAGGTCTCCGACCTCGAAGAAACAACCAACATGCGATTCAGTTTTTTAGTTTTTTTTTTTTTTTTTTCTCTCTCATTTAGATGGATCAAAATTCATGCTTTCTTTAGTTCGTTGATCGAGGGAAAAATAACCAAAAGTGGGCAGACGAAAAACTTACCCCGTTTTCTCGGCGGTACTCAACGTTGGTGGCCGTCAATGCGATCTGTCGAAGGTTCAGGTGGCACCGAACACTGAAACTACACACCACGTTGTTTATCACAATGTCTATCACCGGTGCCGAGTCGGCGGCCGAATCGTCGCCGGTCGAGTCCGCGGGTACCTCGGCCACCGATTCTGTAGTCATTTTGTCCGACGTCGGACACTGTGGCTGCTCGGAGCAGGCGTTTTCGGCGGCGGCGGCAGTCGGCGCCGGTTTCACGACGTCCTTCGCGAACTGGTGGTAGGCGAAGTTGCTGTTCCCCTGACTCAACGTGGCCATCGTTCAAAAGGCTATCCCCCGACCACGACGAGCCAAAGAGGACACCTTTGACGACTGCACTGGCTCGGATGCCGCCGCTGTTGCTGCTGTCGGTATCGTTTGGAAGCTAGGCCTAAAGTTAGGCCTAGCCCCAACGCGGAAGGACGGTGGCCCAAGCTTTTCGGGGTTGCGCTCGATCTTCGGCTCTTCGACACTGAAAAACATGCGGGTTCGCGAGCGAGGCTTAGCACCTGTCCCGGTGTCCCGAAGGATGGTGGAACTCGGTTCGAGAAAAACACGAAAACTGAGAAAGACACGGAGACACTATCACAAAAAGAAGCACCTCGAAATTCGCACTTCGCGTCTGCTAGCGGGCTCTGCTTGAGGCCGATTCTGATTGGGTATTTAAAAGACGCTCTTTAACCCCCTTTCGGACAAATGCTGCACTACTCTCAATCTTTTTTGCTCGTAAAATGTATGCTTTTTGGATAGAGAACCAACTTTATGTATGAGCGAAAAGGCTACGTTCAAAGAGATGGGAAACATGTGTAGCCGCTCAATCAATGACAAAGTTTAAAAATAAAAACATTTAATTTTTTAAGTAGAAACTCTAATCAATCTTCCCTCAAGTGGAGTTTCAATTCTCCTTGAAATCGAAACCCAGAACTTGCAGCGCTTGGTATGGTTTATTTATTTATTTTTTTTTTATTTGGACTTGTCAATAATGACGCTATTTTTGTACAACATACAATTACATATAAGAAAGCTGCATCGTTATTTGGATTAACTAGGAAAAAAACTATTCAGTCACTGTATACAGAAGCATAGCATGTTATTCGGCGTCTAAATTTTCGGCAGTTGCGTTCACAAATCACTACTCAATAAGGGACAAAACACACAAATCAAGGCTTTTGTCTCTTTGGCATTTTAATTTGGCTCTTGTCCTTTGTTACAAGCTTTTAAAGCTACCATGAGCATTTCAGCATTTCCCTTTCGCCACCCAAAGGCAAGCTGCAGCAATGCATACGCCAATTCAAAGCGTTTACAAAACTCTGCCCTCCCCCAGACACACGCGGGATGAAGATCTCGCCCCCCTTACACAACAATGGCACATGGCACGTCTTCGTAATTAAAGGTCCACTCTGCCGTGAACAACCTCGAACACTCAGTGAAGTTGGAGACTGGTGGCACGTAAGCATCGGTAAAGCTGAGCAAATGACGCGCCGACCTGTGCGGCGACGACTGTAAAAATTGTGAGCTGCACAAGTGTCCGCCTGCTGGGGCTTCCACGAACGGGATGCACCCGAAATCCAGTCAGCAGAGGGCTAAAACTCAACCCACATCAAGAGAGTCATAAACAAGTGTGCTCTTGGTATCTAAAAGACAAAACAAAACAAAAAGATCTCGCAAGGCCTTTTGCTAACATCAGTCGTCTACTGAAGAATGACAAACTTGCCGCTCGGTCTCTTTTGCAATCAGGTACAATGTTACATGGAACGTATACGCATATCTCCCACAAACCAGGAATAGGAAGACCGTTTCAAACAAACAAACAAAAACAATTTTAACCCACACACATTCTGGTTTTCGATGACGACATCCAACGGGAGGAAAATATCATCTCTACAGCTCTTGGCCCTGGAGCGTTGCAGGAGACTTGTCTCGATGGTAGGCAGCGTATCCTTTCCACCATTCCTCGCCGAACGAAGTTCCCGAAGAACAAAGTCTTGTCGACCACCGCCTCAGTTCGGTTTGGGGTTCAAATTACAGCAGGAAGTACCTGTTGTGATATCACAGCATCCCAAAAGAACAACTGCAACTTGGCACGGTCAACTGTACGAATGTAAGGAAAGGTTGTTCTGGAACGTGTCTGGACATGCGAAACGAACGTCCATTCAACTTTGGCACTACAGTAGACTCCTGCCATGCATCTATAAATCTCACCGAGCCTTCATCAGATCGCTTTCGTGTGTTCTGGTTCTTACATCGGTCTCGTCGTTTACCGGCATGTAAAGTGCTCAGCAGTTTGCCCATGCGCCTTGTTCTACATAGCTCGTGACGCACAACTAGTATGCAACTGTGAACAAGCCTTTCCCAAAAGGACTGCCAGCGAATTACAATTTGCTCTGAAATATTTATCGTTAAAGTAGGGTACATTCTCAACAAGGTTCATAAATTGTTGCGTGGTGATCTACTGCTGAACAAATCATCATTCAACAGTGCTTTCAAGATGGAGTGCAAGTTTTTCAGCTTCTTGCGCAGGGGTTGCTGTGACGTCCGATTGCCGAGCGCCAATTGGGAGGATGGCAAGTAGACCTTGAGGCAGGAAGCATAGAGGTCCACCCGCTATGCTTCCAATCGGAGCAAATCAGAGCTCGTCCTTGTGACATCACCGCAACCCCGCACAACAAACGGACGAACTTTTGCTCCGCAATAGTAAACTCTTGCCAAAACATATTTATAACAATGTGAAGTGTTTTAAAGTACCGCGACAAAAGTGTGTGCACAGTGCATGGCACAGAAGACTTCCATTTTGCACTAGCATTTCTGCCGTGTGGCCGCAATCCACGCACACACGCATGTTTTGCAGTCATGTTGCTTTGTTTGCAATAAAGATCCAATGACTTCAGATACTAACATTGCTAACAGGCTCCACTTTAATGAGCCATCACTCGAGAAATTGCCACCCAACAAACAAATTGGCATTCGACAAACAGCCCTCCGACAAGCTACCACAGATATCCGGATAACGAAACCCCTCTTCAACTAGGACTTGTGCAGCGCTACACTGTTCCACAAAACAGCTTCAGCTTCAGCTGTGACCTCAACAGACTATGAGCCAACCGCGTTTTAACAACGGGTCGCCGAAATAACAGTCTGTTTACGAAACCACTTTTCGGCTGAGTATGATACGGCAACGCACCGCCGTCCCATGAAACAGCTCGACATCGGGGCTAAAGGCCCCTTCACACACTTGCGACTGCTTACGACCATGTGTTTTAAAACCTCTTGCAACGAGATTACACTGGCGCAATCTAGTGGGTAAAACAGTAAACACTCGACAATTTGCACATTTTTTTTTTTCATGCATCATTCTTTTTTTTTTTTTTTTGGCTCAGAAGTTTTTACAACGTTATCTACGAGCGTTTCTCGTATATAGCACATACATTTGATTTCCCAATTATCGCAAAGCCCTCGTAACGGCAAAATCCAGTTCCTGGGCCGCCTCATAAACAGCGCCAGCGTGTCAGTGCGTTCTCTAGTCATAAGAAATCGAAAAGACTCGGTCGTAAGCAGATACAACTGTGTGAAGGGGCCTTAACGCTTCAACGAATCCCCGGCCAACAACCGTCCAATCAAACAAACGGTTTCTTCGACAAGGCGGCCACCGATTAAGATCCGTTTGGCGAGACAGCATCTTGAAGAATGACGCGACCTCGATGGCACGACTTCAGCTACGAGGCCTTGCCGTGCGACGGTGTGGGTTCGTCGTCGTCGTTGCGCAGCCGGTCGTCGCACATGACCTTGAGCTCGATGGGGTCGCGCGCTTCGGCGTCACCGACTCTCTTGCGCGCTCCGCGCTCGCTGAGCAGAAAGCAGTAGAGTCGCAGGTCGGGGACCAGGGCTCGAATCCCGGCGTAGATACCGAGGAGGTTCTTGACGATGAAGAGCGACACGTCGTGTCCAAAGAAGCCCCAGAGGTAGACGCGGATGGCCAGGTAGGGCACGTTGACCAGCGACAGGTGGAGCAGCTTGTAGAGGAGCTTGAGACCCAAGGGGCGCGGGCGGAGGCCATACTCGCACTGGCTCAGCTTGAACAGCGCCAGGCCTGCGGACGGGGAGGGGAACGCGCTCAGCCTCGCTCTTCTAAGATTTCTATGAACTTGAATTTGGAAAAAAAGAAGCGAACTCCAGTATAGATTTTTTTTTTTTTAATGGCTAAGCACGACCAAACAAGTTTTATGAACAACCTCAATGTTGTTTGCAATAAAGGTTCTCATCATAACTAGACAATTTTATGCAAAGATGTATCTCTATGGAAATATAAATAGCTTTACGATGCAAGGCGGGTATTTAGCCACAAATCTATACATTTCGAGGGAACATTTATTCTTGGAAAGGGCCTCACCGGCCTCTAAGAAACAACAAAAAACTAAACCGCTTCTGAGCCAGAGCAAACGAGCAGCTGTCTTCAAACTGAAACACATTTCACTGGGCAAAGATTGTGTTAATTAATTCTTCTCTCCTTTCTTTTTTTTCTTTTTGAGGAAAGCCCATGTACCCTCCCTCTCAAAGCCCGACCTACAAATCTGCCCCTAACATGTAGCATCCCTTTAAACGGACACTGACAAGGTATTTACGCTCGCCTAGGTTTTAATGGGAAAGCATTAACTGTTCCATGGAGCGAACCAACATCGTCAGCTTTCGAAGCTGCACCAGACAGCACCTAAATTCCCCCCCCCAATGGAGCAAAGCCCGTAGTCTGTAGCAACAAATTCAAGGATAAACTCCCCTCGGCTAGCATGCGGCATAGTTCCCATGGAGAAGCCCTCTCCATGGTGCAGCGGCCCGGCCGCTGGTAAGAGGGAGAGGGTGGCTGGGTTCTGCAGAGCGACTGGGCTCAGCACGGTGAGCAGCTTGCAGGAATACGCCACGTGTACGAATGATTTTACATTCCAAAAGCAGTCTTTAGTGTCTGTAGATTTTTTTTTTTATTTGGACATGACATAAGAGAGCCCAACTATACAAAACCAAGTTGTGGCTTGAAATTCTTTTTTTCTTTTCCCGCAAGGAAATTTCAGGTCAAGAACTGGCCGATTTGAGTCGCATTCACCCTCTTCTCTGTCGTCACGTGCCGTTTTCTATGGGTTAGACACACGCACGAAATATAACAGTCGTGGGTCATCGAAGGCACACACTCAATATTAAAATAGAAAAAAATGTGAAACCCTCTTTTTGCGGCTTCTAAAGAGCTGCAAATACGTGGATTGAAGAAAAAGAGGAAAGCCTGCACAGAGAACCGGAAGCACTCTGTGCATTCTTTGCACAATTATCAACATGGCGTCGTACGTGGGCTGGATGGCTGAATGAGGCGGACTACGCGATGACGACGGGCGTGGGACCTCAACTTCAGAAATATTGTTTGCTGCACTCGCAAATCTGTCTAGCTGTGGAAGAGGAACCGCTTACCAATCAAAACAATTAGGATGTGTTTCATACGACATGCCCAACCAACGAGCTGATTCGCACGAAGACGTCGCCGAGTCGTTGCCCCTTCTGCTGGCTGAAGACATCGCTCGCTTTACGAACATAAATTGGTAAGAGCTTGAAACATGTGCAGGTGTCAAGCACAAAGTGTTTGACTCACTCTTTTTGTGCGAAGTGCGAGTTTTTCGTCTGCTTCGCACGGCCGAAAAAATTAAGGAAAAAAAAAAAAAAGGAAAATGCAGTTAGGTGTAGTTACGTGACTTCACGAAACTCTCTCCTTCTCTAAATTTCTTCTTCCTCCCCGGTCCAATTTTGGTTTTGGTTTCAAGCACTTGCGTTTTTTTTACTTTACTAAAATATACTTGACGCTGTGGCAAAATATTGATCGGCAAGTCTTCTCACACCATATAAAATCGCCTACAAAATTTTTTTTGAGGGGTGTCAGTGTTTCTTTAAAGACCAGAGACCAGTTCGCGCTTTCTACTTTTCCCTCCCTTCCTCCTCTCCCCCTTCCACCCTGTCCACCGCTGCCTGTTTCCTCCTCCCCCACGGTGAGGAGGATCTTCTGCCTTGCAGAATCTCGAGTCCGGTCGTCGGCCTTTAAGCTCGTGTCCCTCCCCACCCTGGTGACGCGGCACCGGCGGCTCGCCAACTCGAAGAGACCAATGCGGGACCCACCGGGCAGCACGAAGTTGACGCAGGCGAGGGCAAGCACGGCGTTCTCGAGCGGGTAGGTGAGGGTGAGGTGGGTCTCGTTGGGGAACAGCAGCCCCAGGAAAGTGACGCTGTCCAGTAGCTCGAAGGTGGTGCCCGTAGACAGGGAGCGCAGGTAGGTGCGCTGCTCCGACTGCGACGCCGCGTCGTGGTGGCCCTCCACCAACAGCAGGAACACCACCGCCGCTGCCGCCACCACCGCCTTCAGGAACTGCACCCCGTAACGGGCGTTCTCTGCAAAAGACCGGACGACCTCGGGCTTAGCAGGAGACGCAGAGCTCGTTTCATTTGTTCAGGGGGGAGAACTACCCAGAAAAAGAAAAATTTATGGAAAAAGAGTTGATTTTGAGTGTCTACCTTTCTTAAAGAAAAGGTAGAGGATCAATCACCTTGAACACGTTTTTCTGCTCCACATTTTGACATAAATTTCACTTTAGGAAAACTATCATTTGGTAACAGGACACATGGAAAGGCTCACTCATTGTTTTTTCTAACTGGAATTTAATGGGCAATGCAACTGTGGCATTGTTTTTATTTTTTACTTTGTGGATGTCTTTTATAAAAGATGTTAATACTTTGTCAACAACATCAAAGGCAAAAAGTTTATTTGAATTTCAGCACGTTAGCATAAAATAAATTCCTTTTTGCAAATTTTGTTTTCACAGTTGCACTCTCCAGGCATTCTGCTGCATATCTAGTGAAGAAAAATGTAGGCTAATACATTAGTTTTCAAACGATAGTTTTCATAAACAATGTCAGTGTGTTCCCGATAAAAAACACGGTAATATATTTCATAATTCATGTACACAGATGAAACTTTGCACTGCATGCTGCCTCGCAACCGCCAGTCTATGCTGTAAATTTCATTCATAGGAAATCAAAGGTTCAAAAGTTCACCCTTTTAGGAAGTGTCCTCCCTTAAAAGGCAACTCCGCTTCATTTTTGTTTTTGTAAAAACAATGCACTCCTCTTCATATCACCTAGGAAAACTGCACGTAAAATATTACGGCCTAGTTCTACCTAAATGTGTCTTAAATAGTCCAGCAAACTTTGCAACTTGCCCAGTCGCCGAAATCGACTAACCTTTGCGGGCGAATTGAGGCGCAACCAACTGCGTGGCCAAGACCTATGGCGCGCGTGTAGCCAACACTGAGCTAAACGTCACCACCATTGCCCCCTTTTTGCTTATTTTTGCTTCTCCGGGCAAGCGTAACGGGCGACGTCAACAACGTTTCCTCTTGGCGCGCCCGCGCAGTGCGCTTCTCAGGAGCCGTCCAGCCGATCCCACCGTCTCCCGCGTCACAACTGCCATCGACGCCTCATAATTTGTGATTATTGTCTTTCGGAGTTTCGTTCACACTACGGACACTATGCGCGCAGACTTATGCCGCAGTTCTGCAGACAACGTCAAATGTCGTAGACACCAAAATGCGATGAAGAGTGCGGTGCAGAGGACACTTGCGCCTGGCACACGCCTGCCCTAATCCCCCCCTCAATGGTGTAGAGGATCACGTGACATCTCGTACCACGTGATAGCCATGTTCTTGGAAGCCCGAGGCTGGAAAACTCCAGTTGGTGTTTGTTTCCTTGGAAAGAAGTCCATTGTCCTGTCCTTGTATGCTGGAAGCTTCGTTTCGAGATGACGTGAAAACTTCACTGAATTCATGGAGCTATTGGCTATAACTTCGGCACAAATAACGCACTGAGGGTTTCCTTTAGTTTCCATAAATCCATACTGAAGATAACCGTCGCAATATGCTCTTAGTTTCACTTTCTTGCTCATCGTACGTCTCAAGTAAATCCGCCGAAGACAGAAGCTAAACCAAACTGGTCCAAAGATGTGCATGAACAATGTCATCTGCTTTTCGCAAGGTGTTCCCCGCTGCCCCTGTGCATTCCACTTCCCACCAATCCGCGTGCGCCCTTTCAGCGCGCTTTGCAGGCCTGGCACGCTTCTGCCATCAACCGATAAGCAACACAAGCACGATTGTAGGCGCTTGTAGAATGCACAGCACCCTCTCTTGACGCGGTCGCGCCGGTGCGGCCGGGGCGGCGGCGCACAACAGAACAGACAATACAGGTCTGTTTCGTAAGCTGCAGGTGCGAAATGACTAGCATCTGTCTGGGGAGCAGTCTAGCGTACTGCGGAAAAGAGTGCATTTTGATCGAGCAGCAAGCAGGCTTGTGAGCGTTGGGAAGGTTAAACTGGGGAGGGAACTGCAATTTGGGTGCTCACGGAACCATTGAGACCAGTTCGTGAAACCCAGTTTGAGAACCCCTGCACTAAATGAAAGCTTCGGTTGTCCAGTCTCCAGCGCAACTTTCCTACCTTCGACGAGGCTTTGGCGTCCCATGCTCCTCAAGCAAGTGCGCACAGCCAAAGCACTTTTCAAAGCCAAGCGTTCAAAAGAAATGTCCCACCATTCTCACAGTCAGTGACTATAGGTGGCTCAAGCTCCTGTTCGTGATCAAGAGTACAGCCGTTAAGGTCCACCCATCCATCCATTGACCCATCCACCTGCACCAGCCTACACCGGTGCAGAAGAGTCCTGCCCATAGTGACAGATTACTTGAAAAAGTAATAGAATTATGGCGATTCACTTGCCACCCAGCCATAAATCATTAAGAATGTAACCTAAATTTTAATTCAAACATCAAGATTATGGGGGATAAAAAAAAAAGGCAACAAAGTCATACCCACAATTACTACTGGTCAGAACCAACGAGCTACAACGACAAGTCGCTGAAAAAAATACTTCGATAATGGCAATTCAGTCCCTTGCCCTTGCACGACTCGTCTTAAATTGTAGATGCAGTGCCCGTGTAAAAAGCAAGCGGGGGTGCTTGGAGTGCATCTCTAAAGGCGTCCTCAAAAGTGGTTTCTCGATTTCCGCCCGACTTGCCAAACCAACGAAGGGCGTCTGGCACGCCCCAGCGGAAGAGTGAAAATTAATTTTGACCCCGTTCGACGAGCAACCGAAATCTCGGTTCCACGGCGCCTCCTCCGCAACGAGCCTCCGTAAGATTGCGGGCACCTCGGCCGGGATTCGAACCTGCCACCGAAGCGGCTACAGTAGAGGAGGAGGGGGGGGGGGGGGGGTGACTCACCTTCGAGCAGCTGCGCCACATCCAGGCGGAAGAGGAGCACCACCTTGGCCACGAGGAGGAGGGAGTAGAGCAGCCAGGAGACGTAGCAGAGCGGGAAGCGGCCCCACACCGGGTGGGGGCAGTCTTCCTGGGGGGCGTCTTCCTCACGCTGCGCCTGCACGAACGCGGGGGGGGGGCACGAGATCCATGACTTGATTGTTCTGCTAAATCCTCCCGACTTTCCCCCCAAATCCCACGAGTATTACGGAGAAGAAAAAAATAACTAAAACTGCAGCGAGTAGCAACCTCCTGCCAGATATGAGAAAGCGAGGCTTTGTTTTTGTAGAGGGCATAAAATAAGAGAGCATTTGACTGCTCTTTTGGTAATGTGGTTTCTTCAGCTAGTTGATTCATAGTTCAAAGGAAGTATAAAGCACCCAAAACAGAAACAAAGACAAGGTAAGACGCCACTAGGCACAATGCAAAGCAAAACAAGCAGAGACATTCCCCAGTCATATGAAATTTGAGACAAAGGAGTAGATTGCATTAATAAGGCATCAATTGTCCTATCAGAAAAAAAAGTGATGATATTAAACAAGTGGTTCACTCTTGCTGGTGGTCGATGTGGTCACAGCTGGCTTTTCTACCTAACCCAAGAACCACAGGACATGCTTGAATAAACTTAAGGATAAAATAAGGCCTTTTGTTGTTTGCAATTTTTGTTCGTATAGGCTATTTTATAAACTCTTTGCTCACCACACTTACAGGTCATCAATAGTTTTCAAGTGCATGGCCTAATCTCATTTTTGGGGCGCTGGAACAGATTGCGCCGGTACGATTAGCAGAAGAGCTCTTGGATAGCCGAAGAGCTATAGTTTAGGTTCCAATTTAGTTTTATTCTTTCACACAAGATGGAGAGCAATCAGAAATAAATTTCTGTACACTGGTAGGGTAGTTACACCTCTCAAACGTGGTATTTTGTTGCCATCGGGGACCATTGCACTGCAAAGATGGCACCAGGGGCGGATGCAGGAATTTCCTGAGGGGGGGGTCAGGTGTTGGTCAGCATACCATATGTTCAGGAACCCCCTCCCCCCCTCCCTCGTTTCACGCCCTAAATTTTAAACATGCAGAAATCAAGAGGGGGGTCAGGACATCCGGACCCCCTTTCTAAATCCGCCCCTGGATGGCACCACTGCTACTCGTACGATTCACAATACACCAACAGAACTACCACATCCCTGCAGAGATACGTCTCCAGAGTTCTGAAATGGCGTGTACCATATAGAAAGTATGCAATAATGCTGCATCTTGATGGCCTGGCCTGGCAACGCTGATCTCACTAAGCAATCAGTGCATGCGCCATGCCGCCATAACTTTAGTCCAGAGGGGGGAGGGGGGGCAATGCACGAGACTGCTTGCTTTACTCTCCGTACGCGCAGAACTCCAGCTAGGTTGTCGCACAGTCAGAAAGACTATAAAGTTCCCTCGATGCACTGCGGCAGCGTTGGCGTGGCCAAACTGGCTAGCGAGATCGGTCTATTCTTCGACTTATATCTGGGCTGGCCCGAGACGACCGAAAAAAAAGAGACACTTTCGAAAGTGCACGCCGTATCTACTTTGTTTCACAATAACTTGGCAAACTGTGGAGGCTATGGCCCTTGCGACCCAATAAGAGCATTGGAGTAAGGCACGTGACAACACTCCATGGTTGAGGCCACGGAGGCCTCTTTACTACTACAGCAACAGCACCGTCTGCGACAAAAAGTAGTTCTGGGCGACATTTTCTTATAACGGCAATTGAACTCGCATAATTCGATCCCTATCGAGAATATATTAAAAATAAAGAATAAATATTTACGAATTTATGAGTTTCAAATATATTTAAACCAAAAAAGTGATGCCACATTTGTATTCGCTCCCGATTTTTTTATTTTTGTAGCGCCATGGCTCCCGTAGCTGTTGGCGATTGTAACCGCGTAATTGAACACTTCCGCTCAAAGCATCGCCCTGGCATTAGCACTTGCCACAGATTCGCAGAGTAAATTGAGTGTATGGTTCTCTCATGAACTGTTCTCGAAGAGCTGGCTACTCCAGTGGACGGCAATGTTCCATGACCCGTCCACTAGAGTAGTCCCATGACTCGTAGTCAACACAACTCAATACCCTCAGAGGAGCAGATATTGATATTTTTAACCCAAATTTCTTAGCTTTTAAGACTTTTGTATCTAACATGTGAACATTTTGTTGTGCATCATTATCACAAGCTGTTCATCAGCATAAAAAATAAACAAATGAATGAATGTTGTGGCAGTGGACGTTCATCTGAAGTTGGTTGGTTTCGCAGCAGACAACTCCTGGCCAGCACACAACAACCGTTTCCTTCAGGCCTCGCATTTGGCGCAGTGACACACGCTCTTATGACGTGGTGTCACAAGCCTCGCTTCAACATTCTTATTGGGTCGCAGGGGACGTAGCCTCCACAGTTCACTAAGTTATGGTGAAACAAAGTATAGTGGCTGCTGCGCCCGTTAGCCTTGTCTGCCATTGTTTGGACGGATACTCTGGACATGCATTGGACACAAGGACTGCGTCAGCATTCGGCATGAACTCATATCTAAACACGCGCTTCGTGCCCAAGAAATTGTGACTGCGAATGTTGCTCGAAAATAATGTATGCAGGGCTCAAGTTCGTCTGATTCTTGTACAGGGGTTGCAATGATGTCAGAAAATCGAGCTTTTATTAGCTAATTGAAAAAAAATAGTGGGTAGACCTCAAGGTATCTATAGCATTGAAGACTACCTACTACCCTTCCAAAAAAAAAAAAAGCCAATCAGAGCTCGACGTCATTTTGACATCACCACAACTCCAGCACAAGAAGCAGACGACTTGCTCTCCGAACGCTCGGCGACAGGTTATGTGTTCAGGGAAGCACCTCCCACCTTATTCCACTTTAGCAGAGTGAACACTAGGGAGGAGGCTGACTCCTCTCCAGCGTTCACCCTGCTGAAGTGGAATGAGGTGGGAAAAGCCTTCCCCGAACTCTTCACCAGTCGCTGACTATATTCGTGCCGGAGTGTGAGTGCCGTGCGCTGAGCCTACCATCCTCCGGTAGTGCCGCCGGGCGAAGAAGACGGCGCACATGATGGCAATGAGGACGAGGAAGTCCGCAAGGAACCAGAAGTACCAGGCCACCGAGCCCTCGTTGCTCCGTATCAGGTAGAAATCCAGGGTGCTCCCCTGGAAGACCAGTACCACCAAAAGCACCAGCACGTCCAGGGCAGTGGCCAGGCTCGACGCCGAGCAACAGCGTGCTGCCATCGCGCGCAGCACCGTCCGGATGCCGCCGGACTCGCCATTGCCGTACGCACTCATGGGCTGCGAGACGGGGACGGAGGAAAAAAATCCACCATTTTAGAAATAATCAGTGCCACCTCGCAGAAAACAAGGTTGGAGGATTCCGAGGACGAAACAATGCACGGAGTGGGAAGGAGAGGGAAGAAGCATCTTAGAATGAACTTGGGGGCAAAAAGATAAGCTGCAAAAGGAACAAAAGTTACTTTGGGGGAGTTCAATCTAGGTCACAGCAGCTCAACAGGGCCAGCAGGACCTTTCTTCCTTGGTTGAGGGAGTGCCTGCATTTGATTGAGCGCAGGTTTACTTATTTTTATAGTGGAACCTCCTGAACTGGCAATTTTCTAAAATGATTCATTAATAGAGCAAAATTGGTTATTGAGATTGATTCATTTCTATCCTATGCACCAGGATGGAAAAGGAGGTTCTATGGATAAAGTCGGGTGGCGAAGAATGTGCAGATTGTTTTGCTTGACATGGAACACCATGACATCAGTGTCATGTGACACTTTGTCACAAATTACTGTAAACGATTTATTTTTCACGGGCTCAATAATTCATGATTTAGGTCCAAGCTGAAGTTTTGGAATAATTCGCGGGTTCTAATTTTCGTGTTGTGGCGCAATCTCAATATAGATTCCAATGTGTTTACCATTTTACCGGAATTGTTCGCGGGACCTATTTTTCGCGAAAATGAAGTCGTTTACAGTATGTGGTCTCGTGGTTGGTGCCAAGTGACGTCTGGTCGTGTGACCACTGTCACGCTGACAGTCAAACAGTAGACATGCTGTCAAACTTGTCACGGCCTCCACAGTAGGAGAGAAGGTCACATCAGCTTAGTCTTTCTTTTTTTTTTCCTTTTTCTTTAAAGCTTGGTTTAGTAGAGGTTCAGTAAATTGAACAGAGGCTGTGGTACAGCTCCAGTCATAAAATCTGGGTCGGTCAGCTTGCTCGGTCAGAAGGCTAGGCTAGGACACTGACTCATCGCAACCTTGACAGTGTTTTTCTTTTTTAGATGGTATTTAATAAGAGGGATCTTCATGACCCCTTTAACGACTCGGGAGACCCCGAAAAGGCAGAAGAAGCCCGAACCACAGAAGCCCGCGCTAGTAAGTGTGATTACATGCCAGATGCATGACAATGTTGAAATGGATCTTGTGGGCGAGGGTGCGGGTTGATGTTGCGGATGATGAGGGCTTGTTGACCGGATGTTCCATTTTATGCACGTCGGACCTAGCTGCTTGAAATTAAACCAGAAGATCCATTTATGCCAGGCGCAAAACGTAACTCCGCGTGCCCAACTTTCAAATCTGGGTGACACAAATCCCGACTGTGTGCTAGACACCGATTTCTGCGGTTGGTGACATCACCACCCACGCTAGATGTCACGCTTTCGACCAACAAAAATTCCCAAAACGAAAATCGGGCTGCTCTTGCTACGCCTCTGGGGTGCTGGAACGCTGTAACCAGAGAGGGCAGACCAATGTAAACATACCCACGAGGACTGAGAGACATTGAAGCGGACAAAGAAAAGAATAAAAGAAGCGCGGAAGCTAGCAAAAGCGTGATTAAACGCAGGCGATAGTCGGACAGAGTCTGATCATCGGTTCCGTTCGCTGTTGCATTTTTCAAGCGGTAACAACGCCCAAAAGCACGAAAAACCGATGCGGTGATTACGTACCATTGCGACTGTCCGTACGCGGCGACCACCGCACGGAGCGTCTCGCGGTCAAAGGCGTTCTCGGCGGCTTTCACTGCGATCTTTTGAGCATCCGAAGTCGTCGGGCTTCGTATCATCGCCGCTCTTTTCTCCGAAGCCTTTGTTGTTGTCGCTGGGGCGAGAGCATCACATCACCTCTCGCATCGGCGACATCAAACAACGCGCAAGCAACAGATACACGGCTGCCTCTATGAATCACTCGACGGCATTGGCCAACGCGGTCAACGAAATAAAAAGAGAAAAGAAAAAAAAAACACGGAAATGTCTGCTTCTGCAGCATCTGCAGCGCTACTTGGGGTGGATAATAGAAAAGACTGGTGAGAAAATTAGGGACCTCCGCTCAGCGCTAATGGCAAGGGAGGCGCCACTTTTCAGCGCAGCGAGCAAATGGCTATGTTCTCGCCTCTCTGTTCTTGTATTTCATGTATTTTTTCTTGTATTTCAAGCATTTTATTTCATTAATTTGTATCAACTCGCCCAACTGTCCATTCTGGTGAGTAAATGACGCACACCATGACCTGATATCGCTATCGGTAGATGGCGCCACGCGTTAGGACCATCGCCTACCATCGCCTAGTATCAATGATATTGTAGTGAGTGCGCAGGCGAGCTGGTGGAAATTAACCATTCTGATGTTAGCCTGAGACTGAGGCAGGAAAAGAGGAAGTTTCAAAGTAGAAGAAAAAGGAACAGTCGAGGATACGTCTCTAACACAGCTAAAGACAAGTTTATTCGGTCACCCTCTTATATACACTCCACAATCTTCACCACAGACCTTCGCGACCTCCAAAGAAAGAGATGAGTTCTTTGTTCTCTTTGGGCTTTGGAGGTCGCGAAGGTCTGTGGTGAAGATTGTGGAGTGTATATAAGAGGGTGACCGAATAAACTTGTCTTTAGCTGTGTTAGAGACGTATCCTCGACTGTTCCTTTTTCTTCTACTTTGAAACTTCCTCTTTTCCTGCCTCAGTCTCAGGCTAACATCAGAATGCCTAGTATCATTGCCGTTTGCGAACACGTTTGTCGTTTACCTGGCAAGTTCGTTTGTCCTTTATTATCTTTTCCCACAGAAAGGGAGCTACACCTTGAAATGCAACCAGATAAAATGCGCGCTGCTGCATTTTATCTGGTTGCATTTCATCTGGCCTCTGTGGTATTGCGAAGAGGCCACGTCGAAGCCCTGTTCCAACCGAATTAGAGCCTTAGAGCCGCAGTGCCCTGCCTAAAGGCTAAAACTGGCCTGACAACAGTCTGCGGAACGAGCTCACACCTTCCCGTAGAGTGTACGGTTTATTTATTTTTATACCCTTACAAAGGCAAAGGCACTTTTTAGGGCTGCCAAATGCTGTCGTCACGGAGCCTGGCCACTCTTTAATGCGCCTGCTCTCCCGTGTCACATAAATGCCCATGCAAATCAGATTCTTTGTATGGGTCCTCTTCTCTCCTCAGATATCACTCGCCTTATCACCTTAATCGTATGCAGTCTGGTGTCGCACACAATGTTACACCTGTAAATCAGTGAAAGGCTCATGCCGTAACAAAAATGCAGAGCCAGCTGGCGAGGCAAAAAAAAAATAAAAAAATTGTCCACGATAAACAAAAGCATTATACAAATAAACAACTTGGGGAGCCTAACCTGAGTTTAGAGAAACAGTCCACTAACAACCTGGAATTTTACCCAAACCGAGCAAAGCACGTGAGAAAAGGTGTGGCGGGCGTCCACCCGAAACGTCGTGTATATCTCATTATCCGCGTATTTTTCGCCAGACCGAAACCGAAACTAACCAAAAACCCTTGGTCGATTGAGGCGCCATCTGTGAGATGTGGTTACAGACAAATGCATTTCGTCTGCTGCTTCTCACGGAAGGTGCGTCCTCCGGGGCTACGTTATGACGGAGTTGGAGCTCCCCGCAATGTCGTTTATTTTTGCGGTGCAAAAAGCCGGGAGTTAAAGGTAAACGAGAGCTTATTTAGTTCAAGTAGTAATTGCACCGGGCACAGTGTACTTCAAGTACTACAAATGCAATGCTTTCAAAGCGGAGACATGCGGTTTAGAGAAGCTTTCACAATGGCAAAATACAGGGTGTCACAAAAGAAAATTTACACGGTCTTTTTTACCGCAAAAATAAACTAGGCATTGCCGAACGCTCATTCTCCGCCCAAAGGTAGAGCTAGAGGTCACAATTAGATGCCAAAGTTTCAGCCCGATCCGATAACTTAATCAAAAGTCATAAGTGATTTTCTGAAAATTTCAATGGGAAAATGGAGCCTATATTTTTGCCCGTTTTCGGTTTCTGGTGCCATAGAGCCCCATGTATTTGAAAACTCCGTCGGCCGCGAACATGATTGTAAACCTGAGACTGGGGCAGGCTTCCTGCTCCAGTCTCAGGTTTACAATCATGTTCAACTTACACCAGCTCGCCTGCACTCTGACTATTTTTTCGTTAAACCTCATCATTTTTTTTTTTTTTTTTTCATTTTGTCTAGGATTATTTACAAGAGAGTCTCGTCGGGGTTCGTTCAGTAAAACGGGTCAATGCTGGGTGACAAAAACACTGTTCTCGTTTCCAGTTTAGGCCATACTGTTGTCCTCCTTAGAGGAGAGCTTGTGTTTCATAACAGTGAAAGATATGAACCTTCCGGTTTTATTGGGGGAGATGGGAGCTGAAGCGTTTATGCTTCCTAACGACTACGTCCAGCAGTTTGGCTATCTTAAATTACAGACGTTTATTCAAGCAACACTTGTATGCAAGATTTGTCGTCGGCAGTCAGTACTGCCAATCACAAGGGCACCAGTGGTCCATATGCAGCTTCAAAAATATATTTTGATACCCGCGAGTTTTTAGAAATTTAGGGCACGTTTTTGTCCGAACATTTATTCTATATTGAATTTTGATAAACCGGAACGCAGTAAATTTAACTCTGAATTTCAAAGAATTTGAAATGTAGAAAAATAAATTACGATAAACCCTAAATTTCCAGCTAAAAATAAACTCCCAAAAAACAAGCTGCGAATTTTAAAAGAAATTAACTTCGATAACACGCAACCCTATTTCTAAGGCACATATTTGAATCGGTCTTATAGACCCATCACTTCACTAAAAAAAATAACCAAACTTTTTTTTTTTTTTTTTGAGGTTGAAAAGTTTTTACACTTTAAGCTCATAAGTTGTGTATAATACCGGGAAAGCCAAGGCGGGAGCGTGTGGTCTTGAGATTAATTTCACCGAGGCCAAATTTGGGGTATGTACTTTGAAGTCGGGTGTTGTTCTTTTCTCGGAAAGTACCAGAAAAAAAATACTTTAGTACAAGTACAAACAGTGAATGTTTATAAAAGTGTTTGTTACTATGCCCAATAACAGCTATCACTGTCAACTCTTCGCACACTGGGGCACATGAAACAAAAACTCGAGATTCTTTGAAATTAACACCTGTGAGCAGGTTCAAGTGCGGGAGATTAACACCTGTGCGCAGCAGCGTCAACTGGACGATTTGTTTCCATTTTTCTTCTTGCACATGCAAAGAAATTGCAAGTTTTCTATTCTTCATTGTTATTACCGAAACCTACATTTATGAAATTTCAGTACGATAAGTGCACCGCCTAAAGACACCCTTGTAAAAAGTGTAATTGTAGTTTGCCGTTTGGTTTATGTACCAAGATTTTGCTTTCATGCATGAACCGCGCTTGGAAATACCCTGTAGTTTTCCCTACTCCTAAACTGCAAGGGAAAAAGAGGAAAGAAGGAACCAAGAAAATGAAGCAGGGGTTTTGGCGGTTTTTGGCAGCATGATTGAGTCGACTCTATAGCCCAAAAAGAGTGAAGTATTAGACAGTAACAAGTCAACACAAAAGCTAATCCGCTCAGTAGACCAGTGCACCCAGGCCCATGGCCCAAGCCCAAATAAATAAATAAGGCAGAACATAGTACAATGGATGAGAACAAAACAACTGTCTAAGCCACTTTTATTTGTTTTCATGCAGAAAACACTAACAAAACCCAGGACAAAACAGTAATTATGATTTTCACACGTAATGATCAATGTGAAATGGACAAAATGTAGTATTCTTTCTAGGAGTCACAATGACGGTAGGAAACTCCAAAATGACACACGTGGCTCTAGATAGAGTGGCCAAACATAAAAACTCGAACAAAAAAAAAAACTAAAAACAAAGTGGTGGTCAGTTATGGTTGCATGCAAGTACAATCACCTGAAGGCATCCACATCTCTCTCATTTAGTCATTTTGGAAAGCTGTCCAGTATTAAAGACAGTCATATAAGGCATAAAAAGAATGTCCTGTCCCTTCATGTTTTACCAGCTCATGGCATAAGCCCTCTACGCATTCCCAAGAATCGGTACTGGACTAGCCTACTGTAAGTGTGATATGAATGGCATGATTGTGCGTTACAAACTTGTATAAATAACTGTACAGCTAAACAAAAAAAAACACTAGTTCGCAGGCTTTACTCAAGAAGCGGCGTCTTTAAAAATTGTGCTCCAGTAGATCAAGAGCACCCGACTCCGGCCCGTTTAAATAAACTGATGTCGACAAGATGTAATACCCCACAACTCCATTTTTCACAAAAAAAAAAAAAAAAGACAGCGATGTCGGAAGTATGAATTCCATAGTCCGTTTCTCAAAGTCATCAAAACTTCCCTCTTTCGTGCACTTCGCAATTCACACCGGGTGTAGTTGTTTGCACGGGCGACGGCCGGTCAAATACCTCGATAAAGTTATTGGCCAGGGTTTCTACATAGTTGCTTCGCTCAAATTCTCCCACCTTTTCCAGGCTTTCCCTAAATATTTCGATCAAATTCCCCGACCATTACAAGAGAGGATGGGGTTGTGGCGGCTGTTCGGGTTGTTCCCGTTCGATCACGCTTTTCCAGATGCTGCGGAATTCCCTGACAATTCCAGGTTGTTCAAGTTGGTAGACATCCCCGACAGCTGTATTTGAGGGATGAGGTACCATAGGTGCCCATTTACGGTTTGCGAGCGCCACAGGCCAGAGAGTGCACGACAGCTAGCAACAGAGACAGCAAGATGCGCAAATGTCGTGGACACCGATAGTCCCAAGATGATTTCAAAGGCAAGAATTGTCAAGCTCGAATCATTGGTACCGAATTCCTGTATGCAGTCTTGATGCACTGTGCAGCACAGCAGTGTGCAGCCATGCAGCACTATAGCCTCTTGCAGGTTCGAAGGACAAGCCCGTCTGCTCGCCCATTCCCCCTTAGCGTTTGCTCTGTTGAAGTGGAAGGTGAGATGGGCTTTGTGGAAGAAGCTTAAGTAGTCCTGCATAATTGCTGACATTTCTTTTCATATGACCTGACTGTAGACTAGTATGAATACCTCCAGAATGAGAGCTGATAAATGAGAGCTGATTCTTAGCACTATTTTTGAATGATAGGTTCTTGAATCAGACACAGCTCATACTAAGAGATGCTGTACCTCTGTAGAACCTCACAAAACTGGTCTATAGAGGTGACACTTTCCACGCTGCTCCTCTATATGATTACCAACCTACCCAGCTAATTTCGAAGCTAGCGGTTAAAAAATAAAATTTTCCAAGTAGTGTTCTCTTTTTAACCTGCAACAGACAATAGAAAAAAAAAATCCAAAACAGGGACACAATTTTAAGTCACCTCGATAAAGATAACGACGAACTTGCCATCTACGTCGGCTAAGACTCCAGTCAAGACATCACAAGAATCCGTGGCGAAACCCTGCAGCTACACAGGTGGTACACCACAGCACCGCGGCCTTACAATCGACTCGTAAACATAGAAGAACGTCTCAATTTTCTTTTGTTTCACGACGATACCGCGCGGGTCCCGTCGGAGTTCATCTTGGAACGTTTTCCGCCGGTGGCACCCTGTCGGTGACTTCAAGCCGATCCACGACGCCGGAGAAGGTGGCTCTCCGCGTCAGCCGCGGCGGAGCGCCCCTCTGCTCTGCGGGAACGCTCAGGGCATCCGTGTGGTGGACGTAGGCCTCCCAGACGTCGGTCCGCCAGTGGACCACCGCCAGACGGCAGCGCGAGATGCCGCGGAGCGCAGACCGGAAGCCCGCGACGGCCGCACCGCGGATCGCTCCCAGTACCACGGCGGTGGCTTGGTCCAGGTTCCAACGCTGCGGAAACACCTGCGGCGAAGTCGGTGAAACAAAGTTGCAAGCCAGAGTTCCCGCAATAGACTTTTTTCAAAATACAGTGCCGTCTGGTGGCTCAAAAAGCAGTTTCACTTTCGAACAAACAAAATGCAGTCATGAAACTATTTAGTTGGGCACTCCCTTTCACGAGTCAATAGCGAATAAGCAAGCGTTTTACAATCTAGTGGTTGTCATGGAACTGTATTTCATTGGTCACCGTCGCTTCTGCACGTCAATGGTAGATACAGTGATGAGATTGGTCCGAGTCATTTTGGAGCACCTTTTGGAACAGAAAGAAGTACTTTAGGAGTATCAGCACACCTTTAATTTTCACTCATGCCAGTGCAGACATCATGTTAAGATTCATGCGTTTATGTATACTTTGCCATCCTGCTATTGTGCAACCTTTTGCTGGCATTAACAGCATGGAAGGTTTATTCGCTAACTACCAGTTTAACTGCGCGAAGAAGCAAAGGCACGGTAACAAGATGCTGATTGATGAAGGGTAGTACAGTCTACTGCATGAGCATTGTAATTTTAGGCACGAAATCATGTGTAAACCAAACAGTATATTCCACTAAAACAATGTTAGGATATGATAATTTCGAGCACCCAATTTTATTTATGTTTTGTTGTAATAAAATTGCGGTTCTTAATTTATATGAATAGATAGATCATTTAGGGAATAGAACATTCCCTAAATTTGATCTTGTTAAATTTTTATCCCAAAATGATTCTTTGTCAACTCTGAAGAAATGCCAGGAGGGATATTCTTCTCTTGCCAGAAACGCGAGCAGACGATGCGTCGCTTTGTTTTTACTGGGGGTGGCTTTCCACCAGCTGAAAATATTAGGATAGGACACACCTCATCGAGAGGATTGTTTGGGGAAACCACGGGATTGACGTCATGCTCTGCCCCAGTACGCTTAAAGGGATGCTACAACGAAATTTTGGCGCTCATTTTTTGGCCTACATGTGTTCAAAAAAGCAGCATCACATCGAACATACCAATATCTTGTTCAAAAAGTCACGAAAAGGAATTTTAAAACGAATTAAAGGATTAGAAAAGAGCACCTGGTGGATGTCGCTAACGCCTCGCTTGTAATGCCCGTCTAGGAACCTTGACAGCTAGTGACAGAGGTTGTCTCGTCTCCGGCCACGACGAGAGAAGGGGGGAAGGAGGAACTCCCCTCTTCCCGAGAATCCCTTTTGTGCGTCGCAGAAGTCGCTATTGTCCCCCTACAAGATTACAGAAGATTAACCCGTCACTCAAAATTCGTACAAAAGCAGCCGCTTCGGTGGCTGGAACGGCTAGGCCATCCTCTCTACGTCAGCCTCGCCGTAGCTTTGCTCGTCTTGAGACGACCTACGTCACGATTGCGTTGGATGTCACGTGCTCTAAGCTGGGCCTTCTCCGAGCGCTTGCCAGAGTGGGCCGTTTATAACGAAAAATACAGCCACCAGGATCAAAATACAAACGTGTGATTGTGATCTACGGATATTGTGGATACTATTCAACCTATTTTTGAACACGACAGGAATATTTCAAATTTCGTTGAAGTATCCCTTTAGGGGGACACTGCCCAAAAAAACAACTTCTACAAAAGAAGTTAATTTTGAAAAATGACATATTTACATTCACCAACATCTAGAGAGTATTCCCGGAATGTTTCATTAGTTTACACTGCATAGTTAATTTTTTATAAATTATTTTCTGTCCACCAAAGCTAAAGAAAAGCCAGGGTTTGGAGCACTTTGAACACATTTTTCTGCGTTCTACTTTTTGGTATAAATTCCATTTTAGTCAATCTATCGTTTGATAATGAAAATACAGGGAAGGCTCGTTCTTCACTTTTCCTGACTGAAATTTAATAAGGAATGCGGCTATGGTATGTTTTTGTCACTTTCCAATATCTTTTATAAAAAATGTTGACTTTTTGTTGAAGGACACAGAAGACCGAAAAGTTGACCAGTTTTGCAGAAGAGAAAATTTATAGGTATGAATGACTTTTTACAAAGATCTTTACATAGCTGCAGATCTAGGCCTTCCGCTACATATCTAGCGAATAAAAATCTTGCACATTGTGATAGTTTTCCAATGATAGATTAACTAAACAATGTAGGCGTGTTGCTGATAGAAGCTGCTCTAATTTCCTTCCCATTTAATCGACATACCTGAAATTTTGTTATGCACCCTCTAGCATGACCACCAGCCTACCCTGTTAATTTCATTAATTTTAAGCCAAGGGTTCAAAAGTTGACCCTCCCGAGGGTGTGCCCCCTAACCCTCTTAAACGCAACCCAGTGCATGTGACGCCAAATTCAGAAGTCTGGGGCTTATGAATTTGGTGACATTTTCGAAAATAACTACTCTCGTGGTTGCTCGACTTTATTCAATTTTCGGCGTCTTTTCCGAAAATAACTGATGCATCCCCGATTACCCCTAAAACAATGCATAATTAAAAAAAAAAAAAAAAAAAAACACTGAGTAGGGGATTGAAAGGGCATCATGAAAGATTGTGTTAAAAAGCACTTGCACTTTACTTTGGAAGTACATTGTATTTATAGTACTTTACTTCAAGTGCTTTGCACCCAGCATACTTGTACTACTTCACTTGAAGTACACAACCTCACATTTAGTTCATACTTCAAATACTTCTTAGAAGTGCCCAACACTAAATTACACCCATCGCGGATGGGCCACCATGGCAAGGTAGGTCAGACCTTCTATAATAGCCGACGGGACAAGAATGGCAGGGAGGAGCTTCAGTTGCCCTGCGTCTCCTTCGATAACACATCTGCGATTCGTGACCCTGGAGCATGCACGTGCAGCTAGGGCACGGCGAAAGTGCCATCTACTTATAACGATATTGAAAAAACCCGAGCTTTCAACCCTTATAAAACTGATTGTCGTTGTATCTGGACTAGAAACTGATCGTTATAGGTAGCAGATCATTATACGTGGTATCGTTATAAGTGGGTCGCATCGTATAGGAGACTGAAAGGGCATCATGTAAGATTGTGTTACAAAGCACTTGTGTCTTGGAAGTACACAGCACTTAGAGTATTTTAATTCAAGTGCATTGCACCCGGCATAGTTATGCTACTTCACTCGAAGTACACAACCTCACATTTACTTTGTACACGACTTCCAAGTACTTTCCAGAAGAGCTTTACCCAACACCTCCTCCGGTAGGCAATGTAGGCAATCTGGCACCACGGTCCAGCCACCTAGAGAGCGCCAAACAAAGCGTGCCTCACCTTCCGCAAGCCGCCGTCAACCGCCGCTCCGAGGCCCGAGGTGCTCTCCAGCCAGAGCCAGCCGACGTCGGACGCGGTTTTGTTCAGCAGCTGGCTGGGGCTGGAACCGCGGCTGGACAGGTAGCAGCCCAGGGTGAGCGACCCCAGGCACCATGGCACGGTTTGCCTCCACGCAAAGAGCAGTGCCGACGCCACCGCCAGAAGCTGCGCCTCCGAGCGCCAGATGTGGTGCCGCTCGGATTCGGACCTGCGACACGGAACCGCGTTCGAATATTTGCTCGGTCTTGCTTTATGGTCTATCTGACAGCCTAAAGGGACACTGACACGGTATTTGTGCCCGCCAAGGTTTTATTTTTTTCGTGACATATGAGAGCCCAACTACCCAGAGCACAATTTGCGGCTCGAAATTTTTCTTTCCGACCGAAAACTGCCGATCGAGAACTGGCCGGCTTGAGTCGCACTAACTCTCTTCTCCATGGTGACGTGCCGTTTTCTATGGTTTAGACGCAACCAACAAAGATAATCGAATTCGTGGGTTAACAAAGGCACACATTCAATACTAGAAATGGACAAAAAAATATGATACCTATTTTATGTGGCTTCTAAAAAACTGCAAATACATCAACTGAAAAAAAAAAAAAGTTTCACAGCCATGTGATTTTCGGTATCTTTCTCCTCCTCTATATTTCTTCTTCCGCCCCTGTCCAGTTTTGATGTAGACCAGTTGCTTTCTTTTTACTTTATTAAAAATATATGCGACACTGTAGCAAAATACTCATTTGGTAGCCTTCTCACACCATAATGGATCGCCTGGAAAAAGTTTTCTGAGGGGCGTCTATGTCCCTTTAAAGGGATACTTCTCAACGAAATTTGAAATATATCCGTCATGTTTAGAAGAAAAAGGCTGAATACTCAAATTCAAATTTGTTTATTTTGCCACAAACAGTACATTTCTGACAGGGGCGGTGGAAAAAAAGCTGGAGGCCTGCAGCTTGACGAGTCCCAGCGCCCCAGTACAGGGTAAGAGCGGCACTGGCACACACAGACAAAAACAATGAATATGGGCACACATTTACACCTATACAGAGGATAAACACAAGAAAAATATAAAGGATTCAACTTCGCTATCAACAGTATACAAAAAAGTGGTGGTTACTTATACAGCTTCTTGAATGGAACAATGACTAACAGAGTGTATTTCAATATCACAGGAAAACAGAGTGTTTAATAAAAGTGGTAATTGGTGGCGATATCTTTGTAGACCAAAATTTGTCCTTAAAAAGGGAATAGTCCCGACAAGTCGACAGACTCATTTGCTTCTAGATTATTAAGATCTAAAAAAATGACATTTTCCCTTACGAATCGTTGATAATTAGCTATCGGTCTATGCGCCTACAAATTGGTTATATCAATGACTATGTTTTTCAAAAAGAGGAAGGGAATGATGTCACGTGGAACATTTTCAATTATGCTAAGTGCCTTTTTCTGTATTAGGCGTAACTTGTCAATGTTGCCCTTTGTAGTTGAACCCCACACCAGATGGGAGTAGCAGAGCACAGGGTAAAACAATGCACTGTAAATTAGTTTTATAATATTTACCGGAACTATGTGTCTGAATTTATTCATTTTCCGACAACTTCGCATAGCTTTTTATGAATACGGCTAACATGATTATTCCAAGACGTGCGACAAGAAAATATTACCCCCAACGTCTTTATACTATCAACGCACTCTATCGCACAATCCCCCAAAAACAAATCGCGTGACAACCTAATGCGTAATCCTGGACGCAGAAATAAAACTGCCTTTGTTTTTTATGTGTTAATAACAAGGGAATTCATAACTACCCATGATTTTAATTTATTTAAAAAATAATTTGCTTTGAAAGTGAGTACCATTTCTCTAGAACCAGCAAAAAATATGCTGGTGTCATCCGCGTAGATATTAAATTTAGCAGACGTTTCAATATCTACAATATCGTTAACATATATGATAAACAATAGTGTGCCTAAAATACTTCCCTGTAATTATTAATTTGAACGTATTGGGAACGGTGCTGTAAATAGCATGAAATGAGTGATAACGGAACTCCTCGAATACCATAAATATCTAACTTATCAAGAAGAGTTCTGTGATTTAACCAGTCAAATGCTTTACTGAAATCTACAAACATCCCCAACATTAAAAGTTTACTCTACAAATTTTCTAATATTGTCTCTTTTTGTACTAATGACGCAGTTTCTGTGGACCTACACCTTCTGAAGCCATATTGCGAGTCTGTCAGCACAGAATATTTTTCAAAAAAGGTTAATAGTCGAGAATATATTATGTTTTCTATTGGTTTTGAAAAAAACAGGAAGAATAGATACAAGGCGATGATTACTCATACCATTTTTATCCCCGCCTTTATAGAGGACAGAAACTTTAGCCACTTGCATGCTTTTAGAAAATACACCAGATGATAATATGAGATTATACAAATGTGTTACGCGTGGTAATATCAGATTTAGTATGAATTTAACGGGTCTGATTAAGAGGTGGTCACAGTCACGACCACGACTATTTTTCATATTCATAAACATTGCAAAATACTTCTGCAGTATCCGTGGGATTCAAAAACATAGTTTCGCTAGTGCTGAGATCTTACTTTGGCATCACTATTATGAGCGCTATTCCCGACACTTACACAGTAATCATTGAATTTATCTGCATGTTCAATACTGGAAATAATTTTATTGTTTATAGTCATGTTAACGATGGCTTTATCTTGAGATGGGCTACGCAGAAGCGAATGTGGTTGCTTCCAGACAATATCGGGCTGCCTTAAACAGGATACGTCAAATTTAGCCGCGTAATAAAGCTGTTTAGCTTGTCTTAATTGAGCGTTAAGGGCACAGGGTAAGGTAAAATTGAAAAAAAAAAAAAAACTGGTTTTAGTTTTTTTCGCAATTTCAAAAGTTTAGTTCTTTCTGCACATTTTCCATTGCCACAGTGTCCTTAGAAAGCTATATTTCGAGCTGAAAATCACTTCTTCCGAAAGCAAGTAGCAGGTGCAGGTGACCACGCCTCCTTTTGGGATACGCTCCCTGTTAATCAATGAATTTTCCAACAAAACAAATTCAACACCAGACCTAAAAGCTTGGCCGATAACAGATAATCTAAAAAAAATTATCTGGCAACTATTGTATAGCTTTTCTTTAACCAAGACAATTCCGAGACGCTGTGCACGTGTTTTCCAGGTGTGCACCATGTGTACATTCAAGCGTTTGTGTTTTTGTAACGACAAAATGGCAGCATTGGATGCTGTTCTTTTACTCAATGGTGGTAGCATTGCACAAGACAATGTTTTGAAGGCCTGTGGATGGAACCTTGTGTGGAACACCATCAAGTGGCTGAGGGAACTTGACGTCACTCGAATATACTTTACGGACCAAGCCACACGGCAGGTCACGAAAGAGGTCCGGCAAGCAAGGCGATAAGCCTAAATGCGAAGACATCACTTTAGCAATTCCTTCCAAGCTGGCGGCTACTGCAAAAATGACTGTGAGGTTGTTGGTGCCAATAGAAGTTTGTTATTCACCAGTTTTTTGTTTTTTTTTTTACTTTAAACTCAATTATCTCAAAACTGTTTTTTAGTACATGTACCATTTTTTCCTCAACCTGACATTATAGAGTGTTGATTTTTTATTCCTACCACCTACATGGGTGTTGAAAAATACTGAACTAAAATTAAAAATATGCAGCTAGCACTTTTTGAGTTAGAAATTTTTTAATACATAAAAAACATAACTAAAATTTCAGTACTAGAATAAAAAAAAAAAAAAGCCTTATTTTAGATTGGTTCAAATAATTCTAGTTCAGTAGATAAAACACAATATTTTGAACAACATGATAAATACATGGCAGGAATGCTCCTAATAGTCACCGAGAAAAATGTTCCTCAACATGGCCTCAAATGCATGGGGAGTATAGGACTTACCCTGTGCCCTTAACAAAATTTCTAAACTTCTTGAATTCGGGCTATTTTTCTTCGTCTCGTGTTTTCACAAAAGAGTCATAAAGTATGTTTTTCTTTTTAATGAGTTTTAAAAGGTGACCATTTACCCACGGCGTCCTAGCCTTCTTGTTTGGACGGATGCATTTGATTGGGAATGAGGTGGAGTAAGCATTTTTGAAAGTACTTATAAAAAAATCAGAGTAATCATCAGCATCTGTAGCATTAAACATAGGACTCCAGTCTATAGCGCTGATTGTGTCTCCAAATTCTTCCAGTGTCCTAGAACTTACGTCTTGTGACATTGTTGGAAAGTTTGGAACTTTTTTTTTACTCACAAATTCTTATTGATAAACGTGATTATTGGAAGGTGATCACTGATCCCATTACTGAGTACACCAACACATATATTATTTTCATCATGATTAATTAAAAATGGATCAAGCAATGTCAATGTTGTGCATGTGACACATGTTGGAGGGATAATTACATTGGAAATATTGTTTGAAGTCAATAAACCAACAAAATTGTCTTTGAGATGAGAATCTTCAAGCATACTTATATTGAAATTACCACCCAGGAACAAGAGACACCTCTCTTGATTAGCAAAACAAAACAATGCCTGTAAAAACTGCATGAAAATCGAAACATTACCATTTGGAGGACGATATAAAACAGAGTAAATATGATTTCCTTTTTTAACACACAGTGTCTCATAATCTCGGGTCATAATAGAATAATTTCCGAGTATTTCGAAACCAGAGGCACGAGTTTGCAATGAAACACCACCACCGCGGCTACGACTGCGGTTTAAAGAGAAATGAGTGTAGCCTGGAAGAACAAAAAAAAAAAAAATCATCAACATCTCTATACCACGTTTCAGTCATCATGACCACATCAAAAGAAGTTTGGATTGAGTAAAAAAAAACAATGAAAGGTCATCATCTTTTAATCTGGCAGATTGAACATTTAAATGAAACATACTCAACGATCTAGTTGTCTCTTTTTGCATGAAAGTATTCAGACACTCTACCGTCAGAACACCTAGATTTTAAACCATTACAGTAAAAAGGGAACAGTAAAAAGAGACGTCAGCTGTATTTAGCGGATCTCGTCAAGATCTCCAGAGTCAGAAATAGCAATGACAGGGGTCCCATCCGCCTTCCTAGCAAATATTTTAGAGTTACATAACCAAACGTGTCACCACTGGTGCTCACGCTTCTTTGAAACCGCCATTCCTAGCAGCTTTTTCAGGGCGGGGCACAAGTGTCCATTTACATAGACAGGTGATGTTTCAGTGAGTCCAAAATCTTGGCAACTAATTCTAATTCTTTTTTTCTTTGCTTTATCAAGAACAAAGTCGGTTTTTGTCGCCGCTGAAATTGCACTATCACGTTGCTCTCTGTCGTATCTCTCGTGGGAACACGATGATGTGCTTCTATATCAGAAAGGGCGATTTGCTCTCCGACGAGGTCACCAAGTTTAAATACCAGATCATTCACGTTATCAGTGAAACATAATTCTACGCACTAAATTCAATTACTTGACGGCGCTTGGAAACCATCGACCACCGGTGATTGATGGCCTATAAGCGTGATCAGGAAAGAGTTAACCTGCCATTACAGAGGAACAACTTTTTCTTCCAGCCACCTACATAGGGGTTGAAAAGTACTGAACTAGGATGAAAAGCAGGCATTTAAGTTTTTGTGTTGCACACTTTTTGATACACTAAGAAAGCTAAAATCTCAGTACTAAAAAAATGTATAAAAAATGTAATTTTCAATTAGTTTAAACAATCCGAGTTCAGTGGAAAACAAACCCAAAATTTGGAACAAAACCCCTAATGGTTAGAGAAAAATGTTCCTCAGCATGGCCTAAAATGCATGGGGAGTAGAGGACTTAACTTGTGCCCTTCAAGGGCCACTGAAAAGAAAAAAAAAATGTTTTTTTTTTTTTTAGAACAGTGTGGTTGGGCCACGCATGTCAAAAAATAAACTTTACGAAAAGAAAAAAAATTGCAGGTGCGAGATTTATTTTGGATCCTGCCTGCCAAGTCCATGACGTCACAGAATGGACATACAATCTTTCCACCTCAACTAGATGGTCATACACTCTCTCCAACTCAACGTCATGGCCAAGCAACCAAAATGCCGAGAGAAAACAAGTGGAAAGGAGGTGACTACAAACTAAATCGCGTCTCGCGCCGTCAATATTGCTCCAAAAAAAACATTTCTTTCCCGTAGAATTAATTCGACGCCACGCGTATGTTTCTACCAAACTGTTAAAAAAAATTTTTTTTTGTTCCTTTTAGGGGTTGCTAAAGCTGAAACTAGAAGTGCCGCCTTCAGCGCAAGCTTTCTGCCCTTGCTAACCCAACAGTGAACGCGCAGGCACGTGCAATCAAAGCACTGCGGATCATTACGAATCAAAAGTGTGACTTCCTCTGCAATCGATTCGGTGTTAGGAAGCTTATGTAATATTGCTTAGCTCTGTTGCAAACTGTTTAAACATTCGTGAACGACAGGAAAGCGTTTCCTGTGATTTCAGATAAATCTTCAGATAACTGGCAACCATGATCTTACGCCACAAGATGGGCAAGTGTCGTTACCCAGAAGCGTAGCTGATATGGCTCTTGTCTGTGAACTCGGTGTAGCACTACGGTGTGAAGGCACTGCACAACACTCACAGATTAATGGACAAAGTCAGATGGTTTTGTCAACTTGTCTTACGTGTTTTTTCTTTCTTCAGTCTTCACACATAGAGCAACCAAACGCTTGCAAAGCGCATGTAGTAACTCGATCTGGTAGCTGATACGTCATTATCTGTGCAACATGTTTAAATCAGTGTTATCTGTCGGCACATCATAGGCGTCTTTAACCTTCATTTCACTTCCAGCTTGAACCAAGTTTTAGCCTCAGACACAAGGCGAAGTTGTTCGGTAATTTTCACCAGTAGCAAAACGTGTTCGCCAGGATCGGGCTCTCCCGTCAAAGCGTCGAAGTGTAACCGCTATGCCAAGAAAAAAAAAAAAAAAAAAAGGGGGGGGGGGGGGGGGGTTTGCTTTGAGGCACACAAGTGTTTATTAAAGAGAAACAAAAAAACAACAGTAGCCGAGAATATATCTGGGGAGGGTTATGTTTTGTATTTTCGGTGCTACCATCACTACTCTCTTGGATTGATCGGCTTGACCGGTGATTCAAGCATTCAAAGTTGCCGACTTTGACGTACCGAAATGAAAAACTTCAGCAATGAAAACTTTAGAGAGCAAAGTACACTCGCCAGCACTGTCTGGCGACGGCACGTAAACTTTAACAACAGCAAAAATAGTGGAGGTTAGCAGCACGCGGAACTCGGGATGGTCGTAGCACGCCGACCCAACATCACTCGGATGGCGCGCTTACCTGTGCGTCTTGATGGCATGCTTGGCCCAGGCATCGAGAGGCAGGAAGAGGCAGTACTCGAGCACCACCTCCAGCAGAAAGTCTCTGAGGGTGCCGAATAGAATCATCGATAACGGGACGACCCGAAGAAGATGCGCATTCCGAGTTAAGCCTGATCAAATCGAAAGCGAGCGGCGAGCGGTTCGGCGGTTGTTGCAGTTGTTGGGTTGGTTATCAGCGCGCCAGCCAAAATAAAAACGTCAAAACACTAGGCCACCATTAATTTTGTTCAATTATAATTTTAGCGCACATTAGTTACTCTATAATAGTGTTTCATTTTTAATAATTTGTGTTCTAGAACCAGAGTCACCACAGTGGTTTTCAGCCTGCCCACTTTTTGACTTTCGTTTGTGTCATTTTGGAGATCAGTGCATTTTGGCGTGATTTTGGCCGTGTTCCAAAATTTACTCGATCTTACTCCAGGGTTAGAGCAGTTCATGAGCAGTTAGAGTTTTTGTACCCTTGCCGTTCTAAAACCTACCCGCGTCAAGCGTTTTTCAATCTGTGCTGTCACGTGATACGATCCGCCGGAGTAACTCGGATCCATTTGGAACACAACCCTTGTGATTGCAAACCATGCGCCAGGCAGGCGATAACAACCGATCAACGCGATCAACGAAAGCAGCAGCAGTCCGCCACTGTCGACAGGTTTTTATTGGGCGCGTTCAGTAGCGGCCCCGGAGTCAAGGAGTCACTGACTCCTTCCACTGGACGGCCAAAAGTCACTTCCGGTGCACGTAACTCCGGGGCTTCGGAGTCAAGCTCCGAAGCACCGAGTCCGGAGACGGTGCACGTAGAGTCAAAGGAGCTAAAATGACGTCATTTCCTAACTGGTGACGATTTCCGGCGCTAAAAGAGGAAAAAACAAACAAAATGGCGGGATAAGCTGCTTCGGTTCTGTCGCAGGTGTGCGGTTTGCTCGCTTTTGCTTATGAAAAGTGCTAAAGGTAAGACGAATAACGCGTTCGAATTTCTTTTTAAGGTAAGGCGCCTTCGGGAAATGCATTGGACTGTATTTTGCGTCGTTTGAATATGCTAATAAACAACGTAAACGTTCATTTGACGCCGTGTCTTGATCGCCGTTGCACGGAAACTCGGTGAATATCGACGATAGTCCTCTCCGCGCTGAACAGAGCAAGGCAGGGTATGCACGCGAATTCGGTAGCTGGTTGGACACTCACGCAGAGCATGATCCCGATTGATGTTTTGTTTGCGTAGCTAAATCGGGGTGCACGTTGGCCGACGCTCGCTTCGACCGACAAAACCTTGATCGCCGAGCGCGGCCGAACTTCCCGTGTGTATACGAATACATTTTATAGGAAGTTCGTTACGAGGGGCATAACAAACGTACGGCCGTATAAACGTATCGCAACCGGCGGCGTAGATTCGCCGAGCTCTATATTTTGCGTCTGCTGACGACGTTTTTGTTGGCTTTTATAGCAGTAGCTGCCTTTGCACTGCCAAGCTAAGGGCTCGATCGCGTTGCATCGCTTCGAACAGCAGCGCTGACGTGTACAGTCACTCGCTTTTTCTTCAACGACCTTGTCAAGACGTCTTCAATACCGGCGTCAAATAAAAGCGATCGTGCTCGCCATCGTCCGCTTCCAGTTTATTCGGAGACCGGCTGGCACAGGGGAGGAAGCGGAAATTGCGTAGAAGCAGGTTTGGAGCCGCGGCGTTTTTTTGCCGTTCAGTAGGCGCTCCGATGACTCCGACTCGAACCACTCCGTTCGGGGGCAAGGGAGGCGCTACTGAACGCGCCCATTGAGTGTTCCACGGCAGGGCCGCAGGGCGAACAAGTTAAAACGAAACTATCTTGTTGCCGCATATATATTCCAGGCCGTGCCACAATCTCGGCGAATTGATGGTTGATGCGGATCCGTTGATGTGCGCTAGCATTGCCGGTAAGGACTGCATGTTAGCGGGGTATTGTGACAACTATCGCACGTTCGCGGCGCCTTGCGTGTGGCCTAACGTTTGACGAGTTCGAAATCGCCCGTAATCCCGTTGCCTTTGTGTCGAATCGCTCGTCGGCCGGCCGTAGTTGCCCTTATGTCACGTCACCAAAGTCGCGATCGTTCACGAGCCGCCACGCTTGCGCGTCGGTGCGTGCCGAGTTCGTGCTAGCGCGGCCCGTGATTGCATCGGAGAACGCTAACGGCGCCGCGTTGTAGCACGGCAGATAGCAGACGGTCGCACTAACCTAACCCCAGCCGCGTTGAGCTAGCCCTAACAACGTAGTCGGCCGAGAAGGTAACCCGTTTCTTCCTCACGCTACTAACCCCTGCGTGCCTGCTCTTCTGTCCTATCGCCATGCGACAAAGGCATTGTATCTCGCTTCACGTAGCAAAATCGCCATCCGAGGAGCGGCCATGTCTAAGGTGGGCAAGAGCGGCACGAGCGAAGCTATGGTGAAATTTCTCAAGGAGCGGGTAGAGTCCAATCAAGGCATCTCACTGCAGAAGCTAACGGGCCACCTGTCCCAGCTGCCGCCTGACCTGCGGACCAAGTACGGCTGCTCGGTCAAGTCGCTCAAGCTCTTCCTGCAGCAGTACCCTAAGGTCTTCGTCATCAGGAACCAGAGCAACGTCTACGTGCGCACCAAGAAGCTGCCATCGCCTGCCGGGAGCATAGAGAGCGTCATGACGTCCATGTCGGACCGCGGCACCAACGACGATGCAGACTCCGAAGACGTCACCACCCTGATTGGCGTCAAGGGGCAGGTGTACCGCATCTTCAACGTCTACGGGTTCATATCGATCAAGAACCCGATCACGACGAGCGTCTACTTCGACGTGCAGGCCTTTGAGAATGGCGAGCACAGCAACCTGCCGGCGTCGGGGCTGCAGTTGGGCGAGGGGGTTCTCATCGACGCCAAGATGGGGCCCAACAACTGCGAGGCCAAGTTCCGGGCAAGCCGCGTCGTCCGCATCAAGAACCACGGGGTCGTGGGGCCGCCGCCGTCGTTGTCATCTGCCTGCTCGTCCCCCACGCCGCACAGCAAGCAGACGATCGAGGAGCACGGTTTCATTGAGACGGTCAAGGGCCAGTACGGCTTCATCAAGTTCGGCCGCAACCTGCGCGAGCGTGCCTTCTTCCACCTCAACAATGTGGACAGGGCGCACGGCAAGACCATCCGCAACCTGCCGGATGTTCTGACAGTGGAAGACCGCGTGCGCTTCAAAGCCAAGCCGAGCAAGAAGTCGACGGACAAGGTCAAGTGGGAGGCGACAGTTGTCTACATCCCTCTCCTCTCTAAGAAGGCGCCGGGCGGCATCTCCGACTCTGACGACGAGAGCGGCAACGAGGTGTTCATGTCGGACGACGAATCCGACATTGTGGACTTCCTCCAGGACAAACTTAACGGTGCTTACGACGATCCGGCTGTTGGCTATGCAGATTGGGACAGTGGGTCTGCTACGACAGAGACGCCACCCCGCAACGACATGAGTCCGCCGCGCAATGGCATCACTGCAGGCTGCGACTGGGATAGCCTGCGCAAGTTGTCCGGGGAGAAGGGCCGCTTCGTGCCGAGGACAGACCTGGATGGGGAGATCCGCTTCGGAAGAGACCAGAGGGCGCTGGCGTCGGCCGACGTCACTTACCGCGGCAAGGAGCAGGTGGACAACCTGCTCTGGGAGGTGACGGACAACCAGGAGGTGACCTTCGACGCAGTTGATGCGACGGGGAATGATGACTGGATCACCACCCTCGCGTGGACCGACGTCCGGCCGCCACACAAGCCTCACGTCAACGACAGCGAGGAGGTCTTCCGTTCCAAGTGTCAGACGATGACGCGGCGGGCATCTCCGCTCGCCGGCGACAGAGCAGTGTCTCCCGACAGATTCGAGGCAAGGGTGTCTCCGGTGTCGCGCTCTGTGGCGCCCTCCATCTCGATCAACGAGAGTGCACGGGGCACGGTGTCGCTGGTCATGGAGTGCATGGCGTTCTGCGAAGTGGAGGCTACGCCGGGCGGAGCCAAACGGAAGATCCAGTTCACGAGCGATTGTTTCTACCGGGACGGGCAGCCATACCCGGGCGACTTGACGGACGTGCTGGCGGTTGGGGACGCAGTGTCGCTGGACTACATGGTAGGCATTGGCGGAGGGGCGGATGCAGAGGAGCGGGTCCACTGCGACGTGGTCTGGCAGGGCAGGCGGCCCGCGGATGCTAGGCAGCTGAGTCCAGAGGATTTCTGCCGCCAGCTGGGCATCTCCGAGGCAGACGGGCAGGAGGGCGTGCCATCCTTCGAGGACTTCGAGCGGGAAATGTGAGCTCAAGGGACGGCCTTTTTTTTTAATTGCAATGGCATTTTTGGGGCCTCCAAACCGTGGAGTTGTGTGTCTGTCTGTAAGCACGTCAATTGCTGTGTTTAGTCAAGAAGCCTGGATTTGCCCATTTGTTGCAGTGTTTAGTTGTGCAACACTGCATCATGTGATGCTGTTTCACATGACTTGATGTCAGGTGACATCGTCATCTGGCATCACGTTGTAACATCCTGTGTCTCACGGCACATGTCGGGACGTCACCACCTCTACGTGCGGTCACGTGACACTGCATTACATGTTGCGATGTCATGAAACTACATCACTTGATGTGGCATCGTGTGAAACTGCAACGTACAACAGCGTAACATCGTATCACTGATGGCACAACATCGCACTGCCGATATGCGACACTGTGTCACATGACGTCACATTACCAATGCCACAACATGACACGTGGCACGACGTCCTGTGGCACAGATATCACGTAACAGTGTAACATGATGCATCACAGTCACATGACGTTTTGTGATGTTGCATCACTGATGCCATAAGATCACACTGCAAAAATTAGACTAAGAGTCACCGTGATTGGTAGAAGTCAGAAGAGGAGAGCACATGCGACAAGGGAAAGAGGGGGAGGGGGGCACTTTGAGAGGTGTCTGAAGTGCACACTCAAATTTCGGAATCCCACAAGCATAGGATATCAAATGCCATCGCATTACTTTTCCTTTGACAACAACCAGAAAGAAGGCAGTTTTTTTTTTTCTCTTGTCGCGCATAAACAGCGGTTGGTGGCTTGCCAAAACTAAAATGCAGTGAAGCAAAGAAAAAAAAAGTAAGGCAACAGCATCCATTTGAGATTTGACTTTGTTGCACAAAGAACTATGTAACTGATGCGGGAGTGAGAGAGGATCTGCTGTTTCACCGGCGCCTGCGTACCACCGTATTGCAGACAAGAGGCGCAGGCCAACTTGGTGTCATCGCAAGAAGTGCCTTCAGACAAAGGGGCGATGTCAAGCAAAAGGAACAGCGAAGGTGACGCTGAGAGGGGTCCTCCGGTCATGCCGTCCGCGGAGGCAGTGGCGCCGAACGAGGCGACGGCGACCCACGTTGGCGCCAGGCGGAGGCTGCCAGACTGCGTCGTGCTCCCCAAGACCCAGAACGGTGCAGTCGGTAAGTCGTCCCGGCCTTCCTGATCAATCGGCCGCGGGTTCGAATCCCGGCCTACAATCTGGTGGATTCTGTTTGCGGACCGCCTATATTTCGATCGTGCGTCAAAGGATCCACAAGTGGTCGAGACGAATCCCCACTCCTCCGCTGAGGCATTGCGGACACTCTCCGTCGGTCTGGCGCTCAAAACCCTCCTCTTACGCCGAGTTTAACGTTTGATGTCGGCCATTTTGGTGCCCGTTTGCCCGCCAACAAGGAGGCTCTGCCAGCCCTGGCTCGATTGCACTCGAATTGAGAGTTTTGTTGCTCTGGTGGGAAAACGTGTCGACTCATCGGTTTCTCTTCCCTCTTCTCCTTTGCAGGGCACGCTCCAACAATGGCGGTCTTCTCTTCGGACGTGAGCGTAAGCATTGCAGCCACTCTTCATTTCGCTAGCTAGTTGAATCCGAACGCTCCAGTATGTGGGGTTGGGTTAGTTTGGCGATAGCAGTGTCGAAGGATCCTTAAAGAAATGGATACCTATTTTTAAGTGTAAAGTCGCATTCCTTTTCCTCCGAAATTTTTGTTCGCTTTTTTTTTTTCTTTACAAAAATGACCTTTGCCACGCGAACTCGTCGCGGGGTTCTTTTTCTTGTTCTGTTAGTTGCAAGAATATTGAGACTGGCTGCTGCTTGCGCACTTGTCACGGTCACATTGCTCATATGCGGGCTTGCTAGTGCCGTTTCACCATGCCGACCTTACAAGTATGTTTATAAGTGTGATTTATGACGGGGTTAGACTTATCTACGGCCTTTGTCCTGAAGGATGACGGACACCGCGACAAGTGCGACCAAGGCTTCATTGAACTATGGCGTCGACTGCAGTTGGACTCGGTGTGTAGCGGAGCATTCACTGTCGCGCGAGTCGAAACGTTGCGACACCAGTGTGAAAATAGGGAGTTTTAGAGTAGCGCACACTAAAGCTTTGCATATGCATAGAACAGTGTCATTGCCACTGCACATGCGCTGAACTCTAACCACGTTTCGCGCTCTGTGTGCGCTTTTTTTCAGAAATTGCGTGCGTACACAAAGTGTCTTTGCGCCCCTCCTAGGAGGATTCGTGATGAGAAGTTGGCTAAAACCAACATGAGCACAGTTAATAAATGGCGCCTCCCAGGGCCATAGCTGCAGCAGCTTTGACGGCGGCGTGAGTGTGACGTCGGCGGCATCCGCGCGACTGCGATTTTCAATACGGGACAACGTTGCATTCGGCTTGAAAACCCCAGTAAAGTGGACAACAATCACCGGCAACTTGATACTTGCGACATGCAAGCGTTTCTCGGCGAAATACGGTGTGCGAAGGTCGGTACACGAGAGCTCTCTTGCTGAGGCGATGCAAGCGGACACGACCGGTCGAGTGCTTGCACCGCATTCTCATGTTTAAACAAATCTAGCGTGCGCAAAAATTGCGTACGTTGTTCTAATACTTTCTAATGGCCCTTAAACACTTCCAATTGTGAACTATATACAGTCAAACCCATTTATGACGAACAGCAGGAAATGCTACGATCAGTTCGATATAGCAAGTAGTTTGATGTAGCAAAAACCATTTACAATGAACTTCCACAATGCGTTTGTTGTGAGCTTCACTTTCTTTCTCATCTCTTCAACCTTGTAACAAAGCGCTAAGTTTTTTTTAAATTTTTTTTGCATGCGTGCAGTTTTTTTAGCTTATCTTCCTTTCTGAATCAATTCTCTTCGTAAGCAACCGCTTTGGTATGAAGTTTTTTTTTTTTCTGCGCGTGCGTGCAGTGTTTTTTTTAGCTTTTTCTCCTTCTGAATCGCTTCTCTTTGTCAATTTTGTTCGCGGCTTGAACTTTTGAAATTTTCTTTCTTTCCTACTTTTTTCTTAGGGGGAAGGGACAGGCTATACTTCGTTTCAGCTTCCGTCCGAGCGCAGCCAAAGCTGCGTGTGGCCGGAGCCAATCAGGCGCCGGCAATAGGTCACGCGATCTCGCCTGCACCTTTGTATCACTCCGCTGCGCCGCTGGTCGTCTGCGCCGCCCGCGCTCGCCGAGTATTTCGTCTGCTACGGGTGGTATCGTCTGCTACAGGTTTAAAAAATGCCCTTTCACGTTCTGAAATTTAAGTCACAAGGGACGTCAGTGCGTAGGCTGGCCGCTGCCGTCTGTGTCCGAGCTTTCCACCTGTTCGGCATGGTTTCGAGATGTAATTACAGGCTGCAAGGTGCCCGATGACCCGGTTGTTGGTCTTTCCTTGTATTGTCTGGATATACCAGGGCTCGAGGCGCAGTCCTTTTCACTTCACCAGCTTCTCGGCGTTCAATGTGATCGGCAGGTGAAGGGGTGCCCTGAGTTCGCCGCGTATCAGTCAATTGTAGTGGCCCGGACGCTTTTCTTGTTTACAACGCATTCGCGGTACGATGCGGCCGGAGTCTCTTGCCGAATTTGAAAGCAGACATTCATCACGACCTTTCGCGCCTGACGCCCAATTGTGCCTTTGCGAAAGGACGTCTTAAAGCGACTCGGTGAGGAAAGCAGCGAAGCACATTATTCGACCATTACGGGAACGAAAGCACACGGAAAAACTGAGCGCTGCAGCTGCAGCCGTGTTGCCAGCAGATGTACGTGCTTTCACCAAACCACATGCATTTACATATATTAATACAACCATAAACTTCAGATATTTAATTCCTTTAGTTGCAAATAATTCTTAGCAGTAGATATCTGGAATATTGTGCAATGTTTACGCACAAACCAGTCATTTAGATAAAAAAAGAAGCTTTTGCGGACTACTTTGTGGTGCGTACGAATGCTCTTCTCGAAGTTGCAAACCGTCCCTCAACCTTCGGCTGCGCTCGTACGGAAGCTGAAACGAAGTATAGAAGACGATTGTTTGTGTGTTTTTAAAAGCCTTTCCGGGGGGAAAAGGTTTGATATAGCCAATATGTTGTTCGCTATAAAAAGTACTTTTTACTTGCATTTTTATTTAAATTTTCCGGGAGTTCGATATTGACAATAATTCGCTGTACGTGGGTTCGTTTAAACGGGTTTTACTGTACTCGTCATTTTGAGGAAAAAGAAAAAGCAAGTTTTGTGCATTGTTTATACGCTGCACATAATAGTTGTTACACAATTAGGTTGTGGGAGGGTGGGGCAACGCTTTTGGCATTTGAAACATGTACCTCCCGTATTAATTCTCCACGTAAAGGGGGAAGTACCGTATTTATTCGAATATAAGGCGGTCACGATTATAAGGCGAGGGGGCAGTTGAAGGACCCAAGAAAAAGAAAAAAAAATTGTCATATTGCTATACTGAGCTTCAAATATAAGGCGGGGTATGACTTTGAGACTACGGATTTTGGAAAAAAACCTCGCCTTATATTTGAATAAATACGGTAAGTAAAGCTCTGCAAAAGGCAATTTCTGTATTTTTTTTTACAGTTTTTGAGGTAAACATGAGCGTAGATGGCAGGTTTCGCAGTATTTTCGAAATCAAATTTAAGCACTCTTCGGACGTAATTTGCTCTTGTGGTTAAAGAATGAAGGCCCGAGTTCTTGCGACCTCTTAATACGAGAGAATGCGCCGCTGGCGCCGTCTATGAGGTGGCCCTGGAACTGCATTTCACCGGGGCGAAGGTGGTACAGTACTGGCGAGATCGGACGCACCCACCATCTTCGAGAAATTGTCGATAATAACACTGTGTCTTTTAAGCAAAGAAAGAATGAATGATGCGTAAAAATTTTGGAAATTTGCACGGATTGAGTTTGTGGTCAACCCCCAAAAAAGGGAGGGGAATTGAGCGAAATCCCACAAAAGAATGCGTGCACGGTTGTTCCACAGGACGAAGTTCTCCGACGGCTGGCCAGGATGGTGGCGGAGGAGCTGTCCGCACACCAGCCGCACGGGAGGGCGACCCTTCGCGACGTCGGCACCCAGACGGTCGAAGAGTATGTCTCACTCCTGGCGCGAGCGGAGGGCGCGGAGGCGCCTCTAGTCAACAGCAGCACGCAGACGCTGTCCACGGGCGGAATCAAGTCCGAGGAGCTGTTCATCAACTGACCCGGTCGCGATCCGGTAGCGGCGACATCGCGTCGTCCGCACGATCCGGCGTTGTCTACACAGTCGGCATCCACTAGTTACTCTTGATCACGTGCGCCGACGTCTGTTGTCAAAGTGCCTCACGCTTCTTGTTTACGAAAGAAGAGGAGGGGCGTCTAAAACTTGAACGAGATACAAAAGTGGGGTAGGGGGAAAAAAAAGGTTGAAGTTTTACGTCGGAGAAGATTAACGGGAGTATGTTGCGTCGTCTGCCAAGTCCGCCTCAAGTTGTTACTTTTTTATTGCATGCTCCAATACTCTTTCAACTGCACAGGCTCAGGATAATTGGGGAGGGGGGAAGGTCACAATATCTGCAGAATCGGCCTCCACTCGGTAACTTCTGCGCTCAATTGTGCATTTCTACAATCATCATGGTCTCAGTGGATGACGGAGAAAGTCAAAGGAGTCACAGCCGTGGAACGTTAGAGGAAAGGTCTTAGCCTCCAGTTGGTATTAGGCCCATGTTGAAGACATTCCAAATGTTGTGTGTGGTTGTTTTTTTTAATGCTTATGGTATGCAGTTCTGTTGAGAGTGCCAATGTCATGTTTTTTTTTCTCGCTCACTTGAAAGATGCGCTGAGGTTCCGAATGAAAGTACGTCGTGTGCTCTGATTTCTTTACGTGTTGCCAAGGGGAAGGGTCCAAAGCAGTTGCGAGGAATTTAGTGTTTTTGAGAGTTTCGAGGAGCGGCCCTTAAATTCGTCAACCGGATCTATCAAACCTGCCGTATATTAAAGTTCAACTCTGCAATGTCAGAACTTCAAACGAGAAAAAAGAAAAAAAGATTTAACACTTACGATTATTTTGGGCAATCCAAGAACTACCTGTATAGTATTTCTCTTTCGGCAAAGAGGTAGTCAACTGATATGCAACATCTTACTGCAATATATACTTTTCTATACAATTGGTAGTTGCGCGTGCGCACAACTACGGATTGGCATTGCTTGGACAAGGTGGGCCAAGTGAAAAGTGTGTGCCGGGCTTGTGATAGGCAGTGTATGCCACTCATTTAAGGATCTACATATAGTTAGCAAATAGTAGCGTAAAAAATCTGTGCTGCCAGTGGAGAAAAAAAAAAAAAAAAGTGGCGGCGTTGGTTTTTGTTATTTTAGCTCAAAGTTTGACCGTTCGAGCTTTCCAATACTCTCTCATTTTGGGGATCAAAACAAACTTGGGAGCAATGAAGCAGAGGAATGTTGAAAGAAACCGGCGAGGAATTCAATCGAATCCATCCTCTTGTTCGTTTCGGTTTTTGCCTGAATGTCATAAGTGGACCCTCATCTACCAAAGCTGCCGCAGATGGATTCTAGTATTCTCTTATTGAACGACTTGAGAGCAATAAAATGATAATTTCTTCCTATTGCAGTGCCTTGGCGAGATCTACCCTTTTATCCCCAAAGTTATTTCCACACATTGCCATTCTCAGTTATTTGCTTTGTAGCACTTTAATCCAAAGTGAAAACCAAATCTTGTAAAGCTCGCTCGTGGCACAAGTGCTACGGTCTCTCGCGACATAGGATTGGCAGCAGATGCTCCATTTCCAGCATACGCTGGCTGTCTGGAAGCGGAACATCTACTGCTGGTAATATGTTGCAACAGATGAAAGGTAGGATTCCGTGTTTTCATAGTTTATTTATCTCTAAATTCGAGAGGTGTTTTTCAGGGGTCATTTCTTGCCGAAAATTTAGTGTTTATCACAGCTCATTTTTCTTCGGTTCCCGATTCTCCGATATTCAAAGCCCAATTTTGCGGAATTTTTTTATTTAAAACAAGAAATATCTCGTTGCAAACGTGTGCTAGCTTCACAAGAACGAGCTTGTATCAATTAACATTTCTTCAATTGGATTCGTCGTTGGCAATACTAATTTGTTCCACAACAAAAGTTGCAAACAAGTTTCTCTTCGATAAACATCAAAACCTTAAAATCAATACACTCCTTGTAGTCACTAGGAGGCCCTACCCATCCCAACCTATACATCAACCAACCCTGTGGCTCTGGGCAGTAGAGTGGGAAAGGGTGTAATACAGAGGCTTCAACTGCCCGCACCCTCTTCCCCCTCGTATGAAATCTCTATGGTTCACGACTTTCACCGTTACAAATACACAACCCCCGCTTCCTCCAAGAAGTGCAATGGCCCAAACTGGAAACCGGAACGGTGGCTTTTGTCGTTGCCCAAAAGACCTGGTCCGGCTGGCTAGAAACACGGCGTCTCAGCTGAGGCTTTGGCAAAGAAAGCACTGGCAAAGCCAGCGCACGAGCTGAGCGGGACTCTAGCCGCATCTCAAGACTCTCGCGCGCCGCAGCCTTTGCAGTGCTTTCTTTCGCCCAGTCTCGGCTAAGACGCTGTTCTAGCAAGCCGGCCCTATTGTCCTGATAAACCTTGACGAGGTAAGCGTTAAGATTCCTTTTGTCAACGATTCGAAACGAGACTAGGGTGGCATTTTTTTGGAGTCCATTGACCCTGCGTGCTGACCAAACATAATTGTAAGATACTTCCTTTTTTTCCCCCTTTATGTTGGTTTATTGAAACCCCGAGTTTCCTGCATAAGTCCAAATTGACAAAAAGTTTATCAACAGGTGTTTTTCGGAGTTTTTAATATTTATCCGAAAACACGGAACCCTAATTATAGGATAATTTGCAAGCTACGCAGCCCACTCCAAAAAGTTTCCACGAGAAAGGTAATGCAGCATAGACATCTCGAATTTTTATAGAAAGTGTAAACTACTTGGAGTGAAAAATAAAAATCAATACGATTTAAATCTGACCAGTTTTACTACTACTTTTTAAATCGAATTTTTTCCGCAAGAATGATTCCGTAGATATTTGCTGTTTACCAACTGTCCATCATTTGACGATTTTTGTGTGCATTTCTTTTGTATTCGAATCAAAGAATCGTCAAGCAAGAAAGACGAGCCTGAATGCGAGCATAAAGAAGTGCTCTTCTGAACAAATCGGAGTGTCGAGCTTGACATCTACCTTCCACTTCAATCATCAGCTACGCAACATCCTACTATAATAAAATAGAAACGTAAAGGAAACAAACATGAGAAAAGTAATGTCCCATTAAAACGAGTCAGAACTTGGAAAAAAATTGAATAAAAATTATAACTAAAAATCCAGTTTTGTTCCAGCATGGCAGAGATTAAAGCGATAAAAATTTACACTACTTTTACAGTGATTCTTTCGCACTGTGATTGGTGTTTGGGTGAATCGCCGGTTTTTTGTTTTTCTCTGTGTTGAAGGACCGTCATCAAAACTGCTATAGTGGTGGAAAGTGGTCAGCTTGGGTACTAAACAAGTAAAATTTGGAAAGGTGCCGTGCCCAAATCATGTCCATGCTAAGTGTTGCGCGGTGTACACCCCTGTAGAATGCCCTGCTCGACATGCGCCAAGTGATTCAGCATTTCATCTCCATCATTTTAAAATTTTAACTGTTTTTTTAGAAATATTGCTTTAACCTCCCTCCACTTGGTGCTTTTGTAGTGCTTGAAATGAAACAAAATAAGCTTTTGGAGCACCAGCCAACAAACTTGAAGTTATGTAGCTTCTAGCTGGCTAACTGTGCAGTGGCAGAAGTGGTTCTATACAAAAACATTGGAACACATTCACCACCTGCAAATGCAATTGTAGCAAGTTGTTATGCCAGATGCTTAACTTGGACAGTATGTCGGGTGTCCAACTAATGTGCATCGGTCATCATTTGAAAGGTTGTCACTCGTACTTTACAGGGTAAACAGGCAACTCGAAACCACATATTAATCAGCAACCATCTCTCGCACCCCCAAAAGACGTCCAGTGGCTCCGTTTCGGCAGGTTTTTTGAAGCTTGATGGCAAAACTTCTGGGACGATGAAGCCCTACAGCAATCCCGAAATCGGGGATTATCGAGATCCTTCTGCTGTGCTATAAAGAGGGGATCGGTCGTTTGATGGGAGTATTAAAATATCTCCACCAGATCTCTCGCTAATTTGTCCCTCAGCTAATCACCTGGAGAACTGGTCATAAACTTTTTCACGAATGTTGCAAGAATAATGGTGGTGGGGGTTGTCTCCCTCATATATCCGGAATTTTGCGGAAACGTAAATTACCAACAGCGCCTCCTTTGGGCGATTTCAATAAGTGTCTACAGGCCATTCCAATAAAGAGCTGGCAGGTACCATCTTCAGAGTTTGCAATGTGTGGCGCACACTTGGCTTGCTTTCCAGAGTGAGGAGCCGTGGACTCAAGTACACTAGACCAGTGTGCGCTTTGTCTTGTCTCTAGACTGCAGTAAAGGCTACAAGACCTTGGCTGCACAAACATACAGTAGGCTCAACTCTGATGTTTCATACTTCTGGTTAATTCAAACAAATCTCAAAAGTTTGGTTGTCCCGCTAAGTTTTCAATGTATTTATAAGCCGCTTAATTCAAATGGCGTTTTCGAGCAGTTCATACTTTTTGTTCTTTCGGCCCCGTTGAGCGCGCTTCTTACCGAGCACCGGCACACTGCGGTAAAGCCACCCCTACAAAGCTCGCCTCGCAAGTGTTGTTTCTCCGCAGTGCACCGGGGCTCAGTAAGAAGCGCGCTCAACGGGGCCAACGGTCCACAAACTTAATTTTGTTTTGAGGTGTCATGCTGCCTTAACCAATCCATGATAGACAACATATTTGTCTATTTTAAAAATCTCGTACATTTCAATAATGTTTCATGTGTGGCCTACCTGCTTATGATTAGTAGGCCCGTGTAGAGGAAATCATCGAATATCTGCTTGTATGTGTAGCCATCCGCATAACATATCAATTTTATCTTGCATCATATTTAGATAAATTCCTGATGATTCAAACAAAACTCCTGGCTTCCTGGAGTTTGGATTAATGAGCCTACTGTGCATGAGGTGTGGGAACAGCTACCAAGGTTACCCATCCGAACTTGTAGCCCTCGATGGAGTTTGTGTTAAAGGTTGGTGTACCATATGCTAGCGGGAGGATCACTGCGTGCACGCGAAGAGACAAAAGGAGCGCGCGCTTAAAAATAAAGAAGTTGTTCTTGCTGCTGGCACTGATCGTGAACGCACAATCATTACATGGTGTCAGAAGTGGGATCTTCCTTCCTCCAATCGCGACTGGATTGTCACCACACGCATCGAGGGAACCGTGGTGAAAATCAAGGTCGACACGGGAGCGCAGGCAAACTTATTGCCCAGAGCGTTGTTTGAGAAGCTCAGGACGAAGCAGAAACCCCGTCCAACCAGAAGCATTCTTCGCCACTACGGGGGCGGCGAAATTCAACACAGCGGAAAGGCTCGTCTGTTGGTGCAGCTCGACAAGCGACCAGTGCAGCTCGATTTCTTTGTGGTGAAAAGGAACCAAGCTATCCTAGGTCTTCGTGCATGCGAGCAACTGGGCCTCGTGAACCGAGTAAGGCAGTGGAGAACAAGGCCTCCAACCCCAGCATAGAGTCGGAATTCCCGGGGCTGTTCTCCGGTATTGGCAAGACACGACGGGAGTACAAGATGGTACTCCGAGATGACGCCGTACCAGTGGTCCAGCCCGCCAGACGAGTGCCGCACGCACTTAGGGAACCCCTCAAGAAAGAACTGGAACGCACGGAGGCCGCAGGCATTATTGCAAAGGTTAAGAAACCCTCCGACTGGGTGAGTCCCTTAGTCATCGTACGGAAAAAAAATGGCAAATTAAGAATCTGCATGGACCCTCGAAACGTGAATCGGGCACTGAAAAGAGAACATTTTCAGCTCCCACGGCGCGAGGAAATCGAGAGCGAGCTAGCGCGTGCCAAGTATTTCAGTCGCCTTGACGCCAACAGTGGATTTCATCAGATTCCGCTTGATGAACAGACCTCGGAGATTTGCACGTTCAGCAGTCCGTTTGGTCGTTACAGATATCTAAGGCTACCCTTCGGAATCGCTTCAGCTCCGGAAGTATTCCAAAGCACAATGAGCCAGATATTCGACGAACTCCCTGGTGTGCGTGTGTACATAGATGATGTACTGGTGTGGGGCGCCACACGAGAAGAACATGACAAAAGGCTTCGCCAGGCGTTGGCAACAGCACAAGCTGAGGGACTGACGCTGAATGCGGACAAATGCACCTTTGGCCAAAAAGAAATAAACTTTCTTGGCGACAGAATCAGTTCCAACGGAATTGAACCGCACCCGGACTTGATAAGCTGCGTTGTACGGCACCCTACTCCAACGACAAAAAAGGAAGTTCAACGCCTCCTTGGTGCAGTGAACTACTTCGGGAAATATTTACCACACCTGTCGTCTCAAACGGAGGCCCTACGCAGTCTAGTTAGGAACGACACCATTTTTGAATGGACCAGCGTACATGATCGTCAGTGGGAGCACCTAAAAAAAAATGCTGACGCAAACCCCAGTTCTAGCAATCTACGATCCCGAGTTGCCCAGCAAGTTGTCAACTGATGCGTCCGCATTTGCTCTAGGGGCTGCGTTGCTTCAGCAGCATGGAATGGACTGGCGTGCGGTAGGCTACGCGTCTCGGGTGCTCACCGATACTGAACGCCGGTATGCTCAGATTGAAAAAGAGGCCTTGGGCATAGCCTTCGGTTGCGAAAAGGTTAACGACTACGTACTGGGAAAACATATCGCCATCGAAACAGACCATCATCCGCTGTTGGCCATTTCAAAAAAAGAAATAGGAGACATGCCTCCTCGTCTCCAACGACTATTTTTATGACTACTGAAGTATGATTTCGAGTTGCAGTTTGTCCCAGGTAATAAGTTGGTGGTTGCCGACACTTTATCGAGGATTCCATCAGATCCATCTCAGGGAGAGGCCACGATGGATGTAGAAGTGCATGCGGTGGGCGTCCTCTCTGAGGTAGTGGGCCAAGGCACACTAGCTCGCCTACAGGAGGCGACAGTCAGCGATCTCGCTCTCCAGCGAGTCCTCACCTGCCTCCAATCATCAAAACCTGTGGAAGGTGAGCTGAAGCGGTTTACACCAGAACTTTCGGTGGTTAGCGGAGTACTGCTAAAAGGAAAGAAAGCAGTCATTCCGACAGCTATGCGAAGAGAGATGCTGAAACGACTACATCAAGGCCATCTGGGGCTGGGTAAATGCCTGTCCAAGGCCCGAAGATTGATGTATTGGCCAGCAATGACCGCCGATATTACCGCTTTCATCGACAGATGTGAAACTTGCAAGAAGTTTGCCTACAGACAGCCAGACGAGCCTCTCTCGATCCGCACCGTTCCCAACCATCCCTGGTCCAGGGTAGCTGCGGATCTCTTCCAACACTCCGGTAAACACTACTTGGCTGTATACGACGCCTATTCAAATTTTCCCGAAGTGGAACACCTTCGAGAAACCACAGCAAGGGTGGTCATTGACAAGTTAGCTCAAATATTTGCCCGCTATGGTTTACCTCTTGAAGTTTGCACGGATGGGGGCCCACAATTTTCCTCGAAAGAATTCAAGGATTTTGCTGCGCGTTATGATTTTCGGCATACTGCTTCAAGTCCAATATTTCCAAGGTCCAACGGTCTGGCTGAAAAAGGTGTACAAGTTGTAAAGCGTATACTACGAAAAACGGAGAGTGCCAAAGAAGACTTTTGGTTGGGCCTCCTAAACTACCGGGCAGCTCCCCTTGAAGATGGCCGCTCACCCGCAGAACTACTGATGGGTCGAGAACTACGAACCCTACTTCCCGACTTCACCGCGTCTCCCGCATCTCCGGTCAAAAAGCACGTCCAGAACGAGACGAAAGGAAGACAGCTAGCTCCTCTTCAGCAGGGAGACATCGTGCGAATCCTTAACAACGGGCGATGGGAGCGTAAAGCACAAGTGCAAGGCTTGGTGGCCCCAAGGTCATACACGGTGCTTACCGAGGACGGCCGGATCCTCCGCCGTAACCGACATCATCTTCGAAAAACACCGGAAGGTTTCTTCATCTCCATCAACGACAGCGACTCAGAGGACGACAACGGCGATTGCTTGCCACCATCAAGAGATGGATCACAGCCTCCCTCACCACCAGAGCCTCCTCGAAACCAGGTGTCGCCTCACCCACCGACCTTACCCGCTCTTGAGCAGGCGTCATCAGGAGCAGGACCTCAGTTCAAGAGACCTAGAAGGCTACCACAACGCCTGGGCTACATAAAAGGCTTCCAACAGGCAGAACTAATCTAAACGAGTACAGCCCGCTTCACGCGCTGCTTGTGGTTGTTGTGTACATCTTTGTTCCCTCAAAGAAAGGAGGATGTACCATATGCTAGCGGGAGGATCACTGCGTGCACGCGAAGAGACAAAAGGAGCGCACGCTTAAAAATAAAGAAGTTGTTCTTGCTGCTGGCACTGATCGTGAACGCACAATCATTACAGTTGGTTCACACATTTGTGTAGAGTCCATCGAGTGTGTTGCGTTAGCTTGTAATCGCCGATCACGCTGGTGCAATCCATCTCGGAGTCCTGAAACACTTCCGACATGTGTATAACTAGAATTGAGGCTTTTCAGTAGTTACAAGCTAAAACCTATGCACTACCTATGAGAAATACACACTTTGCACAAGAGTAGGCAGATTGAACAAACTCGCCAATCCACGCAAAGAATGCTCCAGGCAGCTTGAGAGCCGAGCAGCAAGGAATCCCAACACTCTTAGCAAAAAATGAATATAGCTTTATTTTATAATTTCATATATACTATGGTGTCTTTTCTCTTTACACTCCAGAACTAAAAAAAAATATACTCGAAAAGAGACAGCAAACCGACGAGAGGAGCGGGGTAGATACACGCCCTAGGCAACACGCTGGCACTACTCGACGAAAAAGCTCTGCGTCAAAACCGCGTTCCTGCCGGGGGGTGCTTCCCTGCGGCGCACTCGGGGCAACCTGCTTTGCAACTCCACGCTGACTGCAAGCCTACAAGACCAGGTCCTCCCAGAAACGGGGAGATGGCAGTGGCCACAACGCAAAACACACGACGCTTTCAACGCGCTCTCCCGTCAAGAGAACGCCCTGCGCATCTCTAAAACGCGTCTGCGGGTTTCCTCTAGCCTTCAGTGTCCCTCCATAGTTAGTCAAAACATTTGCAGCAAGCAAACAAAAAAGATAAACCGGCTTTTGACTGCATTTTTGTGGCGGATACCCGAGAATGCCAACTTGGAATCGACGAAATTATGTCATTCTGGAGCTTCCAATCATTATCAAGACGTTGCCGTCTTTGCCCCGCCCGTTTACTCGTCGCCGCAATCGACCCGAGCGAAAACGAGACTAAATTCGAACCCGCGAATAACGAAAGTCTGAAGCAGCGACGCCAACGTTCACTGCCAATCCATCAGTCTTTTGGGTAAATATTGCTTCGAAAACGAGCCTCGTAAAGCCATCAGACTGGCTACGAGAAGGCTCGTCCGTTTGGGGGCACATTCTTTTCACCGAGCTAGCTGGCGACGACCACAAAAAAGAACGACAACGAGCGCTTGGCGCACGACAAAACGAGACCGCCTTTTTTTTTTCCCCCACTTTGCACAAGCACAGTACCGCTTTCTAAACACCGCCTAAGCCGTGGAAGGAGAAACGTCTAGAACGGGGGAGACTCGAGTGCTGGGGACGGGGAAAAGTCTGAAACGCCAGACACTGAAAACACAAACTAGTGTCTGGGCGAAATTCGGGAGCACCAGTATTCTTTCGTCCGTCGTCTCGCAGACTTCGGACATCCGCGCTAAACATCCAGAAACACCGATACGCGTCGTCGCACTCTGATCCGCCTACCGCTACAGAATCGTGCAACGGCTCGCGTTCGATGGCCGTCACGCTAACCCAGCCGCGGTGTCACGTCCTCACTACATCCAACCTTGTGCCAACATGACACTAGATTTTTTAAGCCGAAGCAATCTGCGCAACCTTACGTCTCGTTTACCCTAAAGCTCTTACTAGTGGACTCTTCCCTTCCTGACAGACGCCTCGAACGAATTAGGACTTAACGTCCGTCCCCCGCCCTCCCCCCAACACATTGGCATTTGCAGCAATCTATCACAGTTTTTAATGCTCACCAGCATAAAGTTGTCTCAATATCTTTACCACGTCCCAGCAGCAAAATGTTGCACGTCGCAACGACGAGCCCAGTTGTTTCGTTTCTGCCGATCTGCGCGTCGGCAAAGTGCACACAGAACACACTGCGGCTTGCAGATGACGCAAACGGCAAGAAGCGGAAAGGAACGCAAAGAGAAAGTACTGCCATTTGCGCATGATTCATGATGTGCGTGTTCAATAAGTTAAAAAAAGAAATCTTCGCAATGTTTTCTTCCCCCCCCTCCCAAACGTGCTCGTCCTCTTCGCCTCGACAGAAGCCACAAAAATACTCTTTTTAGCTAGTTGCGGCCAAAGCCCAGAGTCGTGGTGCGTCGGGACCTGGCAACGTTGGGCACTATATCCGCAAAATGTTTCCAGCCTGCCCGTAACACTTCCATCGGAGCACGATTGCTCAACACTTTCAATGCGCCGCCAACTGAAACTAATTTGAAACCACTTCCAAGCGTCTATCAGTTACATACATCACTGCAACTGCGCACAAATGTGGAGACATGACGAAATTGGCTCTCACAAAGAAGGTGCAAGGGGAGAAGATTTTGTCCTCTCAAAGGCACAATGTCGTGGTCTCCGGGATCGTTAAATTTTGTGGGTGGCAATTTCGAAGGTGGTGACCACGATCAATACAGTGATTATCCTCGCATGAGGGAGATCGACCTATAGGTCTGCGCAATTCCGTTTTTGATTTCTCTCAAAGAAACAACAGCGACGAAACAGGAGCGCGGGCATCAAACAAAAGGGCGCTGCACCTCGCAGAGTAGAAATAAAACTAAAATGCTTAACGCTTTCAGTTTGACAATCTGGCATTTACCAACTCGCAAATCTGGCCGGACGTTTCGTATGACAGTTCCATAACGAAGTGGAAAAAAAAGTAAGACAAATGGGGAAATCATGGCTCTGGAAGCCTAAGGCATCGTTAAATGGTTACCGGAAAGGAATATCCTGGAGGCTTCAATATAGCCGTAGAATTTCCAACAGAATGAAAAGATAAATCGTGAGTCAACTCTCCAAAACCGAGGCCTCGATCCATGCTTTCGAAACCAAACGAGCGGTCCTCGTGTCATCGACGTCGAAATCAATGCATGTTTTGTCAACGGGACCGAAGGACGCCCACGCTAAAAGCTGTAATTAAAATAAGCAAGCCCCTGCGCCCCGGATGCTTCAAGCTACATCTTCTCTCCGCCGACACAACCAAAAGATAAAGGGGGGCAAAAGTATGTGCTCCACGGCTGCCCTTCCACTATCTTTGTGGAAGCCTCGTTAAAAACATGCAATGTACAGATGGGCGCATGCAAGATTTTTCTCTCTCTTTGCACGGTTACTAACACCGACGCACGCGTGCGTTCACAAATTCATGCACACACACACGCACACAAATCAATAAATGTGCCCGGGGAAAAGGGAGGTCTCCGAACAAAAAGTGGGGTTACAGTGCACACGATGAAACGTCGGATGGATGACGAAACCACGACGTGCGCGCAAGCCCCGCCTCCTCACGAGCTCTCCCGCGGCATGCACTGCCGGCAGGGTCGAGAGGGGGGGGCGAGTGATGATTATCTTTTTTTCCCCTTGCGAAGATTGGCGAAAAAAAAAAAAAAACGATAAAATGATGTGCTGCACGCTTCCCCTGTTCTTAGAGTTCCATGTCTTTCGTCTCGTCGTCCGAGAAGTCACTCATGGAGCTCTCGCTGCTCGACGACTCGTTGTCCTGCTCCCGCAGCGCCTCTTCCGTCGCATACTTTTTGACGTACTCTGCACAAACGGGAGAGGTGGAAGAGAACAATGCTGAAGGAGAAGAGTTCTTTTCGGGGTGCAGCTCGGCCATTATAAAGCCGTCCAAACTGTGCACAACTTGTCCACACAAAGGCCACCACATCTAAATGCGAAAGCATTAACTGCCCCATGGAGTAAAACCGGAGTTGTGTGTGGCAGCGAAAAACGGCACATAAATTGCCATTGGCTGAGCGAAACAACACTTAAATTTCAATTGGCTGCGACGCGTCGTGTGGCTCTATAGCAACAGCGTCATTGTTGCTAAGGAGCCAGCTGAACTGCTGGCAGCACAGCGGGAGGGGGGGCGGTGACCTGACGTTGGGCCTAACATTAGGCCTATAGTTAGGCTTTGAGGTTTAACGCTGTCAACCGGTACCCGCAGCTAGGGCGATGATGATGATCAGAAGACATGTGATTTCAGCACGCGCTGCGCCAAGCTTCGCCCTCCCGCCGCTGCCTCTCCTAGTGGCGCAGCAGTCACCAGCGAGCCTGAGCGGTCTGCTCAGGGCACCGTCGCTCTCCCTGCCGGCACTGCAGCCGCTTCAGCTCCTCTCAGCGCCAAGGAACATGGCGGCGCCTGAGGCGTCTATATCGACGGCGGCTGCAACCTCGGCAGTAGTGAAACGTGGCCGTCCATGCCAGTACACCGCAGACGAACGACGATGGAGTGGAGGAACGACATTAATGCCTTTTGCATTCACAACTCGTGAGAGGTGCTTAGGTGTCCTCGGAATTTATATTTTTGGAAATGTCCTGTATTCTTCCCGGCAAGTATTCAGTGAGAATAATGGAGGGTGCGAGATTTGAGTGAGGGAGTAAGATTTGAGTGCGGTTGCGAGTTATAAGCGAGATGGCGAGTTTTGAGCGAGGGTGCAAGTTTTGAGCGAGGGTGCGAGTTTTGGGAGGGGGCCAAGTTTTAAGGGAACACTGACAGTGCCTTTATACTTGCTGAGGTTTTATTTGAACATGACCTATAAGAGTTCAACTACCCGGAACACAATTTGTGGCTCGGAATTTGTTTTTCTTTCGCCCAAAACAGCTGGTTGATAATTGGCCGGTTTCAGTCGCACTCTCTCTTTCCCATGGTCAAGTAACATTCAAACTAAAGTGAGTTCAACATAAAATGCCAACCTCTGCCAACAACGCCAGTCCTACAGAGCAGCATGCCTTCAGCGGCGTTACTCATTGAGAGACCCAGACGTTCCCCTCACCGAGCACCCCGAAACGATGCCAGAGCCCCCTTGCGCACACAAACGGCAGAGCCCACCTTGCACCTTCTTCTTGTACTCCTCCGGCTTGTGCAGGTACATGGCGGCTGCGTCCCCGTTGAGAGGGTCGATGGGGTTGGGGTATGTCAGCAGCTGGGGCAAGAATGACTCAAAGATGTTCGACAGATCTGGGGAGGCAGAGGGGGCCCCACAGTCACCACAATGGCACTGTTGCCAGAAGCAACTGCGCTCGACTCGTAGCACACTTCGTGCAAGGACCAGCCTGGGATACGCGAGACCTCGACACTCTTATCCGAAGTGTGCAGAACACTGGTGAACAAGACTGGTCACCATGAAGACTGCGATTACAACTATGGTCGATGAGGGATTAACAATCCAGTAGATGGTCCGTCTCCAGTATGCGCTCCTTGCCTTCTCAAAGGTTGCGCTTAAAGGGGCGGTGCAACGATTTACGGACTTCGGTCAAAGGTTTCTAGAAGTTGTCCTCTGTCACTTCTGAAGTAAAGAACAGAAAACCGATTTCGCCTGCGTGTCCTAGTTGTTGCGTAGAAAAAAGATAAAGATTGGCATTTCGGGCACCCCTCAACTCACTCCCAGTCTTCAGGGTCACACCTGGTCGCACTCCCAGTGACGTCATTCGGAGTGCCGTGTAGGTTCCCGTGTGCTATCTCGGAGGACGCTTCCCCTCCCTCTCTCTGCTGACATTAGCGGGCGCTATGCTGCAGCTTAGAGCCGAGCGAGGTCACGTAATCTTTCCGCCGCAGTTCCTTCGGCTGCCACTTGGGGCGGCAGGTGGGGGAAAAATCTCGACTTTTGCTTTGCGATTATGCAGCGGAATCGCGACATTTTTAATTAAGTGTTTTCTCTATCCTTTGGGACACGATAAACAACGTAAAAATGACGAGATGCAAATTCTTTTAATCATAAAATCGTTGCACCGCCCCTTTAAGGCAGAGCATCTACAGCCTGATTCACCTGTCAACGGCCATGGGCTTCCCCAGGCTAACTGCTTGATGCCATTTTGGTTTGGTCTTCGTTTGCCATGATTTCACTGTACAGTTTTCTTTTTCTCCCAACTTGCTACAACAATGTGCACTCCCCTGCGATGCTGCGACTTGAATGACGACGACAATGGGTACAACGAGCACTCTAAAAATGTACCGGGTATCACTCACCGTACAGCGCTGTCCATGCTTGGTTGATGACATCCAGACACACCGTACCAGACCTGGACCAAGAACGAAGCACAGATAATGACTACAGACATTTTGTACAGAGAAAAAATAAATGCTGTTGCAAACATGTGCTAAACCAGAAAATATGTAACCTGTATTATTAAGCCTTCATGTGTGCTTTGCTTAGGGCGACGACATCCGACCATTTCGTTCCCAACGCTTTCTTTTTTTGTTCTGAAGCGCGTCGCCCGACACGAGCTCTCGGCATTGACAGTGCTACGGCAGTACTTTGATTTATTTTTATTTTTTTCGAAAGTGTGCTGCCGGCATCGGGTACCACAAAGAATGACATCACCCTAAACAGAAGGACATTGCCGTACCTTAACCTGTATATGGAAGTCAACATTTTCTTTTTTCTATTTAAGAGCTCTGCAATACTACAGGGCATTGCACAAGTTTCAGGAGGTCAACACTATTGTCCACATTTTTAAGGACTATTCCATAACTTGAAGACAAACAGCACGAATGAATGGACATGAATAACAAACTCACACTTCGTCAATGTTGGGATGATAGATCTTGTTCATGAAACCTGAAAAGCGAGAAATTTCAAGATTGTAATCGGTCGATCGGCGAAAGAGCGTCGATTTTCGTTTTTTGTCCAGCACAGCGAAGCTTTGACTTGCATTTCGAATGAAGACTGTAGTAAAAATGTCCCTTGCCCCCAACAATAATGGCTTTATCCCCAAAAGGGATGCCAAGGGATACTTCGTTTTCAAAATGCTGTTCTTTGCTTAATAATCTGCTCAATTTTTTTCCCAAGGTTTAGACAGACATTTGTTTGCAAGTTCATGACATGAAAAGTAACGAAAACTAATAAAACTGGAACTTGTGGTGAAAATCAGATAAGAAAGTAAAAGACAGTGAGTTTGCAGGCGAGCTGGTGATAGCTAATTGTGTCATATAAGACGTCCCTTCCTGTGTCTGTTCCTTCTACTAAAAAGTTTTCAATTTCTTCCACCACAGTCTCAAGTATTATATGACAAGAAAGTAAAAGGCGCAAGGTGCAACGTTGAGATCGCAACAACTCACAATGTTGCAAATAGACAAAGCATGAAAAACCACGGAGGTGTCTCAGCTGTGTGTCAACATTATCATGATCTCCAAATTTATTTTAATGCAGAATGTTACAAGGCTCACTTCGACGAGTGCAACATTACGCAAATAGTCATAGAAAACCATACCACATGGACGCCTAACTCATGACCGAAGATTTAGCCAAGTTAAAAAATCTATCAATCATAGGGGGAGAAACATACGAGTCCTTCCACCACACATTTTGTCTCTTCCAACTTCAACCGTGTGATTAGGATACATTTCGTTTTTAAATTCGCTAAGAAATTTAAAATTATTAATAACAAAAAAAAAAAGAAAGGCAGTGCAGAAATCATTTCACTCAAAGCGACCTAACGGTTAAAGATTGCAGGTTTCATAAAAAAAACCTATAAACCCTCAAGTCACTCTACAACTTTCACTGAAAAATTTGTGGTCGTTACAATTTTTCCATCAATCAAAGCACTTGGGTACAAAACCCTGGCTACACCGATTGTCTACAAGCCATCACCGCCGCACGCGAGTATCTTGTTTTGAAATGCGCCAACGCGCAGAAAGGGAAGACTGTGCCGTCGCAGTAAGTTTGCTGCGCGACCATGGAGGAGGCAACTCGCACGAAACGCTCCGCCAACTCTTGCAAAACTCGCAAAATCTAAACTCGCAGCAAACACTCGCCTATGGACGGCGACTTGAAGGGGTACTTCTCGGGCAGGTCCACCCTGACCTTCCACACCCCACCTTCGTAGGGCGCTGCAACGAGAAGACGCCAGTTGACGGCGAGCCCTCCGCCCCCTTTCCAAACACACGTCTGCTCTTTCAGGCCGGGAACTTACTCGCTTTGGGACCGTAGAACTTGACGCAGAATTCGTTCAGGCCGCCCAAGATGGTGACTTCGTGCTTGCTCTCAATGCTGGATTGCGGCAGTCAAGGCGTACACCTTTTCGCGCGCGTCGTGACAAGGCATCATGGAAGCTGTCGCATCTAAAGGGATGCCAACACCCCCCAAATTTTTTTTTTTAGGCAATTTTAATGGTGTCAGAGGACTACCCAATCAATTTTGCTACAGCATCCTATATATTTTTAATATAGTCTAAAAATGCAACTGCTCGAAACAAACCGAAACTGGACTTGCAAGGAAGAAGAAATATAGAGGAGGAGAAAGATACCGGAAGTCATGTGGCTGTGCAACTTTTCTTTCTTTCTGATCAACATATTTGCAGCTTTTTAAAAGCCACAAAAAATAGGTATAACATTTATTTTCTATTTTTAATATTGTTTGTGTGCCTTTGATAATTCCCGACTTTGATTACCTTTGGTGGTTGTGTCTAAATTATAAAAAACGGCACAGGACCATGGAGAAGAAAGTGAGCACGACTCAAACCGAACAGTTCTCGTTTGGCGGCTTTCGGGCGGAAAGAAAACGAATATTGAGCTGCAAATTGTGTCTGGGTAGTTACGACTCTCATATGCCATGACCAAATAAAAAACTTGGCAAACATAAATACCTTGTCAGTGTCCCTTTGAAGAAACCGCGATCCAAGGTTATTCGAACAAGGTATCCTCAGACCAAAAATTATAAAGGCTGGTCCACACATTTGCGACCAAGCGTCGCCACGTGCATTTTTTCCGCCCACGACAGCCAGACGCTTCGGCCTTTTTGGGGCTTTCATGCATCATTCTTTCACCGTGCGTTCGCAAAAATTCCGACAGTGTTATACATGCCCATTTCTCGTAAATGGTCCATAAATTTTATATTGAAGATGCCGCAAAATCTTTCCAGTTCAGTCCTACGCGGATCGGACATGTTTCCAAACTGCCTGAAGGCTCCAGCGCATCCTCTCGTAAGCGGGCACAACACACTCGAAAGCAAATCTGTGAACGAGCCTCAAAAGTCAGACTCCCGCATACTGCGAGGGGGCTTGCCTTTTGTTAGACTACAACCATTACGATTTCTTTTTAGAATGCTCGTTCTTGAACAAATACTCATTTTCGAAAACGAGCATAGTTAGCCAGAACACAACAGGACTTCCGAAAACCTGTGGGAGTTTACTTGTCGTAACATTGCTTTCCTCCAAAACCGATACAGAGTATGTGGAGCGTTTTTTGCTTGCTTCTCAGCGAATCAGCTTCCAAGCATTTTTTTCCCCATCCTAAAACATCTCGTAATCAGTTGGGAACGTGACTTTCTCCCAAGTTTGTACCATTTCTGTCGTCACACTTCAGTGTTGCCAGTAGGGGCTCTAGGTTTGAGAAACACAATGAAAACAAAATTCGAAAATTCATTAACTTCACGAAATGCGTTTTTTTTTTTTTTTTACACAATACTTGAAGAACTGTACAGCCATGTCTATTAATGAATATGTTGAGCCAATATTAAGGCAAATCAGCAAGCAGTATTTGACCACCTTCGCGATTTGCCACGTCTCCCATTTAAAAGAATGTATATCTACTGCTGGTGCACAGCGAATTTTCCAATAAAAACTTTTGAAATCATCACTCATGCTGTAAACATTTTATAGAAAAAAAAATTCATTATTTGTTTCTGCCTCAGAAAATGTTATACTTTTTTTTTTTCCTTTTTGTGAGCATAGAATAATTTTTAGGTGATAATGGCTGAAGTAATTTATACTCTCAACCTCAATCAAATTAAACAAAATCTCTGAGGTGACTGGCTTGTTCAAGAGCTGTACAAGTCTTAAATTTGGAAGAGAAGCACCCAGTTCTCTCCTTCATCTTATTGGCTTTTACATAGTAAATGGTCTTGGAAGACAGTTACTGGCAGAGCTGAAGCCTCAAAATCACCATTCCCTACATGCTGTTGGAGAAGTGAAATGAACAATGGCATCATAAATTCTACCACAAGCAGATGACCAAGCTTAATGCTACTATCATTACTAGCCAAGAGATAAAAACATCGGAGGACAAACTGAAAAATCCCAAATCATTGTTATTGCCTCAGTGGACCGCGCGCTCGCCTCTTTTTAAACAGCGCCCACTTTTCGATAGAAGGCTATTCTCTAAACCGAGGTTCCGCTTCTAAACCGAGCTTTAACAAAACGTGCCCATCCCCTCAAACATGTTTTGATGAAATGGTGTTCGATCAACCTCAGTGAACCCATTAGCTACACACTTTGTAACGGGTGGTAGCTTGCACCACCTGGCCTAGAAACATTTACATGCCTCACCTATTGATTCTGCTCTAAATTCCGTTTGTCCTGAAACCACCTAGTAGTAGTAGTTAGTGGTGAGGGTAGCAAAAAGTTGGAACATGTTGGCCACTTTTTTGGTGGGGGCAAGTTAGTGAAACCATCTACCCTACCAATTTTGTGCATTATCACACTTCTCTAGACCTTCTCCCCCTATCTTCTAACCTTCTTTTTGCGACTGTAATCCTTTTCGTTCTTCCATCCTGCCAGCAAAACCCAGCAATCCCGCAAAATCAGTTACCTCTCCAGGGAGGGCATGACAAACCCCCACATACTTGGAAACCACATGTTCTGACATCTCACTGTCACCATGGCGTATGACATGTAATGTGTCTCCCTTGAAATTTAGCGCCATAGGTATTGTACACCAAAATTTACAAAGGATGTCCACTGACTGAAGGTAAATACAGGCTCTTGGAAAAGCAACGAGTTTGCTTTCAATCACCAAACAAACCGTGTCCCACACACACACACAAAAAAAAAAGAAAACAAAGTTTTCAGTTACAGTTGGTGGAAGGGGAGAGTAAAGTGGAAGCTTGTCCCACCTTTTTTCCACTTTTACAAAGCGAACGCTGGAAAGAAGACCTCCTCTCAAGCGTTCGCTCTGCCAAAGTGAAAAGAGGTGGGAGAAGCTTCCTCTGGGTGAATTTGATAAATACGTAAACAACGAGGCGAATCCCTAACGAACGTGCGTCATGACGCGTACGGAGTGTTTTGAAACACATCTGTAACACGTGAAAACACGATAAAAAAAAAGTAGCTAAAAGGAAAAAAAAAAAAAAAAAGGTGTCAGATTGCAAAATCACCGCTCCCTGTATGCGAAAACAAAGCGAAGCGTCGAAGACAAATAACGAGAAACAAAAACAAACAAAAGCGGAGAGAACCAGCCTCCTTTGTGGCGAAACATATAAGAAACCCGACCAACCTAACAAAACAAAGTGCGTTTCATTCGCTAGTGTACGGAGAAAATGGAGCAGGGACACCTCGGCGTGGTGGTCGACAGAACCACGGCCTCTCTTTCCGGAGATCAAGCGGTCGTGACAGAACACCGCGAGCGAGATTTCAGAATAAAAGGGAAAGCCTTCTATGGCGTCGATGTAAAACAAAAAGAGGAAGATGACTCAATAAACTACGATGGGACGGATGGTAGAACGAACGATAACGACAAAAATCGGTAATTTGTCGTGTTCGATAACAAAGTGGAGGAAACGACAACAAAAAAAGAGCAGCCTTTTTTTTTTCAAGTCAGCTGGCCGCGATTAAGACGAAAAAAAAAAAAAAAGTGGGAGAAAATAGCATGAAAACAGGTCAGGAAACACGCATTTTTTTAGTCGCATCGGCTACTTTTCCGTTAACTTTTCTTTTATCCCTCTACTTCACGCGCAGAATGCACACCAAACAGAAACATATGTAAACAAGCGCGAAGGCGAGCGGGCGCAAAAAAAACAAAAATAATAATAAAGAAGCCCGACGTCGCTCTCTAAACAATGCAAAAGGATCTCGTCGCAGCAAAGCGATGCACACACACAAGAAACAAAAGCCAAAAAAAAAAAAAAAAGCCTAATGGGAACTGAGCCAACAAAATATTAAATGGCAAAACTGGTCCCCTGGATACAAGGCGGCCCCATAGGGTTGCTCCCCCAAATCACCTGGAGGTCACATCAGCCACGAAACAAACAAAACAAAACCACACGCGTCGGGACGCGCACATCTGGTGACCACAATCGCTAAAAAGCCCCGTCATCCGTTGCGAAGGGACAAAAGCCACGGGCCGCAGTCGACTGCTGACCGATCGGACCGTAAGATTGAATCGAAGTCGTGGCCCACGGACCCTCCGATTCTGGTGGCAAACACGGCGGGGCAAGGTATTTCTGCATCGCGATTTGAGATTTGCCAGCAGCTTCATTTGCATAAAACGTGCTGTCTAAGGGGGTTGCAGTGGCCCTACCGCCGCGGGGGACACGCTGATGAAGCAACGCGAGCGAGGAAAAAAAAAAAAAAAAAGGCAAAATACCTCTTGCTTTCCCAAGCTGGCAAGGTTGGGCTGAAGCGCTTTTTCGATGATAGACGGCTGGGGCTCTGTTTCGCTCGCTCCCCTCCCCGAGTCGAGACGAAAAAGGATACAGTTTTATGACGTCCGTATCCATCCGCCTCTTCCCAGCGCTTGGAGAAGACATGTTTCTGTCTCGCCGCACGGCAGGAAGCTGCGAACGCAAAACTCCCAGCGATTTAAACGGCAACCTTTTCGAGCTAACGTATCTCGACTCGCACGCTCAAGAAGCTCAATCACAATGGCGAACTGGCTGCTGGCTGGAGCTGGCTGACTGCAATACTCGTGACGTAGGATCACGTGAGCCTCACTCGGTGCGCTCGGTTCTTCTACGCTCGCAAGGCTAAATTTACTCACGTGACTTAAAGTGTGACTCTATTAAATTTTTTTTTAACGCCAGAACGCTACAACGCGGCGCCATTTTAAGTAGCTTAGAGTCAGAGTTAGTGACTCTACCATTTGAAGCGGTGATTAATCGAACAGTTCTTATGTTGCTTTTTGTTTTTCTTGGAAGCGAAGGGGGGAAAAAAATCATGCCTGTTGTAACTCGCCAAAAGCTGCTATGTCGGTGTGGCGTGTGCCCGATTTATCGCTTCCTTTTCTGATTTTTCGCGCTCGTTGCCAAAGCGGTGCGCGTTAACGACGGCGTGGGTTAATTTTTGCCGAGGTCCCGCGAGCGAGAAGTGAAAACGAAAAGCAGCACTTTCAGCTGGAAGCAAGCCCCGCCCACCCACGCAACTCCAGTGTTGCCAACGCGCTGGGGTGTCGATCAGCTGGTACATGTAAACAAACGGACTCACGTGATTTCTTTGCCTTCCAACCCTCCTTTGTCTTCTGTGTCGTTGCGGTAAGGGTTTCAAAGGACTCGGACTGACCTCGTTTGAGGAGATCCCGAGTTCAGCGTAGCTTTTTCGGCGGAGCGGAACCGAAAATTGACAGCAATTTCAATCTTACCGACAGTCACGTCCCGCAAGTGCTTAGTAGGGTTAGCTTCTGGCAAGCTTAAAAAACCAGCTTGTCGACTTTTCGCGTTGTTGGTTGGTTATCAGCTGACGTCAGACAATGATAGTCAGAGAAAACTGCCCCAGACATACCTTGATGGGCTTGTCACCCAAGCTGCGTCAAATCGCTAAAACGGTTTTCTTTTTTTTTTTTTTGCGGAAATTTATTGGGGATTGGAGTTACGTATCATCTAAATGCGGCGCACAAGTTCGGCTGCTTATTGCACAGAGATTGCAATGATGCCAGAACATTGAGCTCTTATTGAATGATTGGAAAAAATAGTAGGTAGACCCTTGAGGCATCTAGCATTGAGATCTACTCACTATCCGTTTAATCTAAGTCAATCGGAGCTCGACGTCTTTCTGACGCACCGGCAACTCCTGCGCAAAAAGCAGACGATTTCCACTCCACATAAACATCACTGGTCAGTTCAGAACCAAAATTATTGCTCAAGTATGCTTTATCACTAGTACTCTAGAACCAACGGCTATTAAATAAAGCAATGCAGCTAGGCTAGTTATGGGGAAAAAAAAAACGTTTAAGGAAATAATATATGAATTAGTGCTGCTGCACAGCAATTAACAAGAATTGAAGATCACAACCCACGCCACACAATATAAAAACCACAGGCATTCGATGTTCTTCAAGAGGCACATCAGCTTTATGTACAAGGTATAAAGGCTATCCAAGGCAAAGGCAGCATACATATCACTCAACAAGTCATCCGAAACGCTCAAAAAGGTCATCTGTGAACAGCAAAATCTGACTAGGCATTGCATAGTGCCTCTACAACAGTAATGGCAACCACATCAAACGTGCGCGCCATTTCACCTCAAAATGTACAAGAGGCGTGGCCAAGTCGGCTGCGGTTAAGGCACCTGCGAGATGCGATGCACCTCAAGGGTCGTTTGCATCTATGAGAAGACGTCCTCGATTTCCTAAACCTCATTTCCTACCGACAAAGACGTATTCTTCGGTCGAGTATGCTCGAAGTCCGTCCGTGCGCTCACTACGCTTCGTTTCATCGTAACTCGGCAAAAAGTGAGCTCTACGGCCCCCCAGAGCCAATCGGAGCGACGGGGCACGTAACAACCAAAGGTGCAGGAGCGAGAGTGTAACCCAAGCAGTGGGAAAAGAGGAACGCCCCCCCGCCCCCCTGCTTACCCAGACCCTCTTTTGCACCGCCCCGGACGTCACTATTCTCCCCCTAGAAAATTAGCCCTCCGCTCGAAATTCGAACAAAGGCGGTTCTCCACTTTTTCTTGCCCGTGGCTCGGATGGCACTGTGCGCAACTTGTGAGGAAGTCGCGCGTCCCTCCCCGCCACGCCGATTGGTTCGCCAGGACCGTAGCCTTTGTCGTCTGCCAAGTTATGGAGAGACGAAGTGGAAGCCCCGTCCGACTCCGGCAGAAACACACTTTTTCCGTCCGTGCGACATGCCGTCGACGATAGCCGCCCGTAAGCTCTTTGACGAGTGTACGCCGAAGTGGTTGAACCTTAAGAGCGGGGTACGATTTGTCCTGGTAATAAATTATGAAGAAGAAAAAGGCAAATTGAGGTAACAAGAAGGCACCGTGAACCCGAGACCGCGCAAGCGGCTCGAAGGTGGGCGAAGGCACATAGTCGAAAAACGGTCTCATCATCGCGGCGGGCGTCGACAATGGAAGACGGCGTCGAAGCACCACCTACCGGGGTGTAGCGAGATCCCCGGAAATGCACGTCGCGTCAAGACGGAAACCTCGAAGCGATCGCTAGTCGTGCAAAGTCCCGCGCACCGAACCCTCAACTCCTTCGGACTTCGTCGTCGACAAGGGATTAGAAAAGGACGGCAGAGGCGGTCCAAAGACACGACGCGAAAAAGGCGCTGCGTCGGTGAACCCCCCAAAACAAATCAAACATTGAGTTTTAGGGCGTAGAGACTCAAAAGGACATAAACACGCAGCTCGTCCGCGGAAGACTTCTCTTCCGACTCGTGAATCCGGCCACGGCCGAGGTCAGTGACGCGTGCAGTTCTTTCGACGTAGTGGGTGGGGTGCCGAAGTGGTGCGCTCGGAATTTCGTACGACGGTGCGAGACGATTTGACGCATCTTTCAGCTCAGCGTCGCAGCCTCTTCCATCGCCTTCCTCCACCTGAGGAAATAAGAATGGCAGAAAACAAAAGTGAGCAAAAATGAGCAAAAGTGAGCACAGTGCAGCTCTCTTTAGTAATGGCCTCGTTAAAAAGATGGAACTGCGACAGATTTAGCCGATCATTTCCCATGACACTAAAGTTTGTTACAAGTTTAACCGTGCAAAGGTGACATGAGAGATTTTGTTTTCAGGCGTCACCGATCTTGTCATAAAACAAACGCTAGAATATGTACATATGAATATGGGGGCATTAGAGCTCGTTCCTGACAGACTATGACAAGTTTGGTGGTGCGAAACAAACGCTGGCAAGGCCCACACCAGTGAAACGAAGACATGCACAAAATACCGCATTCTCAGACCACCCGTTCGGATTTAGAGTTGCACGAGATGTGACGTAGCTCTGCCGGAAGGCGTGGGGAAATTTGAAGGTTTGTTTTGGCGTCGCTTTATTTGCCACTTTCTGAATAGCTATTCTGAATTTGGGGATAATAAAAAGCATAACGGAAAGAGCAACGCCTGGGTGTTCATGTTTAGTTTGGATGGCTAAATCAAATCGCTGGAGGTCCCTTTAACGACGGCTCATAGGTGGAGGGCGTCGTGAAAAACGGTCAGTTGAAGCGACCCAACCGACCTGGCGGCCAGGTCCGGAGAGTCCGCATAGAAGACGGAGGGGTCCACGCCCACGTGCGTCAGCTCAAACAGCTGCTCCTGCGGAACTCCCTCGAAGCTCTGCGGAGAGACGGATCAAAACCTCCGAATTAAAATCGTCAAAGAAATGTGTTTAAAAGCTTTGTTTTTGTTGCTTCTTTATCGGAGACACAGGATACAACAGTAGTTTCTATAAAAGACACAAAGGAAAGCAACACACATACACTGATTCGCAACTAAAAGATAACACACAAGGAAAGACGAAAAAAGCGTAGAAGAGGCTAGCATTATAAGAGCGAGCCACAGAGACAGCTTTAAAGGCAGAGTACACATAGCTTAAAAGGTAGGGTACACGCAAGTACTCCAAATTAAAATGGCATAATTTCAAACTACAAATTACTTAATTCTTCAGTGGACTCGCAATAATTAAAACTCGGATATTTCATCCTTCTGGCAGAGAAATTAAAATATTTCGGTTGTCCCGCTATGTTTGCAATGCATTTATAAGCTGCTTAATTCAAACAGCGTTTTTGCTTCATTTATACTATTTGCTCATCGTGGCAGGTTAGCCCTGTTAAGTGTGCTTCTCACCGAGCACCTGTGTACTGCAGGAAAGCAATACCCACAAAGCTCGCGAACATTGCTTTTCCGCAGTACGCGGGTGCTCGGTGGGAAGCTCACTCGATGGGACTAACCCGCTGCAATTATGCAAGCAGGACTGTCCTGACAATCTGCTTTCATTACTTGTGCTTGTGTTTTTTATTTTTCTGAGGGGGTTAAATTCGAGATTAAAGAATGTAGGCATTGGACTTTCTGAGGCCACAGGTTATAGGTATAGTTATATTAAAATTAACTGAGTTTAGAAGTGGACAAGTGTAAGGTTGGGAACAACATTCACAAGTTCAGCTGATTTTTTGTTTAAGCATGGTACAACGGTAGTAAAAGGCCTGGAGAAACTATTCAATATTTGATTAGAAAATAATCAACAAAAACCGCTATTCGCTTTTGACTTCACCAATGTCTTATGTGTTCGTTCCTGCTTAAAAATAGGCCTGTGTAGAGGTAAAAGTAAGAAATCTGCTCGGTATGAGTACCTATTCCTAGCGCACACATAAAACATCCTATAGGACAAAAAAAAACTAAAGTATAAAGCTTCCTGAGGTTTGAATTAATGAGAGTTGACTCTATTACGCAAGGACCCTTCTAAAAATATGGTTTCCTCATCCAACAGCCCCACGGTAGGCGAGCTAAAAACAGCGTTCCCCCAAAATATTGATAATGTATGCTTCTGGAATTTCACGGGTGTCTTCGCCTTCCTATCTTCCAATATTTGTAGTGCCCTAAAAAGATGGTGAGCACAAACAAGACCTGCAGTGTAAAAGAAGATGACCCCCCCCCCCCCCCCCCCCCCCCCTCTTGATTTCTGAGATCGCCAGTGTTCGGTGAGGAGGTCGTTCACAGACCAACCAACCAGCCTTTTCCACATAACATCTGCCAGATGTCAACGAGATCTTGTACACAACGCCCACTGTGTGTACAACACTATGTGTCTTGTGTGTTTCTTTATCCCTGTCCTTTGTGTGTTATGTTCAACATATCAGACACACTAACATTGTTAGTCAATCTATTGCCAGAAAAATAGTATGGTGCCCAATCTTTTTATTTTGTTAGATACAAAGCAGAATACCTGAAGAGTGCAGCTGCAAAAAATATTTTCTAAAAAGTAATTTATTCATAATGTTGTTCCAAAAAAATCAAACTTTATGGCCATGGGTGCGTGAAAAACAAAGCAAGTATCCTTAATCCCATCATCAAATGATAGATTAACTTGAAGGAACCTTATACGAAAAGAAAAGTGAATAGGCAAAAAAATGCATTTGAGCTGTGCAGGCCCGCACCTTTAATTAATCACCAGCACACCAAAGATAGCTGGTAAAAAGACGCAGCGGAAATGAATGAAACTTTGCAGAAATACTCCATGTGTAAGCAAAAACCAATTCATCTGCCACATTTTATCACAGATAAAGTGTTTGTTCAAACCGCTAGCTAGCCAATGGAAAAAACAACAACAAATGTTGTGCAAGTTGTTGTCGAGACGCGTTGGCATTCTGCACCACTTCGTACTGCATAAACATTTCTTTAAACTGCTTAACAACTGCTGTGGAAATTCTATAAATATTTTTCATCAACCTCCATGAAGTCTTCCATCAGATTTAAAACCGATTCAGGTAATTTTCGGATTTAACTACCCACTTTCCGTGAATGGGCTTCCTACAACCATCCAACAAATTTTGTTGTAGCATTAGTGCAATTCAAACGTTTCTCTATAAACATAACGAGACCCTTGGTAACTATATTTGCTGTTCAGGAGCTAATACATGGTATCACATTTGCCAGGCGCACCATTACCCCCTGTACGCCTAATTGAAATAGGTACCTGAAAGATCCGGGCCACCTGCTCGGTTGGTTACAAACCGGTATACGGATGCAAAAAGAATGTAGGGCTCACTCAGAAATGCCATCGGACTTTGAAAACTGTTTAGGCGACAGAAAAATGCGCACCATAGTTCCTAAACCGCCACCGTGAAAGCAAACCGACGCCGACCAATTGTGTGGCGCGTCTCACCCTGTCGAGAGAGCAGACTTGGTATCCAAGGAGCGGGGTGGTCCTCAGCGCCGCCACGTCCTCGCTGGCCCGGTACATGTACAGCACGTGGTCCTTCACCACGAACCACTGGCGCTTCCAGCCCCGCTTGCCGTACTGGTGCAGGTAGCCACTCATCGAGGAGCCAAGGTCGTTGGCTGGTACCTCCTGTGTGCACGGATCGCATCAGTGTGCGCAAATGCGACGACGACATTTTTTTTTGTTTTTTTTTGGCATTCTACTCGTACAGCAAACGTCAAACTATGCCACCTAGACCACGGGTTGTCGAGCTGAGCCCCTAGGGATCCAGGGGCTCCCCAGGTATCCCCAGGATATCCCCAGAGACTCCCCAGAATACCCTAGAAAGTTCCCCGAGCTCTACCCTTGCAATTTGGGAGAGAAGGAAGCTCGGAGGATTTTCTGCCTCGCAGAACACAGAATCTGCGCATCTGCTCCGAAATAGGTCAAGACGGCGCGACGTGCAATTAGCTTTCGTCCCGACAGATTGGGCAATCTACGAGAGGGGAGCGGGGGGGGGAGCCCTCCTCACCTGGAGTATGCCTCGAACCGTCTTCTTCTTCTTGACCAGGCCCTGGCCCCCTTCCTGATCAGGGTCAGACCTCTCCTTCGCCTCGCCTGCAGCCAAACAAAACACCAACAAATCAAGATGTTTTTGTTTGTATCTTTTATGAATACTGTTTACTCTTAACAGGGGTTGTGACAGGTAGAGGTAAAAGTTCATATGAAATATACAAGTTCACACAAAGTATACAATATTGGAAGCAAAAAATAATTAAAACAATACCACCCATTAGGCCTACCATAAGTGTATAAGATACAATAAAAGAAACACTTAAATTAAGAGACTCTACGCTCCAGTCATCAAACAAAATAAATCCGAACAGTGGGCACTAGTTATCACTTCCAGTGACGAGAACAAGAAAAACAGCATACCTAACAGGCTGTATCACACAAATTTGAAACGGCATTTGCAAATTCCTCTGAACAGCTTATGAACACAAAATTCTGGGGAAGGTCATTCCAAGGTAGTTCCTTGTACGGGCTCCAAATACTCTTGAGCTGTCTTTGCCAGCGTTTCGTCTGGGGGCCCCCCAACCCTGTATCAGAAATAAATTTTAGTCGAATCGAACACAGAGGCAAAAAGATCTTTCGAAAACAGCCCCGACGCACCAATGGACTCGCGGTCTTCCTCGCCCGAAAGTCACACCGTTACGGCAAGGCCTCTCTATTCTAAAGACTCGTATAACAAAGACACAGACGCAATAAAGACAGCTGAAGTATGCTCGACATATAAGGTCCTCATAGGCAGTCATATTGTAGCCACTGACAAAATGAAAATGACAGGGTGTGTCTTACGAATGCCTACACCCCCCTCCCCATGACTAAGCTGCACACACGCGCTCGAGACACTAAAGCATTGAAAGTGAGGAGCTTGCGCTGGGGGGCGGGACAACTGAAGCTCCTCCCTGCCATCACATCTTCACCCCTCTCATGACAACTTGTCTCGTGAGGCGGGACCAGGCGAGCAAGCTTGGTCACGGGGTGCAAACTCACCGGAGCGAAGCGAGATGAAGCAGTCGTCGCAGACACGGACGGGTTCGGGTCCCTTGAACTGCAGCGGCATCTTGTTGGCCGAGCACGCGGCGCACACCACCTGGTGAGACCCGTCACTAGAGTCAGATACCGCCCACGGACGCGAGTCTAGTGTCTCGTAGCCAGCCTTTCCCACGGTGGCACGCAGGTGGAACAGACGCAATTTAATGTTCCCTTTCCAAAGTCACGCCGAGATTACTGGGTGTTGTAACGGAGCAGTGTTCAAAGGGACACACTGAAAATTCTTCGAAACCCCTTCAAATATTAATTTTTTTACTCCGACGACAATCCGGCAAGTGGAGGTAAATTCAAATTTGCTAGGTAGGTGCTCCGTCGGTAAAACTAAATTGAAAAGCCGGCAAATCTAAGGCTTGCAACGACTGTACTCTCCATATGAACATCCGGAGGATTAGCGTACTGTTTGCAAACAAAAGGTTGTGCAGTTTCTTTCATGGCAAAATATGCAGTGCGGCCTTTTGTGTTCCGCAGCACTGCTCGTGAGACCATAACTCCTGCCAGAGCTACAGGATTGTTGTATATGTCCTTGTGGCTCTTTGCTTGTTTGGAATTTGCAAGGTGTGCCATACAAAGATTTCAAATACTGCAGTCACTATTGTCACTGTACTACAAGCACTTTCTGCAGTGTGGTTGACGAAATTTGTAGAAGAAGCTTTGTTGAAAGAAATTAACAGTAAATCAATTTTGTTAATGTGCTCGCAACACATTTCAATCATCAAATCTCAATATTCGCTTTCGTGCAAAAAAAGTCCCATTAAAGGGAGTGCATCCAATCATGACCAGACACAGCTGTCGGTAGTCACGGAAAGAGGGTGTCTGCAGAGGACGAGCAACTTCTGCTTTCGAACCCCAAGACACGAGCTAAGCAACAAAGCCCAAACACAGCCTCCAAAACAAATGTGGGGAAGAACGACAAAACGAACAAACGGTGGTGCTTCTCTCTCAAACCCAATCTCGGTGTTGCTGTCACTACGGTTGGCAGTGGAAGACTCTGTCGGAATCACCTTTCCGCACGCCCTGCAGTGGTGGCGCCGGTGGGTGAAGCTGAACCCACTGGTGCAAAGCTGGCACATGGTCACCCGCTGGTCGGGAATCCACAGGGGTGCCACATGGCCCAGCTCCGAGCTCGAGGATGACTGGGAACCTTCCTGAGATGTTTCGAGAAGGGGACTCGGTTGAAAGATGTCGCATGCCTTGCAGCAACATGCCTCGCGGTAACATGCCTCGGTGCAACATGCCTCGTGGCAAACATGCCTTGTGGCGATGTGTCCTACAAAAACATGCCCTTCAGAAGTATGCCTCGTGGCAAACACGCCTTGCGGCAATGTACCTCATGGCAAACATGCCACATGGCAACGTGCCTCGTGGCATGCCTTGTCGCAGCATGCCTTGTGGCAACATGGCTCGCGGCAGCTGCCGACAAGGGGAACGGGCCCTTGACGAATGACCGTTTGCATTTTGCCTCGTCCTTCTGGACACCTGTCTGAATGAGGCAGATATAATTCAATATTCAACTCAATATAACTTTAATGCTACCATTTTTTTTCAATTTCAATTCACCTCAACTAAGTTTTAATCTGAAATTTCATTACACCACAATTATAACCAGTCTTCAAAAGCAAAGCGTAAACTTTGTTTACACTTTTACATCATCAGTCTACCCAAAGTATATAAAAACAACATATTCGTAATTAGACTGTGAAGGCAGTTATGTTGTACAATTCTGGAATAAATCGCAACAAAGAAAAACTACATACTACTCATACAGTCGCCTCAACAAAAATGCAGGTTTTGTACAAAGTTCATACACAGCACAAGGTAGTGCTTACAAAATTGAAAATATCAGAGAAAATAATAATGCTTTTACATTTGAAATGTGCATGATTCAATAAAAAAAACAAATAACTGATGATAAATGCACATACCAGTACCTTATACTTTTGTTGAGTAACTAGAAAGAATAAAAAATATGCAGAACAGAAAAAACAAAACATCTTTTGCCTTACATCTTTTGCCTTAATATTTTATTCTTTCCAGTATTTAACAGCACCTTAACTCGTCGCATAAAAAGGAAAATTAATAGCACTCCCTGCAGAATTCGTTCACTGCTGTTTTTGAGGTATGAACAAGCATAGAAGTGTTTACCTAGTCTTCGAAAACACCTTTGCTACAGTAGAGTGTGGCTTACCTTTCGCAAAACATGGAAGGAGCTCTTGCGGTGAATGTTGTCCTCAATGGCCTCGTTGAGTGCCGTTATCCACTCCTCACGCTCCTTGGGGGAGCTGTTGCAAAGAGCAGGCGAAGCAACGTGCTATTTGACGCTCTATAATTTTGTTGCAAACGAGTTCCGACGCAGACCACGTGACAATCTTCGAAAACAAGAGCCTGGCGAACCGCACATAGGAAGCAGACTCCTCGCTGAGAAACTTACTGGGCTCATGGGACAATACAATCGAACCCGGACATATTGAATTCAAAGGGGATCGTAAAATAGTTTGATATATCCATAATTTAATAAACAAAAGTATTTTAGCCTGAGCTCCAGTTGAAGCTTCTGCATGTCCCTGCTAATACCAAAGATTGTGACAAACGGGAGCTTATTAAATAGAGCATTCAAGAACCGCTAAACACGGTAGAACCTTGTTAGAGTGTAGTTAACGCCAACAGCGGGCGCCGACGCTCGTGCACGCACCATAGAAAAAAGCTAAAAAAGCAAGCAACAACAAGAAAGAACTGGCGTAAAATCAGACGGCAAGAATAATTTCAAAACAAAAACGGCAAAGCGAAAATGGCAAAAGAAGAAAGCGAACAACGATAAACAAGGCATTAAAAGCGCAATGGCACAACCATTGATGACGGACTCAACTAGCAAAGTTGACATTTGGACTAGTTGGTAGTCTAACTTATTGAGGGATTGTCCTATTCTTCTTCTATCTACTTTGCACGCTAAATACCTCAATATGTTAAACTCAACTAGCAAAAGACTTTCCCTTTTTTTTGGGGGGGGAGGGGAGGGGGAGGGGTAAGAATTTGATGCGGAGTGTTCTCCTCTGCCTCTTTGCACCTTTTGCTGCCCGTGGTCGGAGCAGTCAGAGTCCTTTGTCCCCGGCGCGTGCAAACCACGTAGCGACTGCAGTGTTCGGGGAAAGCCCTCCCCCTGCCCACCCCCCCAAGGGTGCGCAGCGTGAGGTTCGATGTATCGATCATACCGGGTGGTGAAATTCAATACAAATGAACAAGGCGCCTGTGCTTTTACACGAGATTTTCGAGGGGATGTTTTGACCGTTCGAAATAGACAATATTTCGGCTATGATCACCACGGGGTGATCATAGCCGAGTACTCTTGGATTGGACACGAGCACCACACGAGCACTCAACTCGGGCTCGGTTGAAATGGCACCTACGCAGACATTCTGGATGGTGCTCGTGTACAATCACCGTTAAGACGGGAATATTTCAACTCCGACCCTTTCCAGATTGCGTTGTGTGCCCCGTGCCGTGCCAGCCCTAGCACGCGTTTCCAACAAACGTTGGCAGCATAAATCTGGCACTAGATCACGCGGCTGCTTTGTTTGGTTTCAGCGTAGACTTTGTTTTACAAGTCGTTTACTGTAAGAAAATTTTCATGAACAAGCGTCATACCAAGCCTTACAGACGTTCAATATAAAGTTCGAGCCTCGGCGGGGCTCGAACCTGCATTGCTAAGGTGGCAGTCAGATGCTATGGCCACTGAGCTACTCGCACAGCTGGTCTGGAAGGGTTCATGATTTAATTTGAATGCAAAAGTACCGGCCAGAGCGGCAGGTTTGGGATGAAAGTAATAAAACTAAAAATTAATAAAATAAATAAAACATAAATAAATAAACACAACTAACATAAAGAAATAACATAGTACAATTAAAATAAATAAAAACCAAATGAATAAAAATAAAAAGTAAACGAAAAAATCACTACAATTCTAAGAAATAAAATAAGAAGTAAATACAATAAAAACAACTAAAAAATAAAAAAATAAAAAAAAATTATGTGAATAAAAAATAGGCAATAAAAAAATTTAATAACCTAGCAAACCGCACACAAAGTGTGGTTTGTGTGGGACACATCCTGTGCTTCCCAGTCTTCGTCAGCAAGATTAAGCCTGTATAACCGAATGCAAATATGTTCCAGAAGCTGTGCAAAGACACGATAAAAGCAATAACAAAAACAGCCTGACATAACAAGAATAACAATTCAATTAAACTTTTCCGCTTCCGTGGAAGCAGGGGTGATCTACCAAGTACATCTGGCGAAGGAGAGAAGGCGGGGACCGAGACTGGTTCATTCAGAGCGACCAACACAAGAGCGACTCATTGCTGGTGAACAAAAAGAATGGCCCCCTGCCAGATGTGCATAAAAGCTCGACGCATAATTAGTTCAACTTTGGAGTGCTGCACTCATTTTGCTTTTTGCCTTACTGAACTTATTAAATGTCTTGACTCCCACATGGGAGTCGAGACATTTAATTAAATGGTTATTTTTGTTATGTCCAGCCGTGTTTGTTACTGTATAATCTGGTTACAGGCTTTAGCCTGTAATCTGTATACAACATGTATGTAACATGTATACAACATGTATATAACCTGCCACCTGTATAACCTGGTTACAGGCTGTATAACCTTTTGTTTTTCAAGAGTGTTTGTTATGATGAAAGGCCATAAACTTCATAAATGACAGCTTATGTTAATCATGATTTCTGCACAATACCAGCTTCTTTGTGCACTAGCAAAGCAGGCATTTTTCGAGGTCTGCTATGTATGAGCATTTTATGCTTTAACTATGTGCTGGAATGTGAATCACGAAAAAGGTGCAAACTAGGTATATCCAAGAAAAAACTTTTTGCAGATTGTACACTGGTTGCACTCAATGCATCCGGTATGTACCATCCAGGAAAAACTTTTTTTTTTTCAGCTGGAATTTACTCTTGCAGACTACACACAGGCTGCGGACTATAGTCCAGCGAATACGGTAAACAAAGAAGGTCCTCATGGGGGGGAAGGCTGTGCCAAGGGGTCGTCACCTGGCGCAGAGGATGAAGGAGCGCTTGCTGGTGATGACGCTGAACTCATTCTGGTAGTCCTGCTGCGGGGGCACGGCCACCTTCATGCCAGACAGCGGCAGTTCCAGGTTCCAGCGCAGGCCCCCTTGCGGGGCCGGCGTCAGGTACAGCAGGCTGTCGCTCAGCTGCGCGTACATCCGGCCGTCAGTGCTTCGCCCCAGGGCTATGTGCAGTCACGCAGCGAGGCTCCCCTCACACCCTTTCTTCATATGCAACTACCCTTCCTTACTTATGCACCTACCTCCTCTCTTCATACGCATTTGCAAGTTCTCTACTTACACGACACAGTTCAGTGTGTTCCAATTTTCAACAGTTTGGGTTATATTCTTAAGGCACTGTCAGAGAGAGATGATAGACATTGTACCTTGGAGAAGGTATTGACCGTTTCGGTAGTATCATATCATATCATTAGGGTACTGTCAGTTTTGGTTATGTCGTATCATACTGTCAGAGATAGAGATAATACCGTAACATCCCAAGAGATGGCCCACCTAAAATCGAAAGCAAATCAATCGGGTGAAAATAAGAAGTGGGCTCACTTTTGGTGTACAACAAAGAAGAGTTGAAAAAACACTATTTTTAGATCATGCTTTCCTGCCAAACTTGTAATCGCAGCAAGGGACGATGAACCAAAGGCTACTTAACTTCTCAGTCAGCAATGCTCGCTCACATCCTGCCATAGCTACCTAGCCGCATTTACTCCGAGGTCATCATTAATCTCAACACTACGATTACTAGGAGTGGGCTATATTTCGGTGTTTAAAAGAAAATAGCAAATCAAGCTAAAGATAGGGTTGGGTTATCTTTCGGGGGTGGGGCATCTCTCGGGCTATCACGGTAGCTGTATTTCGGAGAAGGTACCATCAGTTTTGATTATATCATATCACATATCATTCGGGTGCTGTCAGTTCTGATTACATTGTATCATATCCTCAAGATACTGTCAGTTTCTGCAACATCATTTCATACCCTTAAAAGGGCGGTGCAACGATATTCAGTACGAATGTCTTTCACTTTGCACGAGCTTACTGCCACTAGTGGGACCCAAGTATACTCGCACGCAACGCCATTGACCAAAAAACCTCTTTGTTGCGGTGGGTAATTTCAGGAATAAAAGCGAGCGTTTTCTTTTAATTTCTCTTTCGCAAAACTTGATGACATAGTTTGGAGCTCGCAGTGTCCCCCAGTGACGATATATGAATACAGCTCATAGATTGCGAAAGCACTTTATTTGGGCCCACGATAATCAACAGTTCAACAATCATTCGGGTAGTGGCTCATGCCCAATCGCAGCAATGACGACAACAGCCAAGCCCTAACAATTGCTGGAGCTCAACACGTGTGCTGTGCTTTGCCAACCCCAGCACATGGCCGTGATAAACATTGGCGGCGTATAATCGGTTCCAGATCACGTGGCCGCTCGTTCTGGCTGCGGGTTGAGGAGATGAATGCGGCTCGTGTTTCCTTAATTTTTATTTTAGACTACCATTGCACAAGGAGGAATTCTAACTTTTTTTCATAGGTTATAAACATCAGGGATTCCTTCTAAGTGGTACTGACACAGGGTAGAAAAATTGTTGCAGCGTCCCTTTAAGGTACTGTCAGTTTTAGTTACATTGCACCATGTACACAAGGTATTGTAAGATACTGCCGATTGCGGTTACATTGCATCACATACTCAAGATACTGCCAGTTTCAATAATGTGAAAAAAGTGGACTTTGACTTTGAAGTGAATAGTGATTTTGGTTGAACATTTTCAATTAGAATATTGAATAGTTTCTCCAAGCCTTTCACTACTGCACCATGCTTAATTCAAACAAAAGTTCAGATATACTTGAGAAAGTTGTTCCGAAACTTCCACATGTCTATTTCTAAGTTATTTTAATTCACTTATACTTTTGGTGTTGAAAGTCTAATGCCTACATTGGGATGGAAAGTAAATTACACATTTGACATAAAATTAAACCAAGAGATGCCCAGCCATACCTAATCATAGAGATTTATAAACTATCTTACTATATGCAAATACCCTGTTTTATATCTCTAATTTGAGAAAGAAAAAGAGACAATAATGAATGATGAATGCAGGTTGTCAGGGCATCTCTGCCTAACACATACTCTTGCATAATAGCCAGTTTAATTTTGAAACTTTTACTACAGTGTAGATGTCAACACCTATGAAGTTCCAGTTTCTTTTTAAATACACCAGACACAAATGTGCACCATCCAGCTTTGAAAGTGTGCTCTCCTCCTGAGCACAGAACTGCAATATTTGTACTTCTCAAAGTGGTCGCGGCAGGTTAGCCCCATTGAACGCGTTTCCTGCCGAGCACCGGTGCACTGCGGAAAAGCAACACTTGCAAAAGAGAGCTCCACAGGTGTTGCTTCTCTGCGGTACACGGGTGCTCCGTAAGAAGTGCACTCGAAGCGGATGTCGAATAGAGTATTATTCGAAACTATACTATTCAAAAATTCAAAAATTTCCCCAACACTAGCCAGTTTCGATTTGGGTTGCATCACATCCTCAAGGTACTGCCAGTTTCAGCCATATATATCACAACCTTACAATACTGTTAGAGTCACTTGCGGTCTCGCTACTGCTTTCAGCGTCCTGCACCAGTACAAGATCTGCACTCACCAGGATGAACCAGCGAGGCTGCATCTCCTTCCGTGAGACCTTCATCAGCTCGCCCTCCTTCAGGAAGTTCTGCAAAGCAGACGCACAAGCTAGCGCACAGGCAGCACAAACCACGCGAGAGCAATGCAGCGAGAACCGCACAGCTTCGCACAATGGCTGCACTTGTGTCCCACTTTTATAAATGGCAGCCTCAAAGTTTGTTTTAATATCATAAAATGTGGGGCATATTACCACACTCATGCAAGTTCTTTCCCTAAGCTTGGCGTCAATGTTCTGGTGCAGCAAGAGTAGTTTTCCCAGAGTTCCAAGAGAGGTAGGTTAAGGGAAGAAAGGGCAGATAAGCATTTCCCCTCCTCCTCTCCAAAAGAAAATGTTAGTATACCGCAGAAATAAAGAAACTTCAGCAATTCCAAAACCTCCACTCGTCCGCTGAAGAAAGAGAATTTATTCAATCCCTTTCTCGTGTAGAGGGGAATACATTGGACAAAAGGGCCGGAGCCTTAATGACCGTCTGAGGGAGCATTCACGAGAGGTTAGCAATTCTAAAGAAGATTCAATGCACCCGATTGGCGCACACCGCCGTTCCTGCAACGGAAGTGCGCCCAAGTTCGAGGAGGCGCGCGGGTTCGGGCGTCATTCCCTAAGATTTGGGAGGGAGGTGACTGAGTCGCTCGCCATTAAGAACTCTATGGTCAGTGATTCACCTCCCTCGTTGGCACTTTCCGAGAGAGAAATGGGGTTCCTGCACAGGGAACTCACCGGTTAGGCCTAGCAACCTTCAAGGGCAACAGGTTCTAAGGCTGCCGGCACTGCTTTTCATACTCCCTCCCTTTACCTCTTTCCCAAATTTTCCCTTTGCCTTTGCCCCTCTCCCCCTTTCCCTAAAGAGCGCAGGGAACCGGTGATCGTACATGAAATAAACGTTGAGTTGAAAGAGTGTGCCCATCTGTGTTTAGTCCTCCGTCTGTTTATGGCTGAAGTAACTGCTCTGCATTTCATAATAGCTTGGGGCTGTCATGTAACTGTATGCACGTGCACGCTCCTCACTATGTTGCTTCTCTACGGCGCTAGAAAGGGGAAGCCCTGTCAAGGATAGACCGACCGTCCCCTTCTATACTTGACACTCACCCTTCCAGGTTTTATCACTTCGTAGCGGTTCACGAGGCTGTTCTGTATCGACATCAGCTTGGAAAAGTTGTCCTAGAATGGAAAGAAAACCATGAATTAGACTGGGCTATTGCAGCACGTCCTTAATGTATAAAAATTCGCTTCAATTTACAGTCAGCTACTCATTGCCACCATCTTTTGCCAAAGTGTGCTGACATAACACCCTTAAATGGCTGTAACGTGGTTCAGTTATTACTGCGTCTCAAAACAGGAGCTGGTGTTCACTGCCGACACTTATTAATGCAGAACTTCATTCCATACAGTTTATCAGATCAAAACGTCCACATACCAACAGTTCTTTCACCGTTGAAAGCTTAACAGCAGGTTGGCAGTCACACCACTCTGGAAATCACGTGATAGCTTAGAATTGCCATACAATTTGATTACTTGGTATCTTTGACTAAAACCTGCATCGTTGGTATTGATTTTATAAAACAAAACTCAGCCACGCATGAATGTAATATTTATTTTTTTATGATACTTAGAGCCCATAAATTAAGCTATGACCATAAACATACTATCGCAGAAAGTGGTTTAGTGCTCCTTTTACCTTTCAAGTCTACCAATTGATGGAACCCAAATTGCCCGTCTTGTCTTTTTTTGTGGAATTCAGTATTCATCATCTGAATTTCACAGCCTTCATCTTCAAGACCCACCTTACGTTTTCAATTGCCTTGATCAGCTCCCTAGATCTCAGCCCCACTACTCCAGAACTACAGTGTAGACCACATATAACGTATGTCGCGGGAGTCGCGAAAATCCGCACTATAAGCGGTACCGCACTATAACCAAAACATCAATTTTTCAGGCCAAAATATTGAAAATACATGCCATGGGACAACTTACACTTGTGAAAAGAATTTATTTTATGTTAGATGAAAAATAAAGCTTAGTTTGAGGAAAGTCTTTATTTCACCGGACTAGTACAGTTCTGTCTCAAGTGTGTTACACATTTTGAAAGAAATGAGCAGCTTTTGCCTGGCGCAGCCTTTTAACGGCGTCGCGGGTTGCGGACGGACGTTGCGAGCGTTCAGGATTGCTAACCCTAATCACTTTTCTCCGGAGATGAAAACGCGTGAAAATTCGCATCCTTCACACGGTACGCGCCAGTAATACCTTGAACTTGAGCACACGCATGAAATGCGCCAAATAAGAAATCCGGGCGATGTTCGAGGACACAAATGCTTAGAAATCACCACTGTAGTCGAAGTAAGCAAACACGACGACACGGGCGTTTCTGCCGTCTTGAGAGCGCCGCCACGACATCGCCACACGAATAGGTGGATCTCCCCTTCTAGTACGTGCTGGGTTATCATAGCGACACACAACGAAAATTCACAGTCAAGGATAGCGCTTTTACGCGGAACGATGAGATGAACGCCGTCTACGACGACGATCACAACCGACGCCGTGTTTGCGGATAGAAGCAGCCGGCCCGCGACCGGCATGTAACGCGCGCAACACTTCTCCTCGACCTGCGATTGGTCTGTCGCTGCGGTTGTTTGTTTCCAACGCAGCGGAGGGACGCACGCACGTGAACGACACGTGCGTGCGTCCCTCCGTCGCTATGGCAACTGAAGCCTTTCGCTTCTTCCCGCTTCTTCGAGCAACTCGGCTCTGGAGCAACTGCCACGCGAGTGCCGTTTGCTGCTCGCGCCGTCAGCGCCGTTATCTAGTGTCGCACAGGGAAGCGCGCTCGCTGCTCCGGTCGTCGGCGCGGCCGGCGGGCTGTGCCAGAAACCGCACTATAACCGGTATTTCCCTTCGCGCGCCTGCATTTTAAGCGGTATGCAATTACATGGAGTTCTATGGGAGACGAACCGGTGGTTTAAAAAAACCGCGTTATACCCGGTCCTGCACTATAAGCGGTTACGTTGTAAATGGTCTATACTGTAACACAATTCAAGCTTGCCATTGCCGACTCGAATTCATTGCCCCCACGCACTGTCCATAAAAACGATAAAACAAATTTCTTAACATGCGTAAAATAGTTTTGAGAACTGTATACAGTGTTCTTATTTTCAAGTCTTTTTGCTTCCTGCTTCTTGATGTTGCACACGTTATGTTGTAGTTATACTTTCTCCCTCATGTAAAGCACTCTTTTTTTAGAGTCTGTTCGAGGAAATGAATCGGAACTCCGAGCCTGAGCTGGGGCGACCCTGGCAGCTCACCCCGAGCTTCATGCTCTCGTTGGCGTGGTGAGCCACCTGCGCCACGATGTCCAGGGCCGCGCAGGCATCCCGGTACTCCGGGCTGTCCGGGTCCAGGTGGTCCACGTAGTCTCGGAGCAGCAGCCTGTACTGGGGAATCCGCTGGATCGGCTTCAGCATGTACTGGGGCAGGGTCAGCTGACGGCACCGGGGACTTTGCTGCGCAGGGAAAACGGGCGTTCCTTTTGACACGGAGCATGTTTCATAGGTCGACTTCCACGTGAAAGTCGTCATGTCATGAATGGGCGTCGTGGACGAACGTCGTGAATGAGCGACACGCTGCGAGGGTTACACGGCGGTGTAACCCTCGCAGCGTGTCGAGAGCGATGGGTTCCCGCGTGGACGGGCAAGACTGGTCGGCGGCTTGTCCACGCGGGAGGGAACCCATCGTTCGCGAGTGGCTGACTCGCAAAAATAAAATAAAAAAGGTAAACATAGAAATCACCATAAATTCACTCGAGCCTGATTGTGCTGAAAAAGACCAGGGAGCAGATGCTGTGTTCCGCACAAACCACACGTGAGGCATGTGCTAAGGGATCTCCTCTACCGTCTGCTAAGGAAGCTCGTCTGGGCCAAACAGGCTTAGCACACACCTTGCAAGTAGTGCGGTTCGTGCAGGACGCATCCTGTGCTCCAGGGTCTTTAGTGGCATGATCGAGCCTGTGAAAATTTTACCTTAATTTTTTTTAAGCCATGAAAGCTACCATTCAAGTTACCAATTTTAAAGTAAGGCTCTTAAAGGGGCACCGAAGTGCTTTCTGAGACCCTCATTTTATCGTCATAACTCAATCTACGAGCTATAACCATCTTAGAAAACCAAAAATTACATTCATGCACGGCTGATTTGCATATAAAAAAAGGAATCAATTTTCCGGGCGCTTACCGTCAGCGCAGGATGACGGATGGTGCTACCAAACCTTGCTGAATAGGGTCGAACGACGGACGGCGCATGTCAGCCACTCGAGAGCGATGGGTTCCCTCCCGCGTGGACGGGCAAGACTGATCGGCGGCTTGTCCACACGGGAGGGAACCCATCGTTCGCGAGTGGCTGACAGGCGCCGTCCGTCGTTCGACCATATCCAGTAAGGTTTGGTAGCACCATCTGTTGTTCTGCGCCAACAATATGTGTTGGGATCTTTGATCACTTTTTTATTACACAAATCGGCCGCGCATGAACGTAATTTCGGGCTTTTTAGGATGCATAAAGCTTGTAGATTGAATTATGGCAATAAAACAAGGATCTCAAAAACTCTTTAGTGCCCCTTTAAGATGTTGAACTGTGCCTCCTTTTACAGGAAGGAAAACAGTTCCTATGTCTAAGTCCTCACAGAGATATTTTTTTATTTACGATACTGATAGCCCGTTTAAGCTGACCCAGGAGTGTCTTTTGTTAACAAAAAAGGAAGACAAAAAACGAAAGAGCAAGAACTGTACAGCAACCAATCACCATAAATACAATCATCACTCGGGTGATTTCGCGATTGGACATGAGCATTTACAAAATCGCAACTGTGCGTGCTGCAATTTGAAAACATAACTTTCTTTATCGCCTTGTTGCAGCAAGGTGGAGAATTACAGGACGTTCGGTCAAACAGCTGATGCATGCTTATAGACAGTATGTCACGCCTTACACCTCTCTATGTAACGAGCATTTGAGCGTTCATATGTTGTCAATCGAGCCCTTATAGGAACACTAAAGAAGTTTTTGCTGTTCGTCTTTTTGTGGCAATAGCTCAACCTACACACTCCTTACTAAATCCAAAATTATGATCATGAGCAACCTATTTCCCAACTAAAAATGTGGTAAAAATTTCAACATGCCCCTTTTGCTACAAAAAGAAGGGCATGTCCCCATTATTGTCCACATTTTTAAAAAGGAGATGGACCGCACACGATTGTTGCTTTGGTTTTAGTAGAACCTCCTTTGTGTCCCTTTAAAAGTAACCAGTAAGCGAACCAAACGAGCTATTAATCAGTCATAAATTGAAGCCACGAGAAAACATCTGAAAACAATTAAAGCTTTCCAAGATAAAGTATGCAACACACATTCAACACATAGTTAAATGTGCTGCAGAAAACCACCTGCAAATAGAAAACCATCTTCAAGCAGAAAACCATCTCCAAGAAGAAAACCCTCTGCATGCAGAAAACCCTCTGCATGCAGAAAACCTTCTGCAAGCAAAGAAAACCGTCTGCCAACAAAAACAAACTGCAAACAGACAACTGTCTGCAAGCCGATAACCCTCTGCCAGCAACCAGGAAAACCGTCTGTTAGTGCTTACTAGTTTCCTGAGCATGACAAACCAACCAGCCAAACAAACAAGTTGTGCAAGCAGAAAACCGTCCGAGGGTGTGTTTTCACCTCGAAACTGCAAACTGCAAACAGAAAACTGTCTGCAAGCCGATAACCCTCTGCCAGCAACCAGGAAAATCGTCTGTTAGTGCTTACTAGTTTCCTGAGCATGACATACCAACCAGCCAAACAAACAAGCTGTGCAAGCAGAAAACCGTCCGAGGGTGTGTTTTCACCTCGAAACTGCAAACTGCAAACAGAAAACTGTCTGCAAGCCGATAACCCTCTGCCAGCAACCAGGAATATCGTCTGTTAGTGCTTACTAGTTTCCTGAGCATGACATACCAACCAGCCAAACAAACAAGTTGTGCAAGCAGAAAACCATCCGAGGGTGTGTTTTCACCTCGAAACTGCAAACTGCAAACAGAAAACTGTCTGCAAGCCGGTAACCCTCTGCCAGCAACCAGGAAAATCGTCTGTTAGTGCTTACTAGTTTCCTGAGCACGACATACCAACCAGCCAAACAAACAAGTTGTGCAAGCAGAAAACCGTCCGAGGGTGTGTTTTCACCTCGAAACTGCAAACAGAAAACTGTCTGCAAGCCGATAACCCTCTGCCAGCAACCAGGAAAATCGTCTGTTAGTGCTTACTAGTTTCCTGAGCACGACATACCAACCAGCTAAACAAACAAGTTGTGCAAGCAGAAAACCGTCCGAGGGTGTGTTTTCACCTCGAAACTGCAAACAGAAAACTGTCTGCAAGCCGATAACCCTCTGCCAGCAACCAGGAAAATCGTCTGTTAGTGCTTACTAGTTTCCTGAGCATGACATACCAACCAGCAAACAAACAAGTTGTGCAAGCAGAAAACCGAGGGTGTGTTTTCACCTCGAAACTGCAAACTGCAAACAGAAAACTGTCTGCAAGCCGATAACCCTCTGCCAGCAACCAGGAAAATCGTCTGTTAGTGCTTACTAGTTTCCTGAGCATGACATACCAACCAGCCAAACAGACAAGTTGTGCAAGCAGAAAACCGTCCGAGGGTGTGTTTTCACCTCGAAGTTGCGGACGACCCGGTTGAAGTCTGGGTACTTGCGCTTCGCCTCATCCAGGGCCGCAGTGGCGGCCTCGAAGTCCTTGATGTAGGACGAGTAGAGCTTCAGGAAGGGCCCCATCTTGACCAGAACGTCCGCCACCCGCTCGTTCCCGTGCCTGCCACGTTGCAGCCGGATCAGAGAAAGCACCCACGAGACAAGAAAGGACGAGACAGACGAGGAGGATGACGGGACATGGCAAAACTTTACATTGAATGATGCAAAAGAGAAAAAGACACATAACGTGTGAATTCTCAAACCGACTTCCTAGGAACCCAGGGGTCCCCGAGAGTACCCTTGTGGGATCCATACGTATCCGAATTTCATTGATCGTCCCTAGCCCCAGGTGGTGCGTCCTTCCAGTTCAAGAGCTATTTTAACACATCTGAGTCATCCACTGGTGCCTAACTATGAACAAGACACTCTCTTATTTGTGCATTATTGTTAACTAGTAGTAATGTGTGAATAGTGGATTTTGAGTTCGGAATGAGCTTGAAGCGAAGAGCAGTTTTGGCCCTATAGTTTCTAATCGAATATCAAATAGTTTCTTTCAGCCCTTCACTACAGCACACCATGCTTAAACAAAACTTCGAGTGAACTCGTAAGGGTCGTTTGAATCCTTCTGCTTGTTCACTCTTAAGCCCAGTTAATTTTAATACAGTCATATGAAGTGTGACATGTAAACGAAAAAATTGTTGCAGCACTCCTAATCTAGGGGATTTACAAGTCTGCTTGCTAAATGAAAATATTCCTTTTTTGATTTCAAAATTGGCAAAAAAAAAAAAAAGCATGAATGATAAGCGCGAATTGTCAAGACATCGCTGCCTAACACACACCTCTTGCGTAATCGCTGCGGGTTGGCCCCGTTGAGTGCGCTTCCCACCGAGCGCCGGTGCACCGCGGGAAAACAATACACGTGGAGCCCGCGAGCTTTGCTGGAATTGCTTCCCCGCAGTGCGCAGGTGCTCGGTGAGAAGCACACTCAACGGTGCTAGCTCGCTGAAATCAATACTTCGAAAAATGTGAATATCACAGTTCATCTCGAAGCTAATATTGAACAGTGTATTATTTGAAGCTACTATTTGAAAATTAGAATATTCGAACAACACTGTTTACAAGGTCTCTAGGTTTCTGCGCTGAGACCAGGAGGGGCGCTTCTCCGCTATCAAGAGATAGAAATAGGCGTTCCTCTAGATAAAAGTTTCAGAACCCCTCGCTTCAAAAACATGTTTACAAAACAGAATGAAGATAAAATATTCAAATCCACGGGCGTCTGACTAAGGCATTTCATAGATAATTAGATGATAGAATTCTTTGTCGAACAATGGAAGTGAAGGTGCGGGTCTCATTACCAGCGAACTTGAGTCTGGTACCTGTGGATTTTATTATCCTTTCTTCCTCCTGCTCTGTAAGCGTGTGTTTGTCTTTATGTACGTGCTTTTGTTTCTGCTATTCAGTTGAAGGTTACTATGCCATCTCCTGCCTACCTCCTGCTCTGTCTTGTCTGCATTCTATTTGGCAAAACACATCAAAGAAGAACGAACAACTAGCCTAACCAGTTATCTTGAAGAAAAAACAGTGAGGATCCAAGCAGAAATGGGAACCCATCCAGCCCCGACAGGCAGAGATATGTTTTTTTGCAACTCAAGATATTTATGCCACGAGAGTCGTTTAAAGTCAACCCCCCTTCCCCCCACACACACCAAAAATAACAATCTCAGAGAGTTGCTGTTTTTGAGACTCGTGATTTGTGGAACTCGCACCGGTAGATGCAAGAACAACCTACATAATGCAGACAGGCATTGAAGCACTCTAGTGAACTCTATAGTCCGATTCACACACACACATCTCAATGCTAAATCAGCACCATAAAAAAGAAAAGCATAACTTAGCACAGATGGGAGGCCGGCGTGCAGCCATTGGAAAAAAAAAAGAGCTAAGCTCAGGAGACTGAAACTAATTTAGGAAATAGCCAATAACATGATTAAAATAAAAAAATCCAACTACCTTATTCCCTACGATGGAAGAGCAACCCGTTCAAACCATGGGAAAATATTCAAGGAGTTCCAACTTGAAAATAATTGCTTTAAATTTTAATTTTTTCTGCTAGCAGTCCAGGAATGGAACAGTTTGCACAAACACATAGTCCATGCTAGCTCGCTAACGCAGTTCAAGAATGGTGTCAAAGCATTCTTGATGTGAAAATATGTCTCATCAACTCCGTTTGTTTCACATATTTGTTACCCTCTGCATAACTGTTTTTTCTGTATTGTGGTTAAGCATCTGTGCTTTTTATATTGCCCTACAAAAATCCTCCAATGAGGATTAGTAGTATTGATAAATAAATAAATATAAATGGGAGCGCTGTATCACTAATACAGTGTGAAATCGGCACTGGATCAGCAAGGTCAGTGCAATTTCAGGTGCTGGCTATAATAGCATTGAAATAGTGTTGTGGTGTATTATGTGCAAACAGGCCTTAAAGGGCCTCTGGCGTTTTCTTCATGGTCCTTGATCATTCCTAAAAAACAGACACGTCGCTGAAACATTACCCCAAATACTAAACAAAAAATTGTTTTTTTTGTTTTTTGCAAGCAACTGAATTTGCAACTGAATTTGCAACTTTGGTCCTTATTGTGTTTTTCGAAGTGAGTCTCTACAGACAACAATGAAAAAGTGAGGCTAGCGGCAGGCAGGGGTACACTCTTTCAGGTGTAGGATTTGTTCTTAACTGATTCCAAGCAGTTTCATGGTGTCAAATGAATGCTTTGGAAGCTCGCTCCAGCACCCACGCTCCAGCACGAAACAAATGCTTGGCACAGTCCATTCATTGGACTGCCCGCTCAACTGGCAAGACTGCCTGCCACTGACGTCACGGCAATGAAAAGGGCGGGTATATTTGAACGTTGGTTTTGGCAGTATTTTCACTCGCTGATTTCACAATAACTATTATTAATTTCGTAATACTTTTTAAAAAGCATGCCGGAAAGGGCAAAGGCCAGGGATTCAGAAAATATAGCTAGTTGGGGCAGCTAAAAAAACACCGGAGCACACCCTAAGGGTGACAGGACGTCTGTCTGCCTAATGTCAGTCGTTCCTGCAGCAAATAGCCGTCGTTCGAGAATCTGCGCTCAGTTGCCGAGCGCGACGTTTCAAGTCCACAGAATCCAGCGCAGGACACGTCTTCCGCAACTCGGACTTCCCGAGCTTCCTTGTCGTCCGCAACGCTCTTTTCGTAGGTTGCAACGTCACAGATCATGCGCGTCTCGTTCCGCGAGAAATCAGACGCAGGGGGCCTCGTTCGTAAACGATGCGAAGACTCGACGTCGCAACCCACCAGTTGTCGATGCGCTCGCGAAGCTGCCCGAGAAGTCTCTCGTTGAGGTCCTGCAGCTGCGGAAGGTGCTTCAGGACCTGCTCCAGGACCTCCTCGGGAACAACCGGCGCCCCCTTGTCCTCGCTCGCCGTCTGCACGGCCTCCCTGAAGTCCTGCGACCAAAACACGGCGAGGAAAGTCACCCTTTGCTCTAGGACGGGAGACAAGGACACGGGTCAAAAACGCTTCGTCGCGACGTCGGTCGGACAAATTTACGGTCCCGTCTACGGCATCGCCGAAAACTCTGTCGACCGTCCGGTGATCGTTTCAATGAGGCGGTCGTTATGGCGACCGAGGTCCGTGCAACGCGTTGCAGTGCACCGCTTGATCACATTGAAACGCAACCACCTGAGCCAGTGTTAATTAAAAGAAAGCTCCGGCAGTTTTTTTAGCCACCCACACTAAACATGTTTTCGGAACATCCAGGCTTCGCTCTCTCCAGCATGCTCTAACATCCAGGCTTCACTCTCTCGAATGTGCTATTCATTATCTCTAAATTTAAAATTGTTACTGGAAAAACTCCAAAAAAAGGTTATGCCCAAAATCAACGCCCAAATCTTCCCACTCCCTCTGGCGGAGGGGACGTCAAACGTCGAAAAACTAAAAAAACTAAATTTTGCATGTCTTCTTTTTTTTGCTCCAGAGAGCTTTTTTGGCATTTATTTCACACCATCAAACTTTTCACAACCCGTCGGAAACAAGCTATATTGCGCCCATATTACGCCATTGGATAGATGGAAGGATGGATGCTAATGGCTGCACCTTTCATATCGGGCGGTAACTAGCGCAACCTCAACTAGAAACTAAGAACCAAAAGTATGACTCCTCCCTTCGCCCTTCTAAGCCATTTGATGTTACATTTTCAGCGTTGCTGGTTGGCCCTCTCAGACCTTCGACCCAAAGTCAAAACTTCGATAACTTCACAAAAAAAAGAACTTTCAGCCTTTCCACTCTGCTGAAGAAGAAAGACCAGCAAAGCCGTACTCTGGTGGGACGACCTCAAGGACGACGCCTAGAGGACGACGTCTAGGACAACCTCAAGGACAACGTCTAGGACGACCTCAAGAATGAATCCTAGGACGACGCCTAGAGGACGACCTCAGGGATGACATCTAGGAGGACCTCAGGGACGACGTCTAGGACGACCTCAAGGACAACGCCTAGGACGACCTCAGGGATGTCTAGGACAACCCCAAGGACGACCTCAAGGACAACTAGGACGACCTTAAGGATGACCTCTAGGACGACCTCAAGGACGACCTCAAGGACAACCTCTCGGACGTCTAGGACTACCTCAAAGGTGACCTCTGGACGACCTTGAGGATGATGCCTAGAGAAATTCACTTTCCACTCTGGTTAAAACCAGAGTGGAAAGGCTGGAAAGGTTGCCGCCATCCATGAGCGACGGCGTCAACCAACAACCGGCAAGCCAGTTCTCTGATGGTCGCCGTCGCTCATAGATGGCGGTAGCGGTCCAGAGTTTTGTGTCAACATATATTTGATGACGGACACGAAACTGGGGAAACTAGCCCTTAACAGCTCCGCTGTAAAAAGAAGTTATTGTGGTCTGGCAATTTGGGGTACTATAGTTCAGATGTTTCTAAATATTTGTCAAGTCGACTTCAGGGACAATTAGCGACTACCGAAATTTAAGTTCCCGGAAGGGCCCATAGGCTCGTCGCCTTTGCACCACCCACCTGGTTGAGGAGGTGGAGGGCGTCGACGAAGACCTGCTCCGAACTGGCCAGCTCCTGGGCGATGTGAAAGAGCTTGCGCCGCCGCCGGAAGCACGCCGCATCCTCCAGGGTCATGTGACGCGTCTCCTCTCCGTCGCTCTCCTCGTCCGATGACCCCTGCCAGCTCACCTGCACCCGGAAACTCCCTGGGTCACGTCGACGATCCCCAGAACACCTTTTTGGTTTAAGTTACTGCAACGTTTTGCACGTCTATTCGTAATCGCTCAAATATTGTGAGCTTCGAACCCACTTGCCTCAGAAGCAGATGAGTGGACGCTGGGCATGTCCTTGCGGGGCATCAGCGACGGCGAGGTTCCACCAATGGCCGCTCTCTCCTCCCGGCTCTCGCTCTCCGCTGAAAAAAAAATTGTCCGGTCACTCGCAATCTTTTAGGCGTACCCACACTTCCACATCTAGGAGGGCGTATACCGCAATATCCCAAGATATGCCCCACCCCCAAAAGACAACCCGCCCCCTATTTGTGACACGATTTGCTATTTTCTTTACAAAGACCAACAGCCCACTTCTACTGATTGCAAGGCTCTGGCCAATGATGACCTCGGCAGAAACGGCGTCACTTAGCCAAGACGGGAGTTGAGCGAACGTTGTTGACCGGGAAGGACGGTTGTCTTTGGTTCGTCACCCCTACCTGGAATCGCAAGTCTCGCGGGTCGCAAAATCTGAAACTAGCATTTTTTCAACTTTTTTCGATCATGCACCGAAAGTTAGAGCTCACTCCTCATGTTCACCCGACTTGCACGCGATTTTAGGAGGGCCGTCTCTTGGGACACTGCAATAGTATGGTGCAACACACTTGAGACGTCTCCACTCCTTGGCATGCAGTAAGGACGTCAGGAAGAAACTTGACCGCAACTGCGGTCGCCGACAGAGTGAGTATGGCAGGGCCTGTCTTTCAGCGACAAAAGAGGCCGTAATTTTTGGTACAGACCTAGAAACACGGATGTGCAGGCAAACCTTTCGACTGGGCACTAGACGGTTTCATGGCGGGTGCTGAAACTTTCCGACTTACAGTCGCAACAGTCGCGGAACAATCGTTTGATGGACGTGCGGTGGTCCCGCCCAACTTTGGTAAGTGGTTGAGATGCGGGCGCGTACGTGTTGGGAGGTTTCGTTGTGCTGATGCCCATCCTGCCATTTCGAAAAATTGGCACAGAAAAATAAACAGGCACCAGAAAATCATATTCACTGCCCGGCATTCTACTTCTGTTTTTGAGCTCTCCTACTCCTGGTACCTTGCGCGTGAGTACTGCGGCAGTGAATTATTGTAACCACCAGTCGCGGTGTTGCTGAGATGAGGTTAAGGAGGCTCGGGCAATCAAACCAGAAAGAAGTGATTTCTTATGTAATCGATTAGTAGTATAGCACAGCACTCTAGCTTGGTCTTGTGCACTGTCATTTGCTTACATATGTAACATTTTCACTGATTTCTGCGTTCAGTTTAGTCACCACAAAGTCGAAAACTGGCTAATGAAAGAAGTTGATTTGTTTTATAAAAAAAAAATTAAGGGTGAACTTTACGCTGAATCTTGCCAAAGATGGATGGAAAAATAAAAATCTCCAATGTTTAGCAAAAAAACAAACAAAAAACTTTCTAGAATAAAGAAAAAGCTTCAGAACTGTTTTTAGTGTATTTTAAGCATCCCCTTTCGAGATGTGTTTTGCAGCCTTCAATAAATGCATGCCTCTAAATTGACAATGAATTAGTTACCTTTTTTCAGCATTGGCTTAAAACATTCTGTTGTGCAAAAAATCTTACACTGCACAAAGTTTAAGAGCATGAGCACAGACTGTTAAATGCACAAGGTACAAAAGATTAACAGAGCTTAATTAAGAGTGAATGATTAGTTACTTAACAGACAGCCCCACAAAACAAAGTGGGCTGATCTTCTCTTTAGTGTATCCCAAGTGGCTAACCACATGGTTTCTCGCATTGAATTCAATGGCTGCTAGTCTAGCGTTAGTCAAAATGCCGTCAAATGTTAGCGGTATAATAGAACAACACACGACAGGAATGACAAACAAGAGGGAAACAAGGAGGCCGGCTCTGCAAACAACTTCAATTTAAAAAGGTGCAAGACCTGTGAGCATGCGATAAAAGCCGAGAACCAGACAGTATGGTAGATAATTTGCACTGTAGGATGAGGGAAAAAGAGCCCAGATGTGCTTACAAGCCCCGTTTCCCACCCGAGATACACGGTTACTAAGCACCGTCACTGCGTCATATCGAAGCCGAGAGAATGCAATAATACGCAGAAGAGGTGATACGAGCATCATGACAAACAACGTAGCCACCACTAAAAGAAACGCGAAACAAAATTGCAAAGAGAAAAAGCAAACCAGCGACAGATGCGGATGAAGTAGCACCTACTAGCAATGAGCACCATGGCCGCAAGGTAGCCACCCGCTTTTGATCTTCCCACAAACGATATCAAGAGTACTGAAGGGTCTCCGACGCTTTCACTACGAGGGTTTTCCTGATAAGATAAGGCGCATGCAATCGACAATGCCGGTTGAAAATAGCGCGTGGCTTCATTCCTCATACTGTTTCTCTTCGTAATACAACAGGTAAAGCACCCGCTCCAATAGCAACACTGCAGAATGCTGTTAATTGATATTGATTGCAAGCTTCCAGCGTTGCATAACCCTAGGCCCTCCTGCTGTTCATTTTTCCTTATATGTGGACACCGATTTTGTTGACAATGGGTGAGTGCATTTGATAACGTAGCGAGAAAAGTCAACATCAGACAGAATATTTCCATCGCCGTACAGCAAAGCATGATAGTCCGGAGGGTAGTCATCCAAGTAATATTTGGCTGCAATTTACTTCCATTTAGTTGCAATAAAAATCTGGTCATATGCCATTGAATGGTGTACTTTGGTGGCTTCATAGAGTTTGAAGCAAATGCTAGCTCCGAATGTTCTTCCTTTAACCATTTGCAAACAAATCCAACAACACGCAGAATCGGCCGTTAGAGCGAGTAGATTCGTTGCCGAGAATGAAATGCAGCCTGGACACTCCTCCTCTGTTTCCATTAATGTCCCATTCAGCGGTGAAGTAAAAACAAAATGTCTCCACCTGCTGCTTGAATGCCTCTGCCCCAGAGGGCCCTCCTAACTATCCAAGAAGCCTCAGATACAGCGCTTCCATTCAGAATCTGCAGGACTACTCTATAATCTCTAGGGGTGTCCCCAAACTGCTTTATACACTATTGCATTCCAATTTGTTCCATTCTCCGCTGGCCATCGCCGAGCACTAGATGCCGCGCAACCTCCGCACATCAACACACAAGCTATCCTTTGTTGCAGTTTAAGGACTGGAAGAAGCTCCTCCCACAAAGCCCTCCACTCCTTCCCCTTTAGCAGAGTCAAAGCTGTAAGAGGAGGAGGGTGGAGAGCAGAAAACAGCCAATCACGGCCAGCAGAGAGCTTCGGGGGCAAAGATTATTCCGCCATTCTAAACCTGGAAACCCTCATAAATAAAGTGCATCAAACAAAAGAACGGAGTCGTCACAAAGGAAGGAGGATGCAAGCTCACCCCTCTGCGCAGACAGCTCGCTGTCGAGCGACTCGAGCAACCTCTTCTGCCGCTCCACCAGCACCTGCTTCATCTCCTCCTTGAGCACTTCCGCCTTCTCCAACAAGTCGTCCGTGTCCTCCCCCTTCCTCTCGACCTCGTCATCCGCAACCGCCGCCACCGCCCCGGCGCGCGAGGGCACCCTAGGCACCGCCTCTCCGTCCGTCGAACTCTCCCTCTCCTTCTCCATCTCGCAGTAAAACTTGGAGCTCAGCCGCTTCTTCTCCTTCAGCCGTGCCTTCGAGCGCTGCACGGAGCCCGGCGAAGAGTCCGACTTGCGCGACGATGACCTGTCCGCGTCACTCGGCATCGCGGGAGAGTCCACGTCCGCCACATCCCCCGACGCGTCGCTGTCGTCGTACCAACTCGAGCGTGACTTTTCGCTCGCTGTCGGCTCCGTCCCAGGAGACTCGGCCCCCCGCTGTGCCTCCGGCGGGATTTCGAGCGCGGGGGGGGTCGCAGTAGAAGGTGCTGTTCGAGAGACGCAGGCCCCCGTCGCGGTCCCGCGACCCGTTGCTGGACGACGCAGGGGTCGACGGCCGCTCCTCGACGGAGCTCCGTTTCGTCAGCTGCGGGGCGAAGTCCGCGGCAATCTTGGCAGCACGCTTCATGAACGAGTCCGACTTGTTCACGCCCGTCGTCGGCGCTGGGCACTCCTTGCACGGGCTCTCCCTCTTGCCCGCGTCGCTCGGGGCCTCGTCTGGCTTCTCTTCGGCTGCCGGCGTAGTCGACGGCGTCGCAGTCTGCGGTTCTTCCGGAGGTGCCTTCCCATCGTCCACGACCTCCTTCGGCACCGTGTCATCCGCCGTTCCTTCTGTCGCTTCCTCCGTCGCTCCTGCCGCTTCTGCTCCCACCTTCACAGGAATGGGCGGAGGAGGCGACCTGACCTTGCCTCGCGGAGGTGGCGGCGGCGCGGGCAGCGGACGGAACCGCATCCCCGTGCCCGGCGTCGGCTTTGGCGGGAAGCGGCGCTCCTTCGCCTGCGGCGACGCCGCAATGTTTGTGTACAGGTCTCTAAGCTCCTTCTTGGTCAGCGGAGACTCCACCACCATCACAAACGTCTCCGTGATGGTCGCCGCGACATCCGACGGGTACACAGTTCCCAGCCGTTGCGCCGCCTTGAGCCGCACATCCGCCTCGGACAGCGAGTGGCTCCTCCTGACGCTCCTCCGCTGGTCCTCGCTCGGCACTCTCACCGTCTCCACGGTCCGCGAACGCTGCCTCCTCTTCACGCGCGGCGGTGCCTGCGGCACGTTTTCCTCCGCGAAGAACGCCGTGGGGACAGCGACCTCTGGGTCTAGGTCGGCGTCAGGCGGCCGGAAGCAGTGGACCACTTCGCGAGCCATCGTGTCGAGCGACGCCTCGAGGCAGGCGACGGTTCTCTCGTGCGACGGTTCTTCAGGCTCCAACGGCGTCTTCAGAATGGCGTCCAGGTTTTCGACGAGCTTCTTGGCACGGAAGTCCACCAGGTCGTCCGTCTGACAGTACTCGTTGAGCGGATTCCTCGGCGAAGTTTGCTGCGCCACGCACAACGGCGACTCCTCGTGCTCTGCACTTGCTGGTACCTTTTCCTCGACGCGCGTCGGGCGGTCCATCTCGGTGCTTTCTCGCTTTGGCGTTACGACCGGCTTCAAACCGATTTTCGGTGGTGGGGGCCTCGGGGGAGGGGTCCGCTTTTTCTTGGGTGTTACTACGGTCTCCACAGACTTCGGAGATGTGGCACCAGCTCCCGACGTCATTTTTTTACTACCGCCGTCCGACGCCACTTTGACTGCTGGTGGGTTCACAACTTGACAAGAATCTGCCACAACTTGCGCAGACACGACCAGAGGCACTTCTTCGGTATCTTTACTGACTACACCCACACTAGCGACTCCAACCAGAACTATTTCTTCGCTCACAGGCTTCTGAGATGCACGGGGTGACCTCAATGAAACAACAGGCTTCCTCTCCTTCGACGAGTCACGCTTCGACGCGACAATCTGCTTCGTCGCGCTTTTCACTTCTGGTTTCTTAGAAGGCACCGACGGCGGAATTTTTGGCGGCGGCGGACGTTGTGGTTTGGGTTTCTTAGCTGGAGATGCCGTCACATTGGGAGGCACCACCGAACGTTGCTCCTCGACTGTCACCGTCACGGCTTCTTCGACGACGGGAGTTGCCTCCACCGCTCCCGTCTCTTTCTCCTCTTCCATTTTGGGAGGCTGTACAGCAGGCTCATCGCTGACTTCCACAGTTTCCGTCGTGCCGGCTGTCTCTGTGACCGCGACCTTCTGACCTCCCACCTGAACTTCCGGATCATGACACTCCGCAGGGAAGACCGGAACGTCAATCTTAACGAGCGGTTTTTTGACGAGCTCCGGCTTGGGTGGCGGCGGCCGCTTCGGTTTCTCGAGGGACCTCGTCTTCTTCCTGGTCGCCTCCGGAACTACGCCCGAGCCTGGACGATCCAAGAGGACAATCGGTGCGGGGGCCGGCGGCTCGTTTCTGAGCACCACACGGGGCGCTTCGATCACCTCGTACTCATTCTCGACGACTGCAGGCTTCGCCGACGCGGCTGTGGCGTTGGTCACTTCTGCAACAGCAAGCCGACTCAAGTCAAGGTCCTGGTAATCCGAACTGGTCTCCGTGTCTTCGTCTGCGTAGCGGATGCCGTGCTTCCCACCGGGGATTTCGTCGCCGAAGCTCTTGGGCCGGCTAGGTTCCTCCGACCTGGAAGCCGGCTTGACGGGCTTGGGTGGCTTGGGCGGCTTCGCAAGGTGCGTCGAAAACTCCTTGGCCTTGCGGTGAATGAGGTGTGACAGACGCATGCAGCACGCCTCGTCACCAGAGCCTCCGCTGTCCTTGAGAGCCCTGCAGAAATGTCGATTCATCAAGTAACCGCAGACGAGGAATACCGGGGAAAAAAAGCTAAATTAAAGTAAAACTGTCAAATCAGTACATTCTATAACAGTAAGGATCAATGTTGATTCATTCATTCTTTTTCAATGTCACGCAAACAGTTAAATACTAGATTTAGTACCACTCCGTTCGAGTCAATACAGCGACGACCTGGACTGCATTAAGAAAAGAGCCGTTCCATTAACTCATATTCTAGTTAACCAGCCAATACTCTAATTATGATTCTCATCTTGCCTACTTATTATTCGCAACTTCTTTGTGAAATGCCTTTTTGTTGACTGGCAGGGCTTAGGTAATCAAATATAACAATCATTAAGGAGGGACACTACCCAGAAAAATCAATTTCTGCTAAAAAAAAAAGTTGATTTTGAAAAATGGCTTGTTTACATCCACCATCTGGAGAGTATTCCCAGAAAGTTTCTTTAGTTTACACTACATAGTTAATTTTTTATAAATTATTTTCGGTCCACCAATGCTAAAGAAAAGGTAGAGGTTGGATCACTTGGAACATATTTTTCTCCATTCCCCTTTCTGGCATAAATTTCCCTTTAGGAAAACTATCGTTTTGTTATTGCATAACTTTGATTTATTTTTATACGTTTTTCTGGAGTGAAACTTTAAGGGGAAGATAGCTATGAGCTTGAATTTTTTATTTTTGTTATTTTTCATGCTCAAAAACTAGCATTTTGGACAAAGGGTGGAAATCTAAAAAAAACAGCAGTTGTTTGTCATAAGAGATAGTATAATATAGAAAGATAGCTCCATAGCTATCTGCTCTGAACTGTTCTAAAGCAATATAACACATGAAAACGACAAATTTATTAGTACTTTCAAAACGATAGTTTTCCTATGCAGACATGCTCACCATCATCTTTGACCATTTGCAACTTTTTTTTGTACTTCACTCAGGTTAAAACAATTTGGCACAAATGTTCTCAACATGACCAGATACAAGCCCTGTAAATGTCATTGAAATCAGACAAGTGGTTCAAAAATTCACTTTTTTGGGTAGTGTCCCCTTTTAAGTGATTATAAGCTTTGCATTCCACCGATTCCCCAAGGCCTTCGTAAGTGCCTCAATTGGCAAAATATAATTATATAATACTAAATCAAATAGGTACAGCTTTCATGCACTCCTTAATAGTCTCCACCTACATAAGCAGGCAACCACTTAATCCATTAATTGGCATACCAATCAATGAAACGATAAGTGTATATGCCTTGTGAACCAATCAATGCATTACATTAACTACTTTTCAAATCAATTAATTAAAATTACATCAGTCAGTCAACTCACCAGTCCTCGATGATGGTGTTGCGCTTGCCGTCGTCCGAGGGTTGCGGCTGGTTCGCCGGCAGCGTCCCACCGGACTCCCCGTTTTCCTTGGGCGGTCCGCTGGTGCCGGGAGTCGCATCGTTCGGGTCGTTCGTCGCGGGTGCCATGGCGTCGTTTGCACCGTTGCACAGGGCTTCACCCCGGTGCTCCAAGACCACCGTGACCCTGCGCGGGCAAACCCACCCCGCTCGTCACCACAAGCTCCACACGGGGCCTCCACCAACACTTTGTCCACTCTAAGAGAAGCAAACTCGACGTTCGTGTTTGGACGGCGTAAGGTTAGTCCGCCTTTGGGGTGCGGCGGCACTGGTTTACGCATAAAGGTCAATGTCTGCCTTGGTTCGTAAATGCAACGCGAGCTTGGTTTGTGCGACTGGGGATCCTATCCGACTTCCACTCAGTTGAAAGAAATGAAAGAAAGAAAGCGTCGTCTGTCTAAACTGCCAAAAGACTTTTTTTTTTTTTTTTTCGACTGCACAGATAGTGTTTGAACGAGAAATCTCACCCATCTCCCCCACCCCCAAGTGACACGACCTGAAACGGGGTGCAACCCCGACGGCCTTGCATAAAGTCGCGAAGTTAGAATACGGCTCGGAGGAGCACGCCTTTCACAAAAAAACACTCCCAGACGTGGGTCTAAAAGGGGCCCTGGGAAGCAAGTGAACGAGCTAGGATCCCAAGAAAGTGCCGAGCCCTGAAACAGTTTGGAACGTCTTGGAGCCCTCGTAGCCTTCGCATAAATTAACCCAAATAGCTACGCGGGGTGCGAAACTGTATATTTGGAGCAAGCGGAACAAATGCAGTATTGTTCCGTATCATATACCAACACATTAAAAAACCTACAAAGCATTCAAACCTAACATTGCAACATGTGAAACAAATGCAACTTCAAACTGATCTTTGCACAATAAGTCATTCCTTATAGCGTGCAAAAGAAAGTCTCGCAAGTGCCACGGTTTAAGAAAAAAAAAAGCAGTAGTGGTAAAAACAGTCTTTAGAAATCTAAACCGAAATTACAGCAAGACACCAAGCTAAGGTCAAGACCCTCATGCATCGTGAAGAAAACCACCCAAGAGGTCGAGAATTTTGGCATTAAAATCGGCGAGCGAGAAACAAGCAAAATATTCTCCGAGCAAGCACCTTAGTGGAGCGTGGCTTCCACCCAGAAAATGCGGTAGTACTACCCGCATGATCTCACTTAACCGGAAATAAAAAGAGGTTACCCTCGCCGAATTCCAAACGGAAAGATTACCCTTGCAAAACGGCACGACGAAGATCGAGATAGGTCTTACTCTAAAAACCAAACTGGAGCAAGCACAAAAAAGAAAAAAGAACACGTTTGGTGGGAAAGACGACCCGATCTCCGAACTCACCGCGATCGAGTGACCCACACCTCTCGCTTCTGGTAGCCCAAACTCGCCGGACAAAACGAAGAGACTTCGGCTCCGCCAGAGACACTCGGCCTGCCCCACTCCCTAAATATAAGCGGAGTCCACGGACGCAGCCCCAAGAGCGAGGCTTGCCGTGGCACCGCGCCAAGACGCCGTGCGCCGCAAATAGGGGCGTTGCGGCTCGCGCGCATTTATGCAGGCAACCTTTGCTGGTCAGTCCGGTGACACCCAGTGACCCGAGTGCCAGATCCGCGACTCCCGTTCGCACAAGAGTCGGTGTCACTGACACCCGAGAGAGAAAAAGAAAGCCTGAACTCCAAGAAGAAAGTGTCTAAATGAGCTAATCTAAATTGAACATAATTAAAAAAAAAAAAAGACTAAAGTTATAAATAAAAAAAGTTTCATAAATTTCAATTTTGCTTTTCTCTGTCCCACCTTTTTTTAAGACTATGGGTTTTCTTAATTAACCTGAGTTCTGCCTCACTGATGCCTCGCGTTGTGTGCAGGGGCTCGGAGAGGTGCTAGCTGCTGTCTTGTGCTGTTTGCGGACACGTTTCTGCCAGTCGTTTAGGTTACGTTCATCCTTAGTCAAAACTCAACAGCTTTAGGATGAAAAAATATTTTGGACGTGCCAGAGCAGTGACAAATGCCGCCGCTTTGTAGTCCTAAACCTGACGGAGGGCTCAGGAGGTCTATATGCTCCCCCAGTGCTTAAAGTCTCCAGTAAGTTGCGGGTGCACTCTAAAATCTCTGGTAAAAGGGAGGGGGGGGGGGGTCATATTAGATGCCCACAAAAACAACTAGATGAGGACGTATGCGTAACCCAGCATGTTTCTCAGGAAAAAAACCCGACCAGCAATGTGGATTCCAATTATTTCTCTCGTCAAGAATTGACAGTGTCTCTGAAACATACACCATTTGGTTCCATACAAAATCGGCACGGCCATTCACAACATACTAGTTTTTCTCTCGCTGGAAATAGCTACCCAACAACACTGGAATGGGGAAAATCCGAACACTTCTGATCACGAGATGAAAGACTCGTGAAAGAAATTTAGAATTTTCGACGACTGCGAGGGAAAGCCCGAAAGAAACCAACAAACACCCAGCCCTAACCGGCGCGGCGATACCATTTTTAATTAGCGCCATTTCTTCGCCTCTTTGCCACAATTGCGTACCATCAGCCTTGGCCACCACAAAAAGTGGCACGACCTGCACGCACCGACAAAAGACGGGGAGTGCAAAGTGTGTTCTGAATAGGCTGGGCTCATGCTATCTGTGCGTGATGTCATGGTGATTTCACACGCCGTCGTGACTTCACGTGACGCAATGTCACGGTGTTGCGTGACATCACAGTCCTTCGTGACGGTTCTTTTGTCTTCTCACAAAATTCGGCCAACAAGACCAATTCCGCATCAAAAATAAGAAGAAAACAAACGCTGGCCACACGGCCGCACTCACTCGTGCACCACCACCTCCTCCTCCTTGCAGAGGCCGTCGCCCTCGCCCCGACCGCCGGCATCGTCGGCGCAGCGGGCGGCCCCACCCAGGGGCGACACCGTCAGCACCGGCTTGCGGAACCCAGGGTTGCAGCCGTCCGCCGACTGCAGACCGACCGGCTTGGGGGGCACGGGGGGCTTCGGTCTCCCTGCTTTTTTGGAGAGAAGCGCACGAGACGGGAACGATGAGAGTCGACGACACCGGTCGAAACGGGGTCTCGGATTTTCAACAAGGAGACCGAGACGACGTCCGAAACACCGGTAGTTCCGACAACGTGGGGGGGGGGCCGAAAGGACCGTCGCCAACAGTGAAATCACTGGATACTCGGAAAGTACCGCCATTGCCTTTCCTACCTGCAAGCCGGACACGAACAGATACTAACATACAAATGACCAAAACCTCGCAAAGCGATTGGCTAATCTGTCTACGTTGCCATGGAAATCGCTATCTCGGTCCATTCAAATCTTCGATGCTTCCAGAGGGTCGTTCTAAACCAGTCGCGCCAAGATCACCAAGGAGCATCGTCGTACTGAAGCGTTCCTCGCCAATATAAGCGTCTTTGGCACTGCGTACGCAATCAACTTGTCAATCATGCCCATCCCCACGAATCTCTTTTAATTACATTGTTCTTCTTTCGTATTTAAAAACAGTGAAATTATTTTTCAGTGCCTCCGAGCACCCACACAGCATGTGGTGGTGGTACGGAGATGTATGCTTGTTTCGCCGGTGTGTGGATTGAAAAATCTCGGTATACAAAAACGTCTCTATAAAGCGACCCGTCGCCAGCAAATTTAGATCGGCTCACCAAGAACGGAGGGGTCGAGGAGAAATTGCTCATTTCACGGACCAAGATGGCGACCATACGGGCAGCTCGGCGCTACTTTCCCAGTATCCAGCGACTTTAGCCGACAGCAGCCTGCGACGCGCAAAACGGCTTCGGTAGCTCTACGACGGTGGCCCGAAAGAGTCTACGACCGGCGTTTCGGCGTCCCACCTTGCCCGCGCATCGAAGGTGGTCCTAAAGCGGCAACAAATGATGCTGCAAAAGTCATGCTGTCGGATGTCGCGATCCTGGCGGTTGTTTGCGGAAGTTCCGGCAAAAAGTACGAGAGATAATGCGAGTGTCGCCGCCATCGCGGCGCTCCACGACCCGGCAGTTGGGATGCCGCCGCCACCGCGGCGTCCCAACTGCCGGGTGGTAGAGCTTCACGACAACTGCAATGCTGGAGAGTGACCCCCAGCATTACGGACATTTGCCGCATCCGCCTCCGTTGCTGCGCTACCGCCGGGACAGTGGTAGATGGCGGCACGACACCTCTGCGACGTCGTCGGGCTGAAGTCGAAGAACCGATTTTGAGGGTGCAGTAAACACGCCAGCTGGAGACACGCGCCAGGCACCGTAGCTTTGCCACCTGGGCGATTCGAATTTCAGTCGCAAAAGATTTGCGCACTAGCTCTTGCGTCCCTTACCGCTCCCAGGGGATTACAGTAGTGCTCACTCCTTCGAAAGATCTTTTCTGATAAAATTTTGAGCTCTAGAAAATAAGTTTTAGCGCTAAATTAGTCGCTGTGGACTGCATGCCGTGTTTCTCGCTGCACCGACGGTTGGTTTCTTTTGTCTTTACATTTTTAAAAATGCCACTTCGTGCATAACAGTCTACAGTAGGACTAGAAGCTGCGATACCCGAAAAGATGAAATCAAATTTCCAAGGCACATTAAGCAACGGCAACGCACAGTACAGGGTGATGACAACAATGCAGTACCCATAAAATTGTTGTAGTATGTTTAAACATGACCGAACCAAAACAAATCAATGACCCTGCCTAGAAGGTTTTTCGCGAGAAATATTATTTCTACGCTGCCACATGTTTATAAGGACTACCAATTGCGAAGTTGTCTCGTGAAAACCAAAATTAAAATGTCGTCCGAGTGGAATCCTTTTTACACAGCTTTAGTAGCTATGGTGTTTGTAAACTCGTGTAAAAAAAGAACAGCCAGCCACTTCTTTGTGACCGTTTATTATGGCCACAATTTATTTCTCTCTAAGATATAAGCTAGGCTGCTTTTGTATTTTCCATTACACATTTTAAACTGTTCCCACTGGACCATGGGTCTTCTAAAATAGGTGAGCAAATAAATTGCACTCTTTACAGCAGTGAAATGATCCATCCGATCTGCTTTACAGCAGATCAAATGGATCATTTGTCATAATGTCAAAAATAAAATGCCTCAAACAATATTAAAAAAAAAAATTTTTTTTTTTGAAATTCAATGTTTATTTGATTAAGGTAGATGGTATGACAATGCAGATGAAAGATACCCTTCACTATATGCAAACATTTATGACATTACGCCTACTGCATGAGCAATGATCACTTGAGACCTCCCTTCAACGCACATGCGCTCATATTTTGTGTGCTGTCGCCTCATTAGAGCAAACACAAACAACAAATTGCGTTCAGGCAATCAAATTTCTTTTGTCACCTGATTGTTCACAACAGCAACCATGTGACTTCAAAAATATTGGTGTCAAATACTTACTCGGAATGCTAAAGCAAAAATGAACAAACAACTTTAAAAAATAGAGGGAAAACCGCAAAGCAGCCAGAACAAACAATGACAACATGGTACTCTGCTAATCAGTCGCTCGATCCAGACCTCACAAATTAGATCAGTCTTCAAAGGGGCACTGACACCCCAAGGGTCCTATTTTTTTTTTATTGTCTAAAACGATGAAAGTTGTAGTCATAGCCACACAAAAAAATACAGCATTGTAAAAAAAACTTTTTCCACGCGTGCACACGCCTTTTTATTTTTGCCGTTTTTCTCTCCCGCTCCTCGCTTATTTTGATTCGTGACATCAAAAATCATAAAATTTAGAAGCTTTGTAGGTGACATTTCTGCAACATTCAATAACGGCAATCGTAAAACACGTTTTTTAACGCAGTTGCCAACACACTACGGCCCTTCTTTTTGAAATACCAAAAATCGGAGTCCAGTGTGATGTCGCCTCCTGGATTTGTATCTTTCCTCGGAAAACATGCCGCTTGGGCAGGCGGCACCTATCGCACGGAATAAAACCGCTTTCCCGGTCGGCCAGCACCCTTATCTCCCGCTCCTCACCTCCTCGCTTCGGGTTGCGGTGGCAACAGCACGGAGTCATGAAAGAAAGTCGACTCGCAGGACTCCGGAATATTTGACGTCAACGCACCGGCGCAAATCGAATGGGAACTTCGAATTCGGCATTTAAAAATTGTTTCTTTACTTCACAAATACTGAATTCCCAAGTTTCGAATTTTGAGGGTAATGTCCCGGCATCGTTTTCAATCGTTTCGGATAATAATAAAAAAAAATAATGATTTTGATGTGTCAGTGCCCCTTTAAACAGCGCTTATCGGAGAGGTACAAGTCCATGCACGTGCTAGGATGCACATTTACCCATTTTATGTTTATTACGATTTTTTACTTCTGAAGTTTATACTTTTTAAAGGAACATTTGAGAAACATTTGAGTTCTTTCATCCACCTATCAACAAAATGGCAGACAAAAAAAAAAAAAAAAAAACGACACAATGGCAGTTTTAGTTATAATGCAATCCCAACGTCACCAAACAATACCAACAGTACTACAAAAACAAGTATTATAAGATGTATACCTATGAAAAATGAAAAAGCTGTGAAGAGATATTTTTGCTGCACCTTCGAATTTTGCAACTCTGGAAACCCACAAAGGTTCACAACAATGAAATGTTCGACACCAGATCTACCCCGATAACCATGTAACAAATTCATTGTTGTATTATGGGCAGCAGTTCAGTAAAAATGACATAAAAAAAAGGTGACAATAGAAATTGATATTGAGTTGAAGCTGTGGCAGTCATTACTTACTAGGATGGAAAATAGGGCTAGTTGGTATGAATACACCATGAAAAACAGTGAAGGATACTAAAGAGAGCTATTTGAGATTCATAAGCACATCTTAGAAGCACAATGCCCCATAGAACTGACGTCTTGTAATCATTAAACGTCGAGTGACAGCCTTCGATTACCTGCGCAGTACCGGAGACAACTTGTCAGATAGAATAGTTGGAATGATGACTGCAGGGTGACAAGAATGATAACTGCACACTGAACTGGCAGCACAGGTAATAAATAAGATGCAAAGCAGCAAGACAAGACGATATGCGCACACCGAACCGAACTGGCAGCACAAGTGAAGAGACGACGGGCACGCTAAACCACCAGCTCAGGTGATAAGATGTGAAGCAATCTGACAAGAGGCTACGGGCACGCACAGAAAAAGGATTCGCTTCCGAGGTATCCGAGGGCAAACCAGGATCTCGAGCGAATGGCCTGGAGGTACAGCAGGAGGACATAGGTGAGGCAGCACAGGGACACGGCGAGCAGGGTGGCACCGGCCAGGAAGATCACGTCCTCCGACGGTTCGTCCATGAAGACAGAAGGGAGCGCATAGCCGGCGGGGTTGGTTCCCCGCCGTGGGACCGGGATACGACGCCCAAAATAAATTGGGGGTCCACGTGGCACCGTACGTCAAATGCGGGGGTGGGAGGAAAGGGCGACAGAGCGAGGTGGAGGGAAAGGGAGACCGCATAAAAAAGAAGAGCGGGAGACAACTCCAACCTAAGAAATGTGGGCCCCCTGGGATTCCCACAAATTCAAAATCAAGCTTTTTTTTTTTTTTTTTTTTTTTTTTGACTGTTTTTACTTATTTACATACTTTTGGCAGTATTGCATAAAAAGAGAGAGGACGGGGGGTTTACATGGTGAAAGTTTTTTTCGCGCTGCGGAACACAGGGACGATGGGTTTATAAATAAATGCTTGCTCCTGCCCAAAGAGATCTTACAACTGACTAAACTGGTCAAGTGATTTCACGACGAACAGTGCTGCTTTCTTCCAAAAAAAAAAAAAAAGAGCAAGAACCATCTTTTTATTTATTTATTTATTTCTCTTTATTCCATGCTGCAGACCAAATGGATGGTCCAGGCAGGAAGAGAAATACAGCTAATCTCGTACAAGTTCAGGTAACAAACAAACATTGCATAACAAAAAAAAAAAATAGAAACTAAACGTTGTGAATGTGGAACTATGTTAGTAGAAAGGAGAATGTATAACACTGTAAAACATCT